TGCGGCAAGGTTACAAATGTAAACACAAATTGTTAAGTGGGTGCCAAACAAAATTTTCGAGTTATATACGCCATTTATTAAAGTGAGACCGAAAATATATTTGTCAACTATCTTCAGATTAAATATATATGCAAATAGGCAAACTAAATTTATTCTAGCCGTAATTTTTTCAAATCTTCAATAAAATTTATTCGCATAACCGACCAAGTTTTTTTCTCTTAGGTTTTTAATAAAGATTTTAGCCTCCTATTTTCCATGATATTATAGTAATCTAACATTCTGTCTGAACTTCCAGTTTCGAAATACCATTCCAACTAAGTCTAAAGGACGTGCGACCTTCATTCAATATTACCGATTTTGGCAAAAGATGGCAGAAAAGAGTATTTTAACGTCACTATTCACTATTGCTCTTTAATCATATCATTAATTTAGTTTTATTCGTTCATTCATACAACAGATGAGAAGGGATATTTAATTAAATTAAACTAACTGATGATTCATTGCATGAAATTCGCAGAATATGTAAAAAAAAGAATGGCGGCATTCATAGTGGAGACGAATCCGTTTTTACATCCGTTCCGTCATAAGTCAAACTCATTAAAAATGACATATATTGATTTTCATTTTTAAAAAATTATAAGTAACGTTATAACGCTCTATAAAATTTGCCGGATCAAAAAGTCAAAATGTTTTGATTTCAAAATTTGCCGGATCCGTTTTAAGACGGAAGGTATCGGAACGGACGCACTATGAACATATATAATTTTTAATGTGATTGACTTTTGACGGAACTGATGTAAAAAACGGATCCGTCTCCACTATGAATGCAGCCTAATAAAATTTGAATAAATATTATGGCTTTATAATTAATTCGTAAATATTTGTTATTCTAGGAATGGTTAATTCTAAAATATAGCAGAATTATAGATAACGAAGAAGTTATAAATAAGGTTTTAAACAAAATATTTTGTTTTCTTATATCACTTTTGACGTCAAGTTGGCACACTAATCAAACCCGGCGAATAACTTGTAATTATATATATTGTTTGTGTTACAAAATCACTTCATATAACTGAGTTCTTCACCAAACAGCCTCGAGGCTTTAGCCTAAAAAATGGCTTAATCTTTAGGGAAGTACAAAAAAAAACTCGTATCGTATTTTTATTGTCATGCCAAAAGAATGAGCCGATTGCAGCACTGAACTATAGATTTGCTTTGAATTATCCTCTTATGCAGAAGCTTTAAAGGATCTTAAATTGCTTGTCCCCCGACTAAACTTTTGATATATGATCGAGCTGACCTCTTGATGAAAATAAATTCATCTTTGACCCAATAACGTCATTCAGGCCGAGTCCTACCATTACAAACTCTGAATCTGGCTAATGAGTTTAATTTTTATCATAAATATTATATATATTTTAACCACTGATAAACTCTTTAATCGTATGCGACCCGAACCCGCTCCATGAAAAATAAATTTTTATACAAGTTGTCCCAGTATTAATTCTTTAGAGAAAGAAAAAGACCTAAAAATTCTGGCCCGTTTAATATTTTGCACAAGTTATTTTACCCCACCCTAAATGTGACTATGAATTCCCATTTCTTTCATATAAATTATGAATAATAATACATAAATGTATAGAAAAAAAATTCTCAAAATCGTATGACGAGAAATGATCCCTTTTCAGGCTTATTAAATCTTTTTAACATTTTAATCGAATCGCACCACACATGCGAATTTAATGTTATTTTTTATAACATACAAAATATGTTTGTGTTGTTGGTAGGCTAAGCTGCTTCATTTCGCTTAGTTTAAGCTAGGCCTATGACCTCTACTATTTTTAATATTTTATCTCTATAATAAAAAAAAACAACTAAATTAACAAAATAATCAAATTTTATTTTACCACCTAAACTCTTAATTCCTATTTATAATTTTTAAACATCTAACACTAACACATTCTAAAATATACAAACAAATATATGTATGTATTATAAAAAATTAACTTTATTTATTAATTATATTAATCTTACAATCATAATCATAAGATAAACATATATTTAAGTATAAACTTTTGAACAAAAGACCATCTGACTAACAAAAACCCAACTCCTTCAAAAGATCACTTTTGATTACATTTCAATATATATAAATATATAACAAAACTACAACAATAATGTAACCTTAAAAAAATGCTTGTCTTGATTAATTATTTTTTCCCAATAAAAATTGCTTTGATTGTGAACATAATTTATCAAATCCTACAAATTAATTATAATTTAAATTTACAAACATTATTTTTTTTCTCATAATTTGATGGCCTTTTTTTAGATTCTTAAAGTTGTTTACCGACTCAAAAAAAATATTCTTCCCTCCTTGGGATGATGAATCGACATTTTATCGTTTTAGATAGGTTGCATATTTCGGGAGAAATTTAAGTCTTCAATTCGAATGGAATTAATTAAAAGATGAATTTTTTTTTGATTTTGATAAATCAAAATTTTTAAATATTTAATAAAACTTACTATCATAAAAAAAATTCATAATTCGAAGTTGCATTAAAGTGTAAGCAAGATCTACTCTAACCAAACTTGGTTCTTGTATGCTCAGGATTAGAAAATCACGTGATGAATCATTTAGAGTCACGATTTTGGAATAGTGTTTATTTGAACTTTTTGAAAAAAAAAATTTTGAGTAAAATTTCTGAATAATTTTTTTAAAGAAGAAAGCTTTTTGATCAAATTTACACTGAAATGCCAAAATATTTTATTAGTAAATTTATAATTTTTATGCTTAAAAAATATCTTTCAAGATTGAAATCGCAAATTTGAAGAAAAAAAATTTACTCATAAAATTTTTTGAATATTTTTTTTCAAAAAAATGTTTAATTTTGTTTAAGATGACTCCATTTATAATTAATGCTCGAGCTTGGCCCATCCTAAACTCACAACTGACTTTTTAAAAATACAATCTACATATGTCATTTATACTCTTAAGGTTTATTTAAAGAATAGCCAATTTAAAAAAAATCCCTATCAGACCTTTGTATTATCAACATTTTAACACCTAAACCTAAAAATAAAGACCGGACCAAAATCCGGGCCTTGCTTGAAAATGAATATCTCCTTTAAAATATAAATAATATATAGATAAAAATGGATCAAGTAAGGGATTTCTGGCCTTTAAAATTTAAAACATAAGAAGTATTTTTCAGTTTTAAAAAATAATCAGAAATACAGAGTCTAAATAATAGATAATACATAATACTTTTCCTACACAAATAATTTTAAAATTGGTTCACTCGATTTTAGCTTTCTTCCCTTTATCACATTTAACGATATGTTTATTATCATTTTAATAAATAATATATCATATCGGTTAACCAATGATAGAGGTAGAAAAAATTAAATTTAGTCTAGTCTTTAAAAACTTCTAGAATAAATCACACAAAATTTTGAATATGTAAACTTGTAATTTATGAATCAACCATTGTTAAATCTAGCATTTGAATTGACAAAGTATTTTATCATAATGTTTTCAATATAATATTAAATAATTCTAATAAATTTTATTATTTTTACTTTAGAATTAATAATTGTAAACTATCTGAAATAGTAACGGGCGGATTAAATATTTTAAACATTGGACGGATTGGTTGGAAATAGGCGGACATTCAGGTAAATCGGCCCATTGCAAACCTATGATCTTAATTAATCGTAGCATATCAACAACAAAACCTTCAAGGCCTTTGCAGAAATAGCTTTGATATTTATTTTATCAGAATACCTCGGAAGCTAATATCGCACATTCGTTATAAGCTCTTTATTCACCGAAAATCGTTGGGGTCAAGTTCACTCGATCAATTATAAGGTGAAATACTTCAACCCTATAGAGATCAGTCAAATTTTGCCAGTGTTCTTTTTGCATCGCCAAACATCCTTATTCGAATTAATCAACTTATTGGCAGAAAAATTATTCTTTTTAAATTGCCATTTTTTATAGTATTATTTTGAATGAACGTGAAGGTTACAAAATATACAAAAGACTTGGTATCTTCGATCATTTTCCAGACTGATAAAATGTATAAATTTTTTGAAGTTATCCATTACAAATTTGTTGCTAAGTAATTATTAGTTGATCTGGACTGGAATGATATGATTAAATTAAAAATCAACTTCTTTAAATATAATTAAAAGTAAGTTTATGGATTAAGCTTTTTCTTTGAACTTTCCCCAATTTTTTTATATTCAGTCAGATGAAAGTGAGATACCTATCTATCAATTTTCAAATCATTCCAACCTTATTATTATATAATCGTTAATAATTAATTGCAAATATTTAGGGTTGTTAAAGATTTGAGTCGATTTTTAAAAAAGACCCGATTAAGGTTTTAGCCAAAATAGTATTATGTAAGCCTCGATATTTGACAAATAGAAATCCAGGCAAATATAAATCCAAACCTTTATGCCATCAATGTGCAAAATTTCCAGGCTTACATAATTATTTTGGCTAAAATTTTTATCGTGCCCTTCCACCCAAATTGGGGTTTTTAACAACCTTACAAATATGTTTAAAACACGATGTATAATAAGCTAGTTACATTTTTTTTAAATTACCTTGTTTACTCTTAAAATTTTTTTGCATAACTCTCACTTTATAATAAAATATGCTTGAAAAAAACGCTTCGAAATATTTAATTTTGAAAAGAACATTTTTTAATTTTATTTTCATAAGGTTGGGGCTCCAAACTAAGTAAAAGTTCTTACAAATTAATCATCTGATCTATCTGAATTACTATTGGGCGATGTCTTTTTAATTCTAATCCTCAAAAATTGAATTTTGATATCTCATATCCCACCCAATGAAAATTTTTTCTTAGATCATTTAACCTGCGCACTTTTATTTTTAAAAAGTAAACAAATAAAACTATTTTATTAAATCGTAATAATGCGGCATAATTAGGCGTTTACGTTTCGTTATGCAAAACGCAAAAAATATATCTCAAATGGTATCGTGCAAATTGATCACAATTTAAAAATTAATAAGAACACAAACTGATTTGCTCTTTTTCGAAACCGCTCAATTAGGTCGCACTAGCGCTTCTCTAAAATATGTGCGCTTTTTATGGATTTTGGAGAACCAGGTGGGAAGACTGAGGAATTTAAACTTTATACAGGTGCGAATATTTCCAAATGTTATTTGTTTATCCTTTTTTTCCCCTACATTATTATATTTTATATTAAATAAGTATTGTAAAAATAAAATAAAAAATTTCATTTTTATTTTTCGAAATAAAAGTTATTTTAATTTGTATATTTAAAAAAAAAATTCCAGGTAATAAATAATACATTTTATTGTAAATTTTTTGTTCTATCTTTAATTCAATTTTTTTTTATCTATGTGTCTTTCGTTATAATTTTATAATAAAGAAGTTTGTGACGTCATTCATTGACATTATTTTTTTTTTCTCCTTAATTTCCATTTCAAAAAATAAAATGTATTTTTAAGTTATTTTATAAATATTATAAGCGCGAAAATGGGGGGTGATATTTTTGCTGCTCCGAAATTTCAATACAATTTTCGAATTTCATTTTTTTGTACAGCTCACCAACCTAACTTTTTATACTTAAAAATTTATACGCACTATTTTATTCTAGGTGAGTTAATAATCACTACTTTCTTTTGGAGCCTCTAAATTTCACCTCTAAAAATTTATCGTTGGTCTTCTCATCAAATTTTGGAAAATATGGCTACCACCGCAGTCACCGAAAGCTTGTTCTCTCCCTTGAATTTATCTCAACCGTTTGTCTCCTATTATGACATCGAAAACGGGATTCTTCTAAATGACGATTCACTAAGGAGGGCAAATACCGAAAAACGCGAAACTGCTCTAATTAAAAATACCCATAATTCAGAGCCCGATTCGTATAACGATTATAGTGGTAGGGACGACAAAAGGAATAATAGAGAAATATATTATGTTGATGATAATAATACTCCCTTAGATTCGGGGGCAAGTACTATCTCGAAACCTAAAATGACCCATAAACCCAACTGCAAGTCTAAATCCTCTAGGAAATTATTTGAAATAGGAAATTTACAAGAAGACATAAGAGGATCTGACCCATACTTATTCAGAACGATTAATGAATTTAAAAAGAAACGCCATTCTTACGAGATACCTCCTCCTCCATCGAAATTTATCTTAAAATCATCGTTAATCAAGGTTTCATCTCAAGGTGACATGTACAAACAACGAGTTAGAGTATTAACCCATTCGAATAAGTCAACACAAAATAATAATGATAAGCATCCGGAATCCGGTCATAAATGGGCCGCATATAACGGGGTAAGTTTAACTAATGGCAGCGGCCATAGTACCAATGGGGCACGTCCTATAAAAACTATTTCTCCCCAGGTTCGGCAAAAACTATTAGAATTTCTAACCAATAAGAAACAACAGCTAAACACAAACGCATGTTTTAGTTCCTCTATCCCTTCGATCAAGACACAGTTCGGCAATGAAAAATGCGAGAATTACGTAATCAAAGATCCAGCGAACTCATCCAATCGGTCTCAATCATTCAGCAAAGCTGTCAAACAGTATACAAACGATAAATTTACCCGATTTCTCAATTCGAACGCACATCGAGGAAGGGATGAAGTGAGCGGCGACGATGATGATTACAAGAACTGTTTGAACAGAAAGTGGAGCTCGGCTTTCGCATTACAAAATAGGTTGAAACTCAAATGCCCGAATCTCGCTGATACCTTGAATACGGGTCATGATCAAACGAGTTGCCAAAACGACGAAGATTCTGATCGAAATCATACGAGTAATCAAGAAAATAAGCGATATCCTTCCGTTATTCAGAGTGGTCATCGAAATTCGATCTTAAATTTAAGGTATAACTATTTCTTTTTATTAATGTGTTTATCACCCATATTATGTTTTTTCCCATATAAATTGTCAATTCTTAGTATTTGAGAGAAGGAAGGAAGCAATTGATACTTTAATCGATTTTTCAGCTCTCTTTGGAAGAATCCTCTAAAATGATTCTTTTTTTATCTCTTTAAGAGATATCCCCCCTCCCAATTTTTTGAACTATCTGCCATTTTATGTTATTATATATAAAGATTTTTAATTGGATTTTCCAACATTTGATATTAAACATGTTATAATATTTGGCATAGCATTGCTTATCAGTAGGGATGTACTGATATTTTTTATCGATCAGGCCGATATTTCACCCATTTTAAAATATCTATAGGCCAATATTATAAAATTTTCCGATCCGATCCGATAAAAAATGGTTTTTTTTAACAAAAATAAAATGTTCTAAATTTTTTAAAAAAGTTATATCTAAATAACGATTTATTATAAATAAAATCGAAATCCATTTTTATGTTTATTTTTTTAATAATTAATAAACACATTCTGCCATATTAAAAAAGTATATTAAAAATTTAGGGTATCTTTACAAAATACAAAATTAGATATGATATCAGATCGGTAATCGGCCGATATCAATTTAATTTCGGGAATATCGGATCGGATCGGCCTCCAAAATGTGGTATCGGTACACCCCTACTTATCAAAGAGTCGAATCTAACCGAACCTATTATATAATATTTTTAATGAACCGGACCTTTTTAAGGTCATGTCTTAAAATCAATGAAATCGAAAACTTTCAATTATCTAAAAACACGAAGTGAGCCTATCCTTCTTGGTTATTACTTATTTGTGAAGTTTTTCTAAAATTTATCATTAGGTGTCCTTACCTTAAATTGAATTAAACAGATTTTGGTCTGTATTCAAAAATATTTAGAGAAGTTAACTTAATATATTAGGAAAATTGTATCCTTTACTCATCTCAATTACTTTTTAATGAATAACATCTATAATTTAAGTAAAATATATTATATTGATCATTTATAGTTTATATTCATGAATCTTATAAAAAATATTTTTATTGATAAATTACTCATTTATATAATAACATTATTCTATTTACTTAATTAATAAACAAATATATTATGAAATATATTTTAAAAAAATTAAGATGTCATTTTATCGGACCGGAAAATTTTACAATATCGGCAGATTACCGATATTTTAAAAATGTTAAATATCTGCCCGACCCGATTCGATAAAAAATAACGGTGCCACCTTTTAGTTATTTATATCACATTTTAAAAATGATATATCAATATTTGTTATACGAATATTATTTGCACAACATAAAAATTATTTGATTCCCTTTAATATTTATCTTTGCTTATTAATTTTTGAGAATAACATTTCAGAAAAATTAAATTTATACCGAGAATAAACCAACAGAAAGGATGTTACCCAAAATTACCTAATATGTAAAATTGATTATTTCATAAAATTTGTAAAACGGCATGTAGCTCAAGGGTAGAGGCTGTTTGACTTATTATGCAAGAACGCGGGTCCAAATCCTGCAGAGAGTTAGAAAAATTCAAATAAAAATTAATTAAATTGGACCCCGATGGGCCGGATCGGAACTGAAAAATAATTTTGGAAAAAAAAAATTAATAAGAGATGAATTTTTAAAAAAAAACATAAAATTCTTAACTTGGAATTGTAATACATTATATGAAAATCGAGATCTAATGGCATTTAATTAAAGTTCGAGAGTATGGAATTGATATCAATATGAAGTTGATTTGAAAATGAAATTTGAACAGAAAATCACACGAAAATGATATAATATATAGATTATAGAATTCATTAATATTATATATTTTTAGAGGTATTCTTATATTCTAATTTTACCTTTTTAAAATCTTAATATTATAATTTTAGCTACAATTTTTTATTATTATCATTAAAATGCGCACAAAGCGTTTCAAAAAGCAAATAATGCATTTCAAATGAATCTAGGAAACAAAATTCCCCTTTTTAAGATACTAATTATTACAAAATTAATAAAATCGGAGAAAAAATTCACTATAAATATATCAACGAAATAAAAATCCTCAAATTAAATACTTAAATTTTGAGAAAATCAATTCCGGTGAATTATTTTCTAAGAATTATTATTGGGGATTTTATTTTTGGGGAATTATTCCGCTTACCATTTCAAATGCATTAAATTTGGCACATTTCCTTTTTGTATTTTAAAATATTTATTAAAAGACAAAATATCTTACTTTTTTTGAAACGTTTTTAAATTTTGAAGTGATATGATACAATAATATTTTTAGACCATGGAATGATGATATTACAAACAGATTTGCTGAAATGATTGAACTAGACGAGGTTATGGAACATTTATCTGTTATTGGTTTTGGGAATAAATATATAAGAATATTAAATATAATCATTTAATTAGCTTAGCCTTGTAATTCCATGGTTTTGATACCAGCCCTTTATATCTAAGGAAAAGATTGAAAATTTTCAAAGATTACTTGAATAACGAGGAATTAGGGGGTCATCGGGTTCAAAGGGTAGCAAGCATGAATACAAATATAGGAAATATATAAATTTTATGCAACGGGCTTTTGCTGATAGACCAACATCTGGCAATTTAGATGTTGTGCCACCCTTATACATGATAAAACCTAAAATGCCAAATGATATTAACAGGTTGATAAATGTATTAGAAGAGAAACCATCTGGGGTGCAGTAAAACTCATTTTTATTTATTTATTTTAATTTTATTTAGACATTTTATGGATAACCTTGTAGAGGATGCAGCTTTAAGTTTATACAATCAACTATTATTTAAATAAAATTTCTACATCAACTAAAGTCAGATGGTATTTTACCAACATACAAACGAATCTGCTTTAGATTTATTTAATAGCATTATATTTATTATAAATTTATATATCAATGATGTTTTTGTATTTTAAAGGTGATATTTTGTTATTATATTTACACTTAATATTATGTATTTTATATTTACAAGTGATATTATTTTTATATTGACATTTGTATTATATTACAAGATATATTTTTACATTAATAAAATTTTTATATATTATATCTAAATTCATATTTAATTATATATTTCGATTTAAATATTTGTACTACCTGTATTATCATTAGAAACTGATCATTCTTTGTTGTTGAAAATGTTGTATAAGATACAGATTGTTTTATGACCATTTCTATGCAATTGGTCTAAGCAGCTCTAATTTTTTAACAATTCCCCCAAAACTTCTTTCTACATTAACACGGGTATGGGATTACCTCATGTTGAATTCCCCTTCCTCTGTTGTTAGATTACTATGGCTAGCAGGAAAATCAAGCATATGGTTCACCAAATCTATTTTTAATATTTTTAGTATAAAGAGCTATTTCTAAATACTCCAATCATTCTGCTTTCCATATGCTCCCAAATCTATAAAAAAAAATCTGTTGATATCTGTTAAAAACGTTAATTGAAAATCTATGTTTAAAGTCATAAATTGTGAGCCGCTATTTGAAGGGCTTTTGATATAGATATGCCTATCATCTATTAATTACCCCAAAACAATTTGCTTGATTGAAGCAGGAATTCCTTGGAAATCTAAAGATATAATTTAAATGAATATTATCTTTGATTTAATATAATAAATTTACTCTTTCTCATTCATTTTTATTAACCTTAGACATATGTTTATATATAAAAGCATTCAAAATTGCTGTGCACACTGATTTCACAATGTTGGCTATTCAGGATTTTGATATCTTAACTATATATTAATTGTGCAAAGGATACACCAGTAATTAAATACCTTTTATATAAATAATTACTAATGAAGTAAATTTATTTTACCTCAAGATAATAAACAATCTGTCTTTAGAATCAATTTGCTTGTTATAATTAGTAATTTTTGGATTTATATCATCATATATATATTAACCCGTGACTAAATGAAAGGTTGATCTTCTCACTCTTGTATAATTATAAAATTGGGAATTTGTCAAATCTCCTTTTATATTCATATATTTAGAAAAAAGATTTCTTTTAACATATATTTGAGATGTTTTGCACCTCTTCCTTCCTTTATTTCTGTTAAGTAAATAAGGGCAAGAATTTTTTTGTTTTAAATTTAGACGTTTCAAAATAAAAATACTGTTCAATTTAAACATAGCTGCGTTTACGTTTTTTTTATTTGCGTTTTGAAACGCGGCGTTGAAAGTTCAGTTTATGCCCACTATAATAGTTATCTTTTTTTTTGCTAAATTACTTTTTTGTTACTATTATTATTATTATATAGTTCTAAAAATAATGTATATTTCAAATTTTAATAAATATATAAGAGAGCAATAAAATGAACTTTCTAAACATTTTTTAGTTATATCTTATATATATAAACTTATAAAAAAACATCCTAAGCCTTTTGCATTCATGCAACCATATACCATTTATTCAGATGGAAACTTCAGTTCTTTTGCTATCAGGATGGGTTTCTCTTTTCTTTCTTATTTGTAAAGACCAATGCTTATATATTTGATTTCGCTAAATATTGTGTTCTCCCTTTATTCTTTCCTCCAATTTACGTATTTTAAGGCCAATTATTTTGTAATGCTATGAAAATTGGTTTCTCTACTATAAATGTAAACAAAATTTTAAATGATTTTAATTCTCTTATGGAAATAACATCCTATTGAATCAATCTTCCTTGATACGCAAACTTGTCTCTTAATTAGGAAAATCTGATCAAATCATATTTTTGAAATTAGATTCCACTTTTCTTTTGAATTAGTTGTTCTTTATTTTAAGGCTTAACTCCAGCATTTTTATTAACATAATATATCTCTAGTGGTATAGTGATTACCAGAATTTCCTCTCTAGTAAACGTGTTATCTTCAAGCGTTGCATTATTTAACGCAGCGTTATACAGCTGATTCCGTTTTAAAAACTAATTTAAGATAAAGCTAATAGGATAATTATTTTATATAAATTTAAGATAATTTTTATAATCGTATTGCATCTTTCTTTATCAACGCATTGCAACATATATTTTCCGAATTTTCTCATAGCGTTATTATCATAACGCTCCATATTTATAAATTTATACCTATTTATTGGCTTTATTTTATAATTACGCTCCTTAAGTAATTCAGCGTTTTAACAAAACGCGTTTACCACCAGTTATTTTTCGCAAGAAAGCTGACACCTTGTTACCTAGATAAGAATAATAAGGGTAAGATACAAAATCTTTTCCTAGTATTTTAAATATTTGTAAATTTAATATTATATTAAATAAAAATAACTTGTTTTTAAAATGGTATATTTTGAAATTAATGAAATAAAATGCAGACGATAACATAATTTACAAAAGTTAAGATTTTGAACTTACGATACTAATAAAAAGCAACATCCATTTATACAAGGGATGCGTTACTTTTCCCCAAAAAAGTACGGCTAAACGCAAAAGCTCAATTTATGTCCACTATTAGATGATTAAATAATATCACGAAATTGGATTTGTGAGGTCGTACCTCTTTTTATTTAAAGAAAATAAAAGTCAAACATATTATAAATTTGATATATATCATTTTAAAAAAATAGGCAGACGATAATGAATTATAAAAAATAGGATAGGTTGGTTATCTTAGCTGGGCGGATATTTATATGCACACGCTGTCAATTTTTAAAACATTTTTAAACATATTAAATTCTAAATAAATTTATATATATATATTTATTTAATTATGTTATTTTTTTAAAGAGGTAAGGCGATTGATTGATGGATACTGTTTTATTTTTTGCATTTTAAATCATTAATTGAGCGCGTTATTTTAAATTTATAAATCTGATTTTGCCGGAAATGCATTCCAATAGGTGTATAATACCCACCCTATAAATTTTAGACAATTTTATAATGAACCTTTGAAGAATTTACAATGAAAAATATTTGGAAAAGTTATGAAAAAATTAATATAAGTTAAAGTTTCTTCAAAGGTTGGTCATAAAATTATCTGAATACGGCAAGTATTCTACACATATTGGAATTTTCGGCAAAATCATATCTTTGAATTTATTAAACCATGCTCAATTAATGATTTAAAATGCAAATCTACTGCGCATATCGGAAATGCCCATTAAAGTATCGCTTTACCTAGATTAATAATTATTTTTGAATTTGAAAATTATTGTAAGCTAAAATATAAAGGGTCTTTGGGTATGAGTGAAATTGGTGTTTATATAAGCAAAAGTTTTATTTAGTTTTATCCAGTTAAATGGTTACATGATTGGGCTTTAATTTAATCAAATTCTATCCTTGGCATAACCAACACTTTCCCACCCCATCGCAACCTGTTCTCGTAAATCTCATATTTAGCTAAAACTCACCCCCTCACCACGAATAAATTTATATATTATTACTATATACAGTGATTTGAAAGAAAAATAAGTAAAGGCTAATAATTTTTTAAAATAACGACTATATTTGAAATTTTATAAAAATATAGCATAGCCAAAGGTAGTAAGTGGACCTAATTGAAATTTTATAAAAATATAGCATAGCCAAAGGTCTACAATAAGTGGATATAAAGACCTCCAATAAAAATTATGCCAAAAAACTTACCTAATAGTCCCTCCCCTAAAAATCCTGGACATGTTTATGTATTGTATTATATGCTCCATCATCGCATTATATAGTCAGGGGTTCGGTATATGTTATACTTGCTAGAATATATTCGATTCTTTCATAATACCCTCCCCCCTCCATATCAACGCTGAGTAAGCTTGATATCGGTATTTATTCAGATAACTTATAAATACTATTGATTATTGAGTACAATAATAATCAAGGCCAATGATATATACACAAGTGTGTCTATCTACATAAAAATATATTTTATACTTCTTCCTTTTTTTAAACCTTTAAAAAAATCTAATTTATTGATTGGCCTAATTATTCTCTATTTTTTTTCCTACAGTGCCCTAATTTCGTTAACTTTAAATTCCGACTTTTCATATAAATAAACATAGTAAAAGATTTTTATTTTCTTGATTTTTTATTAAACGCCACCTGTTTTTATGAGTAATATTTCAAGGCTTGAATGATATTTTTACCTTTCTTTGCAAATGGGGTTTGGCCCGGACTTATTGACCCGGACCGAAAAAAATATGCTATAAAATGTGTCTTACTCCTCATTTACAGTAAGCACGATTTGTTCAAACGATGCGAAATTAATCTCTAGCGAAATATCAGGTGATTCGTCATAACTGATATTTTTTGAAATATATCTAAACAGTTGTCGCGATTTCAGTAGTTTGTTCCTTATTTATAAAAATCTATTATTATCCTGTTTCCATTAGGTCGGTTGCTATGCTCTTGCTATTTTAAATATTTACGAAGTTCTCTATAATATTTAAGACAGGCCCGCTTTCCCGGGTATATTGGCAGTTCCATAAAATTTTAGGGTTTATTTATAATAATGCAAAATCCGGGTCGGGCCGTTGAAAAAAACATTTACATATAATGGAGATGCTCTAATTTTTCAATTTCCCTTTTGAAACGTTTTACAAAATACACCCAGCAAATGAATAAAATTTTTAGAAATTCTTGCCGGGTGTGTTTTAACGATCAAAAATATTTAAAAGATTCAGGCGATGCAGGTCCTAAATATAACTGCAACTGCAGGAATGGCTATTTTTTTATTATAATTATATCTTATTCGCACTACTAATACTAATAACACAATTATACTAATACCGAATTCGTCTATTCCAGGAATACTAAATTATTCGACTTGAAGTTTACTAATCGTAAGCGAATATATTGAACTCGATATTCTTGAGACATTGCTTACAATAAACAACCATATATAATAAATTAATTAATTTAGATATAAAATTTAATCTTGTTTTTAATTTTTTCAAATATGCATATAAAATTTTTTTTAAAAAATGATTACCTTTGATTAATTGTGTAATATTTTGTTATAAACAATTGATTACCCCCAGAACCAATTTTTTAGTTAAAACATTTATATTTATCAAATATAATTTTAAAAACCAACCTCTATTAAAAAGAGTGAGGGTTCAAAAAATTTGATTTTGAGGATTCACTAAACAATTGCCACAAAATTCATATTCGAATTTTTAAATGGTCGATAATTAATGAATGAATAAATACTTTTTTACACTTAATTGGGCTAATGCATAAATCCAGTTGGGATATAGCAATTTCTAATATTAAAAAATAATAAATTTCACAATAGTACTCATTAAATATATTGACTGACCTTTCCAACCAAAGTACATATTATCGGCTTTTTTAATTTGTAAAATTTAATGATTTTATCGAAATTAGTAAACATACTTAAATTGTTTACCTATTAATTTTAATATTTAGGAATATGGCCAATCCAGCGGTTTCTCAAGGCAGTTAGGTTCTAATCAATGTTTTCAATCGGATTTTGGCAGATTAAGTGGTCAAGATTCGGGGGTGGTGGCCTCCTTAGGAGGTCTCGCTGTAATTCGAACATGAATAATTCATACAGTTCATGTTCAGGATTGATATAAAAAAAACTATTAATTCGTTATTTTGAATTGTATAGGCATAATTTTTGAATATTGCTATAAAGGCATTGCCGATAGTTTAATAAATAGTTTTTTAATAAAAAAACTTTTGTCAGTTAAGTAAATTATCTTTACTCTAAGTTTGCAAATATATATTTTACATTCTTCTCCCAGATCGAATATTTTAACCACCAAATGCAATTCTCATTCCAGCGTATCCAAAATTATCTACAAAAATCCTGAAATAGTTTGCCCAGCTGGTGGCGAATATGACGATCACCATGATTTTTTCCAACCTCACGTAATAGACGAGAACATGATTAAACTTCATTACAAAAGAGTCTTGCTAGAACGCTACATAAACAAATGCCCTAAAGATGACGGAGAGGCTATGGACGAAGGTGAAGGAGGCAACTATCTGAGGAAAACATGTAGCAATTTTATTCTTTGTTATGAAAAGAAATAAAAAATATAAAATAGGAAAACATAATTATGAATGAATGATATGATGAATTATTTACAAAATATTTTCTTTATACCAAATTCATAAATATCAGATTCTGAACCCTACCTAAAAAGCACAATAAGAAGTTCCGATTTTCAATCACACCTCAACACTTGTGAAAGCCCTAAAAATAGCCAAAGTCCACTCGATAATGAAATAGAACGAAGAAATAACTACAATAAGGAAGAAGAAATAGTCGATATTGGAAATAAGTGTAGATATTTTGCCAATAAATCTGATCAGGTAGGTGTAAATATTTTTTTAAAGACTTATCTTGATTAAATTCTTAACAGTGAGTCAATAAAAAGGTCCAAAAAAATTGCATGACCTAGATATTGACTCAGTATACCATATTTGGGTATTAGATTCGGTATTTATAAAATTTTACCCCTTCCCTGATTATTTTCAATTTGGACTACCTGCAGCAATTGTTGCATATAAAAACAATTTCATATTTTAAAAAAAAACAAATATTTGTATATTTAACAAATAACAACATTTTTTATGGGAGTAGTATTTTATAGATAATGACATAACTGAGATGTGCGAGTTAGTAAGTCCCATAATTCTCGGTGGGGGGGGGGGAAGGGTCAGGTCATTTTTTTGGTTACACATAACTTAGGGTTATAGTTAGATCTGTAGAATTTAGGGTTGCCTCTCCAGAGAAATGGAAATTAGCACTGATTACGTTTTTTAAATAGGTTATATCATGTAAAATCAAACACCTTTCATCTAACCTCTTTCAATTTCGATAAATATTTATAGGCAAGTTATTTATGTTCTAAATATATCGAAAACGAAATTATAGCTCATTAGCAATTATATTACCCAGAGGTCTTCAGGGTATAATTTGCCCAATCCGCAGACCCAGGATTTTTTTGAAAATATATTATATTTATTTTTAATTTTTATAGCTAATAATGGTGATTTAAAATATTTGATTTTATAATATTTGCCAGGGTATTCAAAAATAAATTTTTTGGCCCTACCCGGCCCGGGTATATTTAAAAAAAATAAAAATATGGCCCGGCCCATGTATCCGAGCTTAGGGCCATGTCTGCAGAATTGCACAAATCGGTTTTTTTAAAACTTTTAAATATTGGTCATCTTATGTCTATTTGGAAATAAATGAATATTTCGAATATAATTTGAGCTCCAATTTTTTCAATTTTTATTTTCTATTCTAATAATTTCTTCAATAATTACCGCGGATGGGTAATTATTTAAAAAAAAAATATGACGAATAATTTATAAAAAACTTATAGATAGCGTTATGTGATGTGAATGTTTCATTGCAATAAATGGCTTTTTATCGTTTAAAATTATTTAAGGCATTGTAATTGACTGAGTAATAAAAATTTTATTTAGCGCCATATTTTTAAAAGCAAATAAATTTTATATAAAGAAAAATTTTATTCGATATGCATTATATATTACTCTTAGATCAATTATAATGCCTTAAAATGATTTTAAAAGATAAATAAGCCTTTTATTGCATTGAAACGTTCATCTATAGCACCTAGTGCTGTTAAACGGCTCGTTTTGAGTCGATTTTTAAAAACGGCAAACTCAATATTTCACCCATGAAAATATTACTCAAGCCTGAAGATTTTGTTCATAGAAGGAACAAAGGTCTAGACATATATTGTCGAAATCTCGAGGCTTAGACTATATTTTTCTGGGTAAAATAGTGAGATAGCCGTTTTTAAAAATCGGCTCAAAACGTGTTTAAGAACACTAATAGCGCCATCACATTTTATACATTATTTACGATTTTTATAATTTCCTAACTACGTTAATTATTGAAGATTTATTAGAAAAGTATTAAAAGAAAAGAATAATAGAAAATAAGAATTTAAAAAATGAGCTTATAATATATTCGTAATATTAATTTATTCCAATATTTTAAAAAGTTTAATTTTGATATTAGATACAATATTCGGACTAATTTAGCTTTAAATTTAGAACTAATTATTTAACAGCAATAAAAGGTTTAAAAAAACCGATTTTTGTACCTTTAATCCCCATATCTCAATATAATTGTTAATGAAATAATTTCGTTTATAACTAGAACATATATAACATTCTTATAAATTTCTATCAAAATATAAATGGGTTAGCCGAAAATCTCTATTTTCTTACTCATTTCACATGAAATGACTTAAATATAGTTTTAAACCCTGAAAATTTTGATAGACTCACATGTTCAGTAATAGACAGTGCAGGTTTTTAAAGTTCAATCTTGATAATTTAATTTTCCTTATCAATAATACAAAATTACGATTTTAGCTCTCGATTAACTCAAAAAGTTTAAATATTGGTTTTATATTGACGCAAAAAGTTTAGATACTGATTTTATATTACCAGGGTAGGGATAAGGACTATAAAAAATTATAATTCGCAAACTAATTCTACTTTCTTAATCATTTTTTTAAGTATCAAGATAACCAATATCCTCGAATTTCATATTTCACCCCAAATAATAATAATCCGCTTATGAAACCCGATTTATTTGACGATCAAAGTTTAAACATTCGCAATAAAAAACGTAACGTCAATTTTGACGCGGCCCTTTGGTGCGCTTCCCAAAACATAGCTGCGCCGAGATTTCCCGTTTCTAATTTACCCCTTGCCTCAAATTTCTTTTCCTCTTTCCCTCCACCCTTTATGATGGGTTGCCCGCCTTATTTTTTGGATCCTCAGTTGATATTGCCCAGCCAATATTCCTTTTTGGTGGAACGGAATAAATTTGAAAGAGGTTTACTTTATTTTTTTACATATTATAAAAAAATAAGATAAATATTAAGGAGTTTTGAGTAGGGAATAAATCTATAGATGAAAAAATGACACTAAAAAATTTTCTTTCTTATGCGAAATATTTATTTTTTAAAAAAGATATCATTAAAAAAAACCTCGAGAAAGCTGATAAAGATTTAGTTTCTGACAAGACTCCCCATATTGATAGCGATAGTGGTGAAATAACCGAAAAACAGGTTTTAAAGATAATTTGATTAATCTCTCTATTTATAAAAGACTCGCAGGCCCGGCCTCCGGCCTGGAGCAGGTTATAACGTGATTTACTTTTAGAATTTCTAATCGAGTTTGAAAATAAAAAAAAAAATTCTGTCGGGCCTAAAAGTTTGGCCTCTCTATAGGGTTCTGCTATTTAGTTTATTTTTTCCATTTTAAATTTTTTTGTGCCAAACATAAGTTTATATCTATTACTACAATGTACAATATACATTATTATATAATTTAGAATTTAATAATTTTTTTAGTAGTTGCCAATCTTTATCTCTTCCATTTTTTTCTAAATTAAAATCTTTATTAGCGTTTGAAAAAGGCTATCATCAACTGGGTAGCCAATCACAAAAACAAAGAAATCCAACATGGAAATGATGTTTCGGAAAATGAATCCATCTTGCCCACGGCTGAGCTTTGTAATAAGCGGCTTAAAATAGATTCCTCGAAACGTAATAGTAATGTTGTTTTTTTTATAAAATCTTACTTGAGAACAATAAATTTTATCATTTTTTAACGAGGAGAGGGACAAGCCATTTCATTGCGCTAGAACTGGAGCATGCATTTTTAGTGTTTTTTTAATTTATTTTAGTAATTAAAAGTTACCTCATGGAAAAGTAAATAGCTCCGTACTTGTTATATTTTTCATAAAGTAAGCAAATTCGAGTACCTTTTAAAAAAAAATCAAAAGTAACTGACTAATATTACATTTTTTAAAAATTTTGTTATGGTTGCACTTTCTTTAAAAAATAATTAATCACGGGTTTATCATGTTACAGGTAACTAGTCAGTCATTCATGGGTAGTATTCATAAGTAACTATTTATGTTATAACGTTCTTTATCAACACTACAACTTACCCTAAAATCATAGTGGCTCGATTGCGATCGCGATTTAACAGCTGACAGTTTTTTAAAATCTGTTTATGAGATCAATTTTTCTTTATTAAAATCATTATTTCTTAGATTATGAATGGAATTAAAGATAAAATTAATAATGATAAATAAAAATTGATATAATAAACAGATTTTAAAAATTGACCTCTTAAATCGTCATCGAAATCGCGCCATCAAGATTAAGGGTAACTTGTAATTAAAATTTCGTTATATATTTTGATAAGGTATTAATAATATGTCAATTATACACGACAATTTCGATTACATGAAGATGATCTATTCTTATTACTTGTACTTGATTTGGTGATTAAATTGTTTTGTGACAATTGAAATAAATTATAGTGATATTATCTGCTCGCCTCACTTTTAAGCCCAGATCACATCAATGGACCGATAGTGATGTCATAAGGTTGAATACAAATGAAAGGATGAGTGGAAACCATTAGAGTGACCATTTATGAGATCTGGTCCTAAAAGTGAGGCAAACTTGACAATATCACTATAATTTATTTCAAGTGCACGTACACAACAATATGATAACAAAATATAGAACAAATAATAATAGATCATCTTCATATCAACATATATAATTGACATATTACAGTGAAGAGGGGGATATTTTTCACCAGATGTTAAAACAAAATAAAAGGATATTATTATATTTTTATCTTAATCATACTTAAACATTAATCTATGTTAAAAAAATATTAAACAACTTTCTTAAATGTCACACTTAAAAAATTTTTTTATAAAAAAATATAAAGTTTTGTCATCACATATTTTCTTTTATTTAGTTAACGATATTTTATGTAGAATAATTTTAAAAATAATAATAAATTATTCATCTTAGTTATTATATCTTAGTCAAAATCTTTTATTTCTGAAAATAGTTTTTTTCTCTCACTTTATTTTATCATATTTGAGACATAACTTTAATTTAATATTTTATTCAATTCGTATATTACATATAAACATTATATAATAAATTCGTAATTACATTAATACATGAATATTGATTATATAAAATATGAAATATTTAATGGTAGTTCATAGTCATAAATTTGCTTAGTAGTACCTATTTAATTAAAATATTAAAAAATGTTAATCGTAATTTATTATATAATTAGATTACTTTAGTCAATAGGTAGTCCACAATAGCTCAACTCCAAATATTGTTGCATATGATTATAAAAATTTTTAAAATCATAAGGAATAAATTGATGCATAATTTGATTAATATTTGTTATTATGTGCTCCCTTGTGCTTGGTCTGGGAATTAATGACCTATATTTGTTTTTGAAGACCCCGAAAAAATTTTCAATTGGGTTCAATTGTGGTGAATATGCGGGGAGATACTCCATCAATTAGATGACTTTTATGTATAGAAGCATTATCCATAACTAAGATGGCACTGGTGGTAACATACTAATAATCTCCATTAACGAATTTCGGAATAATATACCATTATATGATCCGAATGATTTATATTTTCATTAATAGTTGCTAAAGAATTATTATTGGCAGAAATGCTAGAATGTGATTGATAATTTTCCATATCATTCCCATCTGAGATTGGCAAAGAATAATTTACAGAAGTACTTGGGAGTAAAGGAGAGTTATTAAAATTATAAAGTAAGTAGTCTATATTAAACATTATATATGTAAAGATTGAAAAATTAATTAATATTAAATTAAATATACAAAAATATTAAATTATGTAAATGATATGTTAAAAAAGTTTTTTTAATTATAAACTTCAAGTGCGGCATTTTTTGTAAAAGTTGTTTAATATTTTTTTAACATAGATTAATGTTTAAGTATCATTAAAATAAAAATATAATAACATCCTTTTATTTTGTTTTAACATCTGGTGAAAAATATCCCCCTCTTCACTGTATAAACTTCAAGTGCGGCATTTTTTGTAAAAGTTGTTTAATATTTTTTTAACATAGATTAATGTTTAAGTATCATTAAAATAAAAATATAATAACATCCTTTTATTTTATTTTAACATCTGGTGAAAAATATCCCCCTCTTCACTGTATTAACACCTCAATAAATATATAACGAACAAACAAACTTCAATTACAAACAAAATATATTCAATAATAATATTGATAAAAAAATTCTAATAAAAAATGATTTTATGCAATACTAAATAAAGTTATTTTACAAACGATAAATTAATGGAAGCTACATTACCCCAAATGCATCCTAATGACATGCTCTCCCTTTAAATCCAGGGATCCCCTTCCAGTTTCTCTAATAGGGCATCAAATTCTGTATCCGTTAACTCTAGACTAATCATCATACAAATCATTCACAGCCTCGGGCTTCGCCGATATTATTCATGCCTGAAAACCATTTGGATACTGAGGCCTTCGAGACAGTGAATGATTTGGATGACGATTGATTGGGTTAGAGTTAACTGATGCAGAGTTTGACACCCAAAATATGTTCTACTATGACATGTCCACCATCTAAATCTTGGATTTCTACCCCAGATTATCTAATAGGATCGTTATAAAATAATAGGATATATTTAATTGTTTATTTAGTATTATGTTAATCATCTTTTTTTTTATTATCGTGAAGAATATATATTATAAATAATTTGTTTTTTGTAAATTGATTTGGAAGTATATAAGCGCGAGAAAAAAGGGCAGAAAACAGAAGGTGATTTGTGTTCTTACATTTAGATTATATTTTCTATAAAAATATCATATTTCTGGATTGTTGTGAAGATATAAATTAATTTAAAAAAGGAAATCCTTATATTGAAACTTAAATTATTGAAGAAGGGTACCCAAATTGTAATAGTAATTAGTTTAATTTAACTAATTATATTAATAATTCTAACTATTCATTCATTAAAACAATGGCTAAATAAATATTTGCTACACATAAATGTTATATTTGAATTTCAGAACCAAAATGATATTGTTCCATCTAATTCATTAAAAAAAACCTCCAGAGTTGGGCAGTATTGCGAATACTTGTATCTAAGATTAAGATCCTTTTCTATCCTGTACTTTGTATTTTTTTGAAATGTTTAATGAGATACTTATATCTGGATCTAAGTTACTTTATTATTTTCAAGAGAATCTTTTTCGTTCTCTTGACAAAAATTACTGTTTTTATTTTAAAAAATCAATAATCACTTTTAACATTTTTTTTACTTGGATTCCTGTATTAATTTTATTGATTTTCTTTCATATTATATTTTAAATGTATATTCATTATTATTTTATATTTTGGCATACCAACTTTACTGTTATAAGCAAATTGGATTATTTTAATTTTATGGTTTCTTGTCCATATTTTTATTAATCTTTGTACTAAAACAATTATCATCTTATCTTATAGGGTAGAGTAAAATATATTTATTAATATTTCATTGTCCAATTTTAAATTGCTCTTTGGACAGAGTTTACTTGGTATAAAATAAGTAATTTTAATTTATCATATTATATTTGTGAATAAATTTTTTCATAAAAGTTAAGATACTTTTTATTTAGTAAAAGATATAAGTAGCTTATATCTTACATTTTTTTGATACTATAGATCTTGGGTGCAATTTTTATTAGCAGTTTATTGACTTAATATTACTTATATAATTTTTATTTTAGTATAACTAAAGCTTAAAAAAAATATTCATTAAAATGAATCTTAAGATCACTATTGCCAACAGACTAGCCTGCAAACGAAATCGCCATCCCTCCCCATATTATCGAGAGATTTTAGGAATCGAACACCAAACTGTCATTCTCACAACCCTCGGAGTTACCATAAATTCCTTAGATCCTTCGAAAATTCTCCGAATTCTGAAAAAATTAAGCATCAACATTCTATTGTTGAGATAGAGGCGGGTTCGGCTCTCGCATCTCTTTCGAATATTCATGCTGATTCTAAAAAAATGGAAAATATATGAAACATACGAATCTATGGAAAGTAGAGGTGGCTTTATAAACTGTTCATAGATTAGTTTTAATATAGCAAATTAAACTATGTGTGTATACCATATTTACATTGTATTTTATTGATATATTTTATTCTGTCTAAGTCATATTAGTTATTGAATTATACTTATGAGATGATGGCAAGTATAACATTATTGATTTATATAATATTACTTTTTTTAGAATCTTTTTTTTTTGAAATTTTTTTCCCTTTATTGTATAACAATGTGGGAAAAAATGCTGTTTATAACTAAATTTAAGAAATTTTTTATTTTATTATTTATCATACAGTTTATAATATTTATTTCTTTTCAGAATAAGATTACATTCTTTATTTATATTTCAATCTAAGTTTATTTTATATCATGACATGATTCTACTATGTTAAACTTTTTATTAACAGATACGCAAAAAAATGTATATCACTGATATTTATGGAAAAATTATTTGTTTATAAAAAATAAATTATTGTCTAATTATAAATATAACATAAAATATTATTTTAATTTTTATCTCAGATTATATTAATATAGTATTTTATTATGATCCTAATTTAATTAATATCATTTTTAAGTTAATTAATGAGTCTTAAGATTATTTTATCAAAAAATTTTGCCTAGAAATGATATAAAATTTATAATTGAGTTAAGCTTAAATTTTTTAATTTGACTCCCTTTTTAAAATTCGGAATTTATTTATTTGATAGTTGAATGAGAATGTTAGAAAGGGATGATATGTTCATTCCTTAACATTATGAAATTGTATCTGAAATAATTTAATTATATAATGTTAATAAAACGGTGTAGGATTAGTTTTAATATATTGGGAGATTTGTTCTTTATAAGATCAATATCGGCGACGATTCAATATTGATATCGTACACCCTTGAAAAAATATATGTAATGCAAGGAATATTGAATCTACCCCCCCCCCCCCCACGACATAAAATTACAAATGCACTTATGCTACCCTTGTAGTCAGTGGTTTGATAAAAGAATTTAAGACTAAATTTATGCACTATAAACCCACTTGATTGGGTTAGATCTGGCTCATTTTTTCTACCACAAATTATGTGAATTCGACCCAACCAAACAATTTAACATCCCATAAAAATATTCAAAAAATTAGGATTTCTGACTTAAATTTAACTTTTGCCATTCCTCGGAAAACATCGTTTTTAAATATTTTGTAATTTAAGACCATCAAAAATTTAAGAAACATGCATCAGATTGGTGACCCTAATTTTTTTAAACATGGTTTCCAATATATATTAGCGATTTTTAATAATTTTGGAAGTACCAATGATTGTCATAATTTCTATGTTATATCCTTGTTTACATTTTATAAAAGTTTAAAAATAATGTATATGACAATTGTCAGTTTTCTATGTTATATCTAAAATATTTAAAAAAAGTAAGGATCATGATAATTGTAACTTTTCTATGGTAATTATATATTTTTACCAATTTGAGCCAAAAAAAATAAAAAGATTAAAAAAACAATTTAGACAATTGTCATTTTTTATGGTACATCTTTATTGAAATTTTATTTTAACATGTTTACAATATATTTTTACCCATTTGCATCAAAAAAATAACTATTATGACAATTGCCGCTTTCTGTGGTATACATTTTTATTGAAATATTAATTTATCATGTTAACCATAAATATTTTACCCATTTGAGTCAAAAAAGTTTAAAAAAAATAACGAATATGCCAATTGTCACTTTTCTATGGTACATCTTCATTGAAATTTTAATTTAATATACTTACAACCTATTTACTTGATAAAAATAAATAATATCTATTAATATGTAGATCTTTCAAGTTCGTTGCTCAGAATTTTTTAAATAAAAGATCATAAATTTTATGATCTTCAAAAATCTAGCTCAAATTATTGAGCATGATCTTACTCAAAAATCTTTTTTGAAGATTTTTTGTTTCCTCATCAAACAAGTCTCTATCCCTGTGAATTCAATATGTTCTCACATACTAGTTCACATGTCATAGGTGGGGATGTCTGAAAACTAATATAGGGGAAATAATTTTAAATAGGATTTACTTTAGACATAGGTTCAATGAAAAGTTAATGCATTAAAAAAATAAAGAGAATCGAAAGCTATCTATTAATTTTGCGAAATAGAGTACGTTTTTACTAGAAAAAAATTATGGGAAAACATTGTTGCCAACATATTGCAGTGTGTATGAAATGACCATCGACATTAAGACAAAGAATGAGATCAATGAAACAATGGTATCAATATCCAGGCAAATAGTCGTAGTTCGAAAAAGTATAGAATTAGTCGTTTTACTCTCAAGAGATCACTATAGTTAAAAGGAATTCGTACAAGAGATCGTTATACGTACAAGTGATCGTTTTAGCTAAAAGAAATTCGTTACAATTTAAAGATATACATTTAACTGTTATTCAAGTTGATAATATTTAGCAAAATATTAGGTTGTTGATTAACCAAAATCTTCAGGAAGAGAAAAGGCTTTCATCATTAGAAAATTTATGCCGCAATCGAGCTCGTTTAGAGATCGGATTTTTATTTTGGATCAAAAGATACAAAAAATCGTTATCGTATAAGAGATCTTTATTATAAGAAATGGTTATGGTTACAAGAGATTGGTACCGTTAGGATCATGACAAGAGTCAGTATCGTTACAAAAGGGCGTTATCGTTATATGAGATCTTTATCGTAGACATTACTTCTCGTAAGATAGAGATAACTCAATGTCGTAGAATCAGTCATCACATATAACAAGTTATCCTGTATGGGCAGTTCAGAATGGATTTGAGCGATTTAAAGGAAGGGGTGTCAAATGTTGTAGATGTTAAAAGACTTGAATAAAATAAATATAAGAAAAAAAAGAGAGAAGAACGCATATATAATTTGAATAATTGAATTGTTGTAAAGTTATTTTTATATAATATGATAATTGTTTATATATCTGATATTCTAATTTTCGTGGTTATAAAAAGAAGAAAAAGAAAAGGAATTTTATAAAAATATATAATTTTTTAGTTTGATGATATATTTTTAGTTGATTTTATATAATTTTTTATTTGATTTTAAATTTTTTAGTATTGATTTTATATTTTTAATTTGAATTTACGTTTTAGTTTATTTAATAAATGAAATTAGCATTTTCTTCGTGTTCATATTAAATTTTAAACATCTAGCATAGAGGAGGGGGGGGGGAGAGGGGGTTGAAGTTAATTTCCTCCCTATTGGAGGTCTCTAAGTACACATATTTCAGGCATGTGCCTATGTTAAATTTTTTTAGGGTTTTGCCAGATAGTTTTGACATAATTTCCCGATTTTCTTTAGGTTTCGCCAAAATACGCCATCTATTGATTTAGGCTTTCTCCCGATTTTCCTAAAAAATATTCTCCCGATTTTTTTAATATAAATTATTTAATCTATCGTTTTTTTATTTTAATTCAATCATACAATTAAAAAGGCATATTTTTTATCCATATTTTAAAAAAAGGAAAAAACAAAGATATTAAAATGATCTTTTTCGATATCCAAAACTTTCTAATTTAAATATATTAATAAATTTTAATTTTGAAATGAATTGTTATGATAAATCATATAATAACTGATTCTGATTCTGATGATGAGTGAAGTATTAGTGTATATAATTATATTTTAGAAAAAGGCAATTTATTCAATGTAAAATTATCAGCCATTGAGGAATCCATGGTGTAAAGAAAAAATTCAACAATGCAAAAACATATTTCCAATTTAAAAATTAAGGAATCATCAAATAATACAACCATACTTCAAGAGCAATAAATATTGCAATAGCCAATAACGACATTCATCTATCACATGATACATAATCTACTGATTGCGCTCAAACTTATTGCCCATACTCTTTCCTGATTCAAAAATATGCATAAAGTGTAAAATAAAAGCCTCAAAAATTAAATATTCTAGATCATGAAAATAAGAAACATTTCTTTGATGATTCGAGGACATCCATTTTCTCTATTAATTGATGCAACAAATAAAGGAAATACTAAAATATTCCCAATAATGCTGCGCTATTTTAATAAAGAAGGTGTTTCAAATAAACTTTAAAATAATTTTATCGAACTCGGAGGCCTTGAAAATTGTATAACAGCTTTTTGTGCCGATGACGCAAGTGTAAATTTCGGGAAAATGCAAAGTGCAATAGCAGAATTATTAGTTTTGAAAAATACTAACTCCATTGGTTGCCTATGCCATACAATTCACAATGAATGAGCAAATTTCATTATCAATAAACAGAAATAATTGCTATGAAATGTTATGTCGAATTCAGCAGATCCATAGACTGGGTATCTGTTTAAAAAAATATGAATTCTCAAGATATAGAATGGCCCGAACTTCTGCGAAATGTCCCACTCTTGAAAGACTTAATAAAAATTACTAGCTGTTAAATTTTATTTTTTAACCCAAAAGAATTGCAATTGAATATTAAAATTATATTTTGAAATATGTTGGCCCAGGTTATTTAGGCCTAGTTATTAATATAGGGACAACCTTAAACAATGTGGCTAAAAAATTGCACTCCGAAATTCAATTGCAATGGAGATGTTTTCATTAATGAGTAAATTAATTACAGCACAAGTTATCAATTACTTTTATAGATCGGTTGTAAAACAAAATCTTATAAAATATAAGGATCATGATAAAATCACATCATTTCATAATGAACCTAATTCATTAAAACAATCATTTTGTATTTATTACAAATAATTGAAAAATCTAAGTATTATGAAGCTTGATAATAAATTTAAATTCGAGGATTGAATTAATAATAATCACTTTTAATATAAAAGATATCGAATTAAATGAATTTTTTCATTAATTACTTGAAATAAATTTATAGAACAAATAATAATATAGGCTTATGAAAACAAATGGGTGCTTTTTTTCAAAGTACATAGCACCAATTTTTGAAAAATATATAATATTATAATCTCGTTACCACATTCAAAAGATGATTCAGACTTTAGAGCACATATTAAGTTTAATGAAAAATTTCTGGCTGAAAGATCGCAATCGGTTATATTATCAGCTTTAAAAGGGGAATTAATGATCAAACATAATTTTTATACTTGTAAAATTTTAAGGAATATTTAGCAAAGAATAAAAATTTAAATAGTAACATGAAATCTTCTGAAAAATATTTGGAAAAATATAAAAATAATATATGATTTCTTTATTTTTTGCGTATTAGATATATCTTTATTTTTTTAAATAAAATTATTTATTGAATTATGGTTAAATTTTCCCGCTTTTTGTTTGAATGAATCTGGTAACCCTGATTTTCACCTTTCTATTGAATTACAGTAATTATTCAAAAAAATAAAAATCTTGACTTATTTTGCTTTATTATTAATGTTTATAGTGATATATTATATACATTTTTGGCTAAGAGTGCGGGGGAGTTATCCGTCGTTTTAAATTTTAATTTTATTAAATTCTTATTTTCCCCCTATTAAAAAAATATACATTAGGGAAGCAAATTTAATATTTTTTTTTAAAATAAAAACAGTTTTAAAATTGATAACGCTAACAATGCAGTATTTAGTCATAGGGTTTGTTTTGGGCCAGTTATCGGTCAAGTCACACTTTTTTATAACATTTTGAATAAGGTTTTAAACTTAATTATAGCGAAAAAAACAACAATTAACATTTTCAATTGATATTGCTACCAATTTTGGTCAACCAAATATTTAGTAAGCAATCGGTTTTCGACAATCTGTTAAATCACCATATTTGAACGTCAGCCATCGTCGACATGACAGGATGATCACTGAAAGCAACCCATCCTCTCAAACCCAATACCATTTCCCCCGTCTTCGATGGCGACATTCCTACATTATTGATTGCATAATTTTTATTATGTCTCCCTTCATGTTCATAAAAAGAGTCATAATTTATAAGATGAATAACTACCCCCTCATTTACAATAAGTGCTATTATTAAAGTATATTATTTGGATGAACAGTATCTATAGGACAGGATAGTCACGAAGCAACCTGAAATATTTTCACCACCTTGGGCGACTGTATTTCCGCATTATTAATTACACGTTTTTATTTATAATGATACTCCCATATTTTAAAAAGAAAAACTTAATTTACCAATATTACTACCAACTATCAAAATATAAAAGAGTCGATATTTATACAAAGGCGTAGCCAGGGGGGAGGGCAAGGGGCAATCCCTACCCCCTTCAGAAATTTATCACTTTTTGTAAATATCATTTTTAGCTAATAAAAAATATCCCCCTTAGTCCTCCCCCCCACTCTCTGACCCTCAAATATTTATGCATATATCTTAAATAATAATTTAAAAGAAAGAATGTAAAAGTTGATATTTTTTTATAAAACTATTCATCATAATTTATAGATTTTTGAGAAAATAAATTATATATATAATGAACCAAAAATGTTTTTTAATAACATGAGATTACACTTGCGTTGATTTTGCAGCCAAGTCTAACCTCTCAGTTTCTGCTATCGAAAAGGCAGAAATCCTTAAAAAAAATAAATACGCTGGCCTCGCCAACACTTTGTTCATTCCTATCGTTACCAATACCCTAGGCATGTTTAGAAACGAGGCCCTCAATTTCATCAAAATCATAGGAAAAAAAATGAGGCAGATCTCAAGGGACCCCAATGAAGGATTTTACCTTCGCCAGCAGATTTCCCTGGAAATTTGCCGGTCTAATTTTTTAAGCATTCACTCTTCTCTTGGATGATATATATCCACCTTTTTTTTAAAATATATATGTATTTTTTTTATAGTATCCATTATAATATATATTTTTTAATCCTCTGTAAATTATATAATTTATTTTATAATATTTTTTTGTAAAATAATAAAAAAGTCGAATTAAAAAAAATAAAAAATAAATGGAATATAAGCCAAAGATAAGTCTTAAGACATAAGTGAAATGTATTATAATGATTAATAATAGATCCATAAAATTACTAAATAATATAATATATCAAATATAATTTTTTATAAAGTGAGTAATTTTAATTTATTTATCTTTATAAAAGTAAAATATAATTATAAAACTATTGATAAAATTAAATCATAAATTAAAAAAATATTAAAGCAAAATATAAACAGTGGAATATTATATGTCGTAGATTTACAGTATATCTAATTATCAAATGACAATCAAGTAATTTTTACCAATATAGCGAATTATATATTTTACAGAAAACTATAAAATATTGATAAGGACATCAGAAAATATCTTTCAAAGACATTGTGGGATGAATAATATGAAAATTAAATTTAAATATCATTTTACTTAAAACAAATAGATGGCGTTAAATAATTGAATGCAAATTGTTGCTATATTTAATAACAAGAGCATTGATTAGTAAGATTAGTTAAATTAATAACTGTAATATATTCTCTAACTGTCAAATATGTCTATAAAAGTGGAATTTTACCTAATATTCTATAACTAATTGTATATTATAGAGTAAAATCAACTATATGTCTACTTACTTTTTATAAATAAATTTCTTATAATTGTTTGGAATAAATTATTACAATGTTTTTATATTAAGGTATATACAATACAAGTAATTTTATTTATTAAATTTGTAAATATATTTTATTACTATATATAGACTAAAGTAACCCGGCCGAAGGCCGGGAAAAGCGGGCCGAAGGCCCGCCCAAAAGGGGATCTGGGGGCGAAGCCCCCAATAATTTTTTAATCCCCCCCCCCTTATGAAAATCCTGGCTACACCTATGATTTATAGAACATGAATAATTAAAAATCCCATTATTTACAATGAATGCATTATTATAGTATATATTATTTGGCATGAATGAATATGAGTTTGTTGAAAGAAGAGTATCTAACCCTTTTAAATATCATTTGAAAAATTGAAGAAGATTATCTAGAAGAAGTAAGTTTTATTAAAAATATATGACTATATTATATGTAATACATAAATTTGGTCGATCTTTGCATTATCATTGTAATTAAGTCTGTAATAAAAGTATTAAATAATTTCTTACATCAATATATTCTATCCTATTTTATCTAAAAATTTAATAGATGACCTCCCAATAAATTTATACTAACATATCCCCCCTTAACGTCCTACACCCCCCCCCCCACCCCCCACTGCTCATGTAGACGTTGATAACAATTATTTTATAATCATGTTTAAATAATTATTTAAAAACGTGTTGTAGACTAAGCCTAGATCACTAATCTGTTTGTCTAAATACTAAGAATTTGGTGTAGATGATTTTATTATGTAGACTATATGAATAAATGGTAGTGTTGTTAAACCGATTTGGTTAGATTTTTAAAATTTTGAAATTTTTTGATTTTTTACACAGATTAATATCTATATTTTTTTGAAATATTTTATAACCACATTATTTTGATTTCGCTTTAACGCTTATATCTAAGAAAATGAAATATTTTAGCCTTCTCTTCGAATAAAAAATTTAAAATCTTTGATGTAGTAGATATATCTAGTCTTCCTAAAAAATATATATTGATACGGGCATTATTAAACAATCATGAAAATAAAATATAATCTTTTATCATTATTAATTATTCTATGTCACATTCAAGATCTTTTAGCTAAAACAGGTTTATATATGAATGTCCTTATTTTGAACTTCATAGAATATAAAATATTTTAATTTTTTTTTTAATATTATTCTTTGTAAATTACATCTATTTTTATAATATTATTATAAAAATATGGAATGTTTAATAAATTAAAAAATATTAATCTGTTTACCTCATTAATTTTGTATAGGTTTTCTGACCAAGCCCTGTATAAACTCTCCAATGGTCACTTAGAAAAAAAAGAAAAGAAAAACATCAATTTTTTTCTGACCTGACAGTGGCCTAAACTGTTAATTTTTATTCATCACTTTATAAATCAGGCTCTAATTTTAAATTTGTTTGTTATTTTTAAAAATTATTTCAAAGTAAGGAATAGCAAGAATACGAAATGATTAATTCAATAATTTTCGAACTTAATTTGTTTTAAAAATTTTGATCTAGCCTAGGTTTTGCGAAAATAAAAATTAGATGTAACCCAGCCTGAGGTTTTAATTACTTTTTAAGCACAGCTTAGCCCATATTTTTTTTATATCATACTATTTTATGGGCTTCATTCCAGGTGGGGATTGCAGGAAATTTCCGATAAGCTAAAATTTTTAATCTATACATGATTATGTGTCATATTTCTAATTATCCAATAAGTATAGAATGTGTTACATTCAAATTGGGAGTAAAAACCATAATTTTATATACATTTCCAAATAATATAAATAAATGGGTACTAGCACCAGCAATATTACCTTTATCAATAGTAATAATGTAGAACAAATTAAATGTTTCAGGATTTTGTCTAATAAGTAATTCATTATATATTATGCTTTTTAAAATGATTTGGTAAAATGAATTTTATAAATTTTCATAAAGGTCCAAACAGTTGTCAAAAATGTGGAAGTTTAGTAAAATTATTATAATAAATATAAACTATTTGATGATATATAACAACAGTTTCATTTTGAATTTAAATATATTAAAAGAGTAAAGTAAGATCTAGCAAATATACATAGTTGTCATGCTAAAATTTAATGATTTTTTAAGGTTTTTTTATGTGTTTTCTTCACAAATTAAGAAAATAGTTGTCAAAAATATTTGTGTAATCAAATTTTTTATTTAGATTGTGAAAAATTATAAACTAGAATTAATTTTTTTTTGGAAAATAATGACATTGTTGTTGCTAGCTCTTATCTTGGGGCCAAGCTGGGGGCAAAAAAATTGAATATTCAAAAATGAACAAAACCATTTTATTCATATTATCTTAATTTAAAAATTATAACAATTATATTTCTGAATCCAACTTAACTCATCTGCAAAAAATTTCCTGTCCCATTCCAAAATAACAAAAATAATCATGCAACGGTTTTGCAGACCTCTAATTTAGGAGGAATTTTGGTTGTGTTTTTAAATTGTTTTCAAAGGGAAATTGAATAAAATAGTAAATGAATATTAAATGCCCAATAAACAATGATTTAAAAATTTTGGTTCAATTGTTTCTTTATGACTAATATAATATATGTATTATAAAAAGAGTATATAACTAAAAAGGCGATAATATATTATAATTGAGAACAAAAACTAAGATAGGCATGGAAGATTATTTGATGACTCCCAGATTTAAAAAAAAAGAAATATTTATAGGCCCATCCAGGATTTTTTTAAATTTCACGGTCCAAATCAAGATTATTGGGCGTGATATCTCTTATTAAACATAATAATTAAAAAAATATTTTCCCCTGTTTTAATTTATGAATGACTTATTCATGAATCAATCGCAATTTATTTTTATTGTATGAAAAATTAATATTTATTTTTTTTTTTTCCGATTTTCTAATAAATAACATCTGTTTCCCCAAATTTTATTATAATTTCTATTACCAATAATATAATTGTTTTATTTTATTTATTTATTGCTGAGAATTATAATGTATTTTATATAATAATGGGATTTAGAAGAAAGTAATGGAATAATGAATGACAAAATATAGGCTTTGGAAAATAATGACTCCAATAAAATTTTATACCTTTGTCTTGGCTTTTAAATTTTTTTAAAAAAATTATATTTGGATTTTATTTAAAAAAATTCTCTTTATAGAATAAACTCACTCCACATTGGTCGTTTGTAGCCTTAACCCTTATAAGATTTTCTTACATATTTCATAAAATGTTTTACAAAATTTAACATTTCGCCTTCACATTTCTTTTGATTCAGAATGATAATTAAATGCAAATTTTTAAAAAATGTATGAGATCGCTTGCCAGCTAAAATATATTTATATCTTTATAATTTACCAAAATTTAGGCTTCAAATTTCGTCGATAAAACGGCTAAAAAAAGAATTACCGAACTACTCATCACTCGATTTATCTTTTTTCTACTTTATTGCACATTTTTATTAGGAGATAAAGTAGGTAATTACAAGCTTTTAGTGTTCACGGTTGGAACGGAAAAAACCGATGGCTTTTTGAGGTATCAAAGATCTTCCAATGTATTTGGTCTTCGATCAGTGGTAAGTTTAAAAATATATATATATATGCAAAATCTTTCCATTTAATAATAATATAAAAAATTGTTTTAAACGATGTAAGGAGACAAGGAAGTAAAAAAAAAATAAGTATAAAAAAGAATAGAAAGAGATGAGGAATAGAAATATAAATGTAAATAAAAAGAAAGAAAGAAAATTAATTGAAAGATGCCGTGATTTTTAAATTATGCCGTTATTACCAATATCAACCCTTCTATCCTCCACATTTTATAAAGAAAATTAAATCTATTATATTAAATAATTTATCATCTAAAAATTAATCATAAATTAAAAGAATGTTAAATTTGAAATTATTATGGCAAAAAAAACATCGACCAAAAGATAAAAAATAAAAGATTTTTAAAATGAGAAGTGATCACGGTATGGACTAGAAATAAGACCTTAGCCGTGGATGGCGCGAACGAAGTTTCGTTTAATCTGACATCGTCAATAGCCTCCCGTAACGAGGTAAAACAAATTAGACGCTGGGCGGGTGGATAAATATTTTTTCTCAAAACGACTGCCCGGCCATTGAGTTTGAGATACGAGTTGAATGAGCAGGACAGACGGACAACCTTATAAATAAAAATCTAAAGGTTTGGACATCTTCTTAAAATCTCGAGCCTTGCATAATATTATCTTAGCTAGAATCTTAATTTATAATCGGCTAAATCTAGCCTTTTAACAACACTAAAATCAACCAATCAAATAATTTATAAGGCGGATGGCTAATTTTTTTCAAAGACCATGGGCTGCAGGTTAAAACCCGCTCGTAGCAGACTTCAAATTTTTGAGTTTTGAGGTATTTTAGTGCCTTCTAGATCTAGGATATGGTCACCGCTTTTATTGGGATAAAAAAATAGCTGCCTATTCAATAATTTATTCGTCATTTTGATAGAAATTTATCCGATCAAAGATAAGCATAATTATAAAATAATTTATTCATGGTTCACATTGAAATAAAAAAAATGTAATTCAAAATTACTTTCATATTTTATTGCTTTGCTACCCAATTTTTTTATTTATCATCAAATTTTAAAAGACGACCTTTAAATTAAATTGGGAATAAATTGCGGTTTCATGTTATAATAAATTTTAATAAATTTTTTATTTTCTAATTTGTCATTGATAAATTGTAAAAATGTTTTTTTTTCTCTTTGAAATTTTTTTGGTTTTTCTTTAAAAAAAATTTTTTACGACCTCAGACAACGTCACACTGGCGAGGGAGGCATTTTGGAAAATAATGTGAAATAAAAAATTACAAATTATTATATCTAATTTTTTTATCAATGAAACGATTCCCCTACCAGTAAAAATAATTTATTAAGCTTTAATAAGAAATCAAAAATCAACGAATGAAATAAAATCAAATTAAAATGCAAATAATCACAATATATTATTAAATTAAATTTTCGTTACAGTTACACATAAAATTACTTTAAAATTTAAATAAATTATAAGGAGTAAGTAAGGAAGAAATGTTTCGCTAAAAAAGGAATGTGAAAATTTTTTGCGCGTGTAATTTAGTGGCATTAATTACGAGATAAATTACGATAGTTTTTATGATTCTATAATTAATGTATACATTTTGTTGCAATTTTCAAATATCCTTATTTTATTTTATTTTTATAATTATATTTTTATAACATTGAAAGAATAATATTTCGAAGCAATAATGTTTACAAAAACTATATTTTTTTCTTAAAGAAAGAAAGAAAAGAAAAAAAAGGGAAGAGAAGAGAAGGAGAGAGACAAAAAATTTAATTAACTAAATAATTTCTTTTATAGACTCATTATTTACCAACCAACCCAACTCAACCCATATAACATTTTTATGACTAATTCATATTACACACGAAGCACGATTGAAGAATTCCATAAAAATACGTAATTGTTGATATTTTAATCGATTCCTACATACACGCGAAGTGTTATATAAGAGTGAAATTATTGTAAGAAGTTTAACTTGACGAAAATGGAGTTTTTTTAAACAAAATAAAGGGGAGGGGGAGATAAATGCCGATCTGCAATATATTTACCGATCCGAATCGGTTATCGGTACGGTTTTGGGTAAATATCGGAAAAATGGTGGATTCTGTACAGCTAGAAAACCTAACAAACTTTTATCCAAAGTTCCAATTACAAAGCCCCGGTCATAGGGTTTGTTACTATTATGATTTTTAAACCTAATATGATATATTATAATATATTTTGTATGTAATTTTGTCACATTTGGTACAAAGAGTTGTTTTTATCTTTTGCTCCAATTTAAACACAAAAGTTTATTGATGTGTGTTTAAAAAAATGGCTTTTGTCCAAAAGTAAAACTTTTTTTAAAAAAGGTACATCTGTAAAAATTAGAATAATATTTGAGATAATTTTTTGCCGCTTTTTTTTATGAAATAAAAAAAATGAATTTTAATAAAATAATTTTTTTTTGATGGATTATATCGTTTTTTAAATAATTAATAAAACAAAAAAATGGTATGAAATATTTTTTATAGAATCTTTAATAAATTTTTATTCTGGTAAAGAAAAAAAATAAGGGTGGAAGTGGTTAGAACTCTTTAGACCACCCTACCACAGCCAATGGCGATGACTCCATCCTCCCTTCAGATGACTAAATTAATAAATAATTTAATAATACGGACTATATATATATTGATTAAGAGGGTACTCCCTGAAATTTCAATCGTACCTCCCTCTATATACTAGAGGGCCCTAATTTGATTAAACTTTCTTTAATGTAAGTGTATGTAAAAAAAGAGTTCGTGTGATATCATTTGAAGATAGACAATGATTTCAACCGAATAAAGCTCATGCCTTTTTATTATTTTAATTCAATTGAATCCAGGAAGAGGGAGAGAGAGGGGAAAAGGAAGTACGATTGAATATACCGACACAATATTGAATTTAAAATTATATTTCACAGGTTTTGGGAATGGATCAAGTATGGCAAGGCGGAGATGTTAGGTACTTTCCGGGAGGCGGTCAGAAAATCAACCTGTTAAGAAAAGCCCTGAGCTTGGACATTGATAAGCATTACTTCGAAAAATTCGGCCGAACGCCTCCTATCGATATATCCAACGAGGTAGATCACCATATAGATGACGATAATCTAACCGAAGATGATTCGGAATTTAGTATTGCTAATGGTAAGATCGATTACGACAATTTGATAGTGCTCTTTACTGACAGGTAAATATTAAAAATACGCGTTGTTGAATAAATACGTAGTGCAATGATTTAATATAATTATATTACTAGTCATTTCGTTTACCATTATAACTAATGTAATATAATTCTCGGTTTCTGATATGTGGCCAGGTTCGGCTTCCATATTTTACCAACCTTATTTCTCTGTTTTGATTGTACGCTTTCACTTTATTACTAATTTTTTACTTTGTAAGATATCGAGCTATAATAGTTCGGTACTATCTTATTTTTTTTATCTTAACTATTTTTTGTTAAATTATAGTTTTTTTAGTCAGGTGATGTCCTTTTTTAAATAGAACAGTGATTTTTCTTAAAACCATAGTGTCTTTTTTGAATGCGGGGAACTTAGGGTAAAAAGGGACAGTATATAACTAGATAAACTATAAAACACTCTTTAAATCGTTTTCTTCTTTTGAAGAATAAAAAATTAAAGTGTCATACATATAATCTATTTTTTTAAATAGTCATTAATAGCAAATAAGTTTTCGCAAATCATGTTTTCTTTCCATATTTATTTCCTACAAAAACAATCAGCTATTTTTTTTTATTTAAAAATTTTTTATTATAATTATTTTTAGGCAAATTTTCAATGCTGATTAAATGACGAGGCGATGTTTTATTTTTAAAACACAAAGATGCAAACATAATTTGTATCGGTATTTCAGGTCTGTAATGGGTGGGGTTTAGTCCAAACGCCCGTTTGAATTCACCCGTCCGCCAATTTATTTAAAAATTTTGTTTGACTCACCCGCCCATCTTTTCAAAAATATTTTTTAACCGGCCCAGTGGTTAGAACGGGCGAGAAACTGAAAACCTGCTCATTGCAGACTACTAATCGGCATTGGCTAAAAAAAGGGATATCGATGCATCAGATAAGTAAATATGAGCGGAGGACAATAAAGTTTGTTGCCCCAAAATAATCAAATATTTTTATAACAAAATATATATTTTAATATAATTTATCTTCATTTATATTATAATTTATCAGTTTTACGTTCTATTTTAATATAAATTTTTTTTAAAGCTCCTTTATAATAATATTAAGGCTGTTAATCCCTTGCTTCAAAGTTGCATGAAATTAAATATTTACTAATGTTTATCTGAGTTTAAAACACATGTTTTTAAAAAAATATTAATTGAGGTTTTTTAGTAAAATTTAATTGACTGTTTTTTAAAAATGCTTTTGCTCCCGAGAAATTTAAATTAATTTTACTGATCTTGACTATAAAAAACATAATATAATATATAAGAAAAGAAAAGAACGAAAGAAAGAAAAAAAATAAAGCCAAATATACACCAATTTCATGGATCGTCATCTCTATTATTACAAATGTTTGATTAGATTCATATTTCAAAACTGCGAACCGAACCGCGAAATTCAAACCGTCATAATTAATTTTTGTTTGTTCTTATTTTTATAAATTTTGTAAAATTAGGATTAATATTATAATTTATTTTAATTTTTAAAAATAACATATTTAATAAAACTATATAAAAAACATGTAAACTATTTAAAACAGTTATAAAAAACATATAAGGCGGGAAAAAGAATAATGAATTTTTTTAAATGCAAAAGAAAGCTCATTTTGAGATCATAGTAAACTAAGATAGTTGCATAGGAGCACAGCAATTTGGATTAATTTGTCAGGAGATTATATATATCAGGATAATTTTAAAAGCCCAAAACTTATAAAAATAATTCGAATTTAACTAAACCTTTTTAGCCGAACTATAAAAATTAAGAATAAATGTAATATATTTTTTAAAAATCCAAGCCGGGGCAAATAATTTTTTTAAAATATATCCGGGCTGAAATAAATCTTTTCCCAAAAAATATTTATGGGAAACTAAAAATTTCTCTATCCCGAAGGCATTGAAACTTTGGCGTAGGTTATGAAGTCGTGGTATAGCAATTACGCTAGATAATTTTAAGTTTTTTCATAATATTAGTTTTTCTTAATAGCATTAGACGAAACAAAATTTTCTGTTCCTGCCGAATTCATTTTATCGAGATATATGAAGAAAAAAGCAAATAAAATTTAATGCCGAAAGGAAATTTTATAAATATTTTTGGGACAAAATAATAAAAAAAATTTATTAATCAATTTTATTATCCATTTATAAATATTTTTTCCTAGTATACCTTTTCGAATAATTTGAAACAACCATGACATATATTATGATTATATATATTACAATAGATTTTGTATATATAATGTTTATTTTGCAATATTTAATTTACCAAAAAACAATTGATAGTTTTCCCATTAAAAGCTTACCTTTATAAGGACATCCTTTGTTTCTATTTCCTTTTTTGCTTAGTTTTTTTTCTTTATTATTTTTTTTTTGGCGAAAATATAACAAGTCGCTATAAAACAAATTTTGCACAGTTTAACAACGATTTTTTGTTAATGTTTTAATTAGGGGAATATTGGTAAGCCAAAAAATTTATATCTCTTAATTTGGCACTCATAGTAAAATAGAATTTGAGCATTTTGTCATAAAAACCTCAATGCTGGCTATTAAATACAATGTGTTCTTTTTATTCGTAGTTGAAATATAATTTCTACCTTTAAATCTTGTATTTCTTGAATTTCAAGGGTTTACGAAATCAAGTTTCATTTTTTTTTAAAAATATAGGGTAAGAAAAGTGTTGTGTAGAAAAAAAAGATGATGTAGGTTTGATTAGACATATTAATAGTATATCTTTGACGTTGCTTAAAAAAAGTATCAAAACGTTCACACTACTTCTTTTTAAAATAAGCCGTTACTTTACTTTCATTCTTTCTTTCTTTTCAGCTAAAGAAAAGAATGTTTGGATCCGCTAGCCATGAATGCTTTTTTAATTTAGCCAATTAATTTTTTTAAAGATAAAAATGTCCCTACACGACCTCCAAAAAGCAGGTCGGATAGTTTAAAATTGGTATTCACTCCATCAAACATTTAGATTGATTAAAAAATAAACATAATTTTTTTGTTAGCTCTGACTGATTGCCACCTCTTTGGCGGAATAATTCTTTGGTTCTGGAAGTTATTCAGTGTCTAGAGTTCTCGAAGAAAATGAGGGCTACATGGTATAGTTGATATGGCCAGGAATATTTGGTAAAACTCGGCGTTGGCTAGAACAACTGGAAAGGGTTATTGGATCAATGCGTCCCAGATAAAGAATGCACCCATTCTTTCGGAAAATCTTGCAAATTCTGCCGATCAAGAACTTTAGCGTACATATCATTAATATAATCAGATCCATAGCCCATCGCTCAGCAATTTTCTTGTCTTGATCGCCCTAGTAAACAAATTTGGATCACATATTTCTACCCATTATAACCACCACGCTAACCCGGCATTCACTTACCTCAAGGAATTAGAACACCAAATGACTTTCAGAACCAAAGATAGAGGTGATTTTACCTGCTACAAAGTTGACAATCATATCCAGAGCCAACTTTATCCGTTTCATTTAAGGATACATTTCTTTCCTTGTTCCGCGTTCACGTCGACTAAATCAATCATTGTTTATCATATTGAATGAAACATGTTTATACGATTTCAAGCAAACTTTTCCAAAATTCTCAATTTTTACCTATTTTTTTCTTCCTTTTTTAAAAAAAATAAAATTATATTGCAGTTTTATTTTATACACATCAAATCAAATGAGTCGGTTAAATATAATATATTTTTTTTCGCATAGATATTTTGATTTTAATCAAGTCATTCCTTTCTATTATATATTTTTATTGTTTTTATATCTTTTAATTGGTTTATTCATTTATATATTTCGAAAAAATATAAAAGTTACGATGTGATATTGAACGGAAACGCCACGAAGATCATTAAAGCTTTTTTGTCCACCAATTCGGGTCTACTATTTTCTTCCGAAATCTTTTGCTGGCCCGTTACTTCTTTGGCAGTTAATATTTAAAACTTACTTATATTTTGAATTTTCCTCCTGCTTTTCCTTTTTTTTAAAAAATTTGATGTTGTTAAACGGCCCGATTTATCATATTTTAAATTGATTTTAGCCAAAATAATATCTCGTAAGCCTTCGCTAATGGATGTTCAATCTTTTCTGACATCTATGAACAAAATCTCCAGACTTGCGTAATATTTTTTTAGCTAAAATTTTGAGTTAGCCCTTTTTAAGAATCCACTCAACAACACCACCTCGATTAGTGTAAGAAGTACACAAGGTATGTTTTAATTAAGGCAAATCGCTTTTCTAAGACATGTATGACTAAGGAATATTTTGAGAGAAAGAACCCGTGAGATAATGTTATATATTTACATTTTTAAATTATTAGGATTAAAACTTCAGAATTAGAGGTCTGCAATGGGCGGGTTTTTAGCCCACAATCTTTCTCATCTTAAAACATACCCGCCCACCCATTAGCCTAAAATTCTTTACGCGTCGGCCCATTATTTATAAAAAAATTTTAACCCGCGTCGGCCCATATAAAATTTACAGATTCCCATTCTTTCAATAAACAACCAAAAAGTTTTATAATTTAGGAAATTACTATATTAAGCATAAAAAAATATTCAATTTACATTACGGATAAGGAATCTATTTCAAATTAAATATTGCGAAAAAAATATAAATTATTGATATTATTTATATTTATAATATAAAAATAATATTGAATCCACATTTTCTGGATTCAAACACGTTCTTCTGTTCAAAAACCTTCCAGAAATTTTAAATACTCGTCTTCATTCAGAATAAATACTAGTTCCTGGAATTGCCAATATTTTTCTGGTAAATCTTTTTCTTATCGTTTTCCAGATTAGGATATCCATCTGAAATATATCCTCTTCCTCAAGTGAGATCTTTTTTAAAAAAATGGGAACCATTAATAATAAATGAAAAAAAGTAATTTAAAATTTTAATTAATTGTTTGTAAATAGTAAATCAAAATAAGTAGCCTAAAAACTTGCTAAATAATACAAATCAAACTCGTTACCTTAAGATTTAAATACTTTGTTATGCCATTAGGTACGGTGCTCTCTTAACAACCTCATCTTACCATCTGCTGTGGTTTAATTTTGACGTGGATGCCATCTATCTCAAACTGCATTTATAATTTAACGCCCTTTAATTGAATTCTCTTTGCTTCTTTACTTTTGGGGAAGTGGGTAAAATCAGATTTTCACCCTCGATGTTATATTCTTCCATGCAAATCAAATCCAACATGTTTTCGATATATTTTTTTACCTTATTAATTTCTTCCTACGACAACATCGCATTCTCATCAGTTGTCGGAACGTCGGTATTAAAAATTTGAAATTTTATGGAGCATATTTTTTTTAATGTTTTACTCAAATGAATAAATAAACGCCATTTTTTAAAAAAATTTTGTATCCAGTCCGCCCACTTAGATAGGCACGCGGGGAAACCCTCCCCCCACCGGTTGCAGACCTTTTCTCTGAATACATTTTTTTTTAATGGTTGGGTAAAATGAAAGCAAATTATAATAATACATTTAAGGGGAAAAGGAAAAGAAATTTTCTTTTTGCCCCGAATAAATCTCAACAACTTAGACCTGACCGATTTTATCGAGTTTCCAAAAAGCTCAGGTTTACAGACTACTTGTTTTTAACCTATAAATCATGATTATTTTAAATTTTCTTTTCAAAAATATATCAACAAAATATGATTTTTAAAAAAAAATTATTTAAAATCTTTTCTTAATTTTTATGAATATTATTATTTTTTAATCGTTTTTTAATGACTTAATTTAGTTTTATAATATTTCAGGGTTAAAAATATTGAAGGAAAATTTTAATTATAATTTTACGTTCAACATATTTTCAACTATTATATTATTTCACATTATATTAAAAATGAACTTGACATAGCATTTTTTTTAAATGCGCATAGCGCATTTGATTTCACGGGAATAATTGAATTTAATTATATTTAATAAATTACGAGGGAAAAAAGAATAATATGCATAAAATAATCTTTTATTTAAAAAATGTGATATGATTTAAAATTATGCTTAATTTATTTTTCAGTAAAAGGCCATATTTTGTAACTTTATATCTCGTTTGATTATTAATATTTGTTAGTGTTATTAAACGGCTTGATTTGAGCTGATTTTTAAAAACGGTTAACTTAATATTTTATTCATATACTCTAGCCTGAATATTTTGCTCATACACAAACATTTGAACATCTATTAGCGAAATCTTGAGGCCTAGGTATTATTTTTCTGGCGAAAATATTGAGTTAGCCGTTTTTGAAAATTAACTCAAATTGAGCCGTTTAACAACACAAATTTTTAGTACTAAAGATTATTAAATATATATTTTTTTAAATATCATTTTAAGCCTGCCCAATATACAAGTAATTTAATATTTAATTCTTTCAAATGTGCTTTTCTATTAAATATTGTTTAAAATTATAACCTTGTATTCTTATCTAATAACTTCCTCTTTAAAAAAAACAAAATTTTATTAGGAATCATATCCAGAAAGCGAATGGAAAAACAAATATCTCAACTCTGGAGGTTAAATAATTTTTTGGAATTTTTTAAATATTGATAATAAAAGGTATGTAAGAAATAAATGGAAAGAATGAGCTTAAAAGGAAAGAAAAACAAATGTTGATTTTTTTTATACATCTATCATGAATACAGGATTCATCGGATTCTACCGGAACCTGTCAGAAATTTTGAAGATACCATCTGACAAGAATTCTATAGATACGAAAGATATGGAGGTGGATATCATACGAGCCGATGAGGATGATCAATTATATTACACCAAAATGTTTCTGGATCCCGAGATAAGGGTAGGCTAATTTTTCTTCTTTTTTTTGAAGGGTGAAATGAAAGCGTAATGAAACTTTATTTAGATAGTGTTATGGTTAAGCTCCTTTAAGCTTTCTATAATCATACCTTCCATTTTTTTATTTGGGTGTCCGTCTGTACATTTACATCCAACTTCTAGTCTCGCTATTTTTTTTTCCATTACATACCAAACACCAGTTTAACTTGCTTTTTTCGTTAATAGATGTCCAAACCTTTGTGCCATCTATGAGCAAAATCTTCAAATTAGCGTACTATTTTTTTGAATAAAATATTGAATTTACCGTTTTTAAAAATTGGCTGAATTCGAGCAGTATAACAACACCAACCTTAAGTTCGAATTGAAGTAATCATCAATTTCTATGGCTTCACGCCTGCTCCTTAGCATGAATCTGAACAATTCTCATTTATGTTACACCCATAACATTAAATTATATATATGTCATATGGGGTTTAGAAAACCTTTAAAATAAGCACGAGTTTTTAAAAAAAATTCTGAAAGACCTGATTACGCGGGAATCTTATACCCACATGTATAGAGACATACCCTAGGAGCCGTCAATTTTTAACTACTCTTAATTTATATAAATTTTAATCTCTTTATACATGCTGGAACACAATTCCTTTAAAATCAGATCTTAGAGAATTTATAAAGACGCACACTACTATTTATTAAAAGTTTTAAGATGTCCTAAAAACCCCCGGTCTATGAAGCATAATCCTAAATTTGCTAAACTCTTATGAAATTTATATCCATCGATTATATTAGCCTAAATTTATTTTAGTGATTTATATTTTAGTAGCGCTACTAATATCTGGCGATATTTTTTAATTATGATACCTCCAATTTTGTATATGCTATTTAAAAATAAATTTATTCTACAAAATCGCGTTCAATTTCTAGGACCCCTTAAGAATTTTTCTGAATAGTTACATTGTAAAGTGCTCCCAATGCTATCAGCTCATTTATACTAGCAAATTAATAATTCAATATTTTAAAAAAAAATTTAATAGAAAAAATTAGCCATCAAATTGGATTATCAAAACGTAGTATTTCAAAATTTGAACGGAGTGCCTCAAGGTTACTAAATATTCAATTAAATCTCTTATTTTTAAATCATATTCTCAAAAAATATAAAATTATTCTTTATAAAAGTTTTTTTAAAAAACCTTAATATTAATATATTTGTCTAGAATAATCTAAGAATAAACCAACCACTCTTTTTAAATGAGTATCATAATACTGATATATTACTATCAAGTTACTACACCCTATAAGTTTACTAGATGATTTTTTTTGTTGGCCACCTCTAAGTAAGTTATATCACTATTTTCCTTAAAAAGTAATTTGGAGTGAATTTGGATACCATTGAGATAATCCCCTGGAGAGGTGAGTTAATATTTATTTTAAACTTTAAATACCAAAGAAGATATTTATCTTAGTCATTATCAGTGATGTAACAATGCCACTTTCTTAATCGACAATGTTACAACCTACTAACACTATATCTTGATTAAAAAATAAAATAATGCAATATTGAAAAATAGTAAATATTATAAAAAATAGAAGAAAAAACAACAATCATCTAATACTATATAATTTTCTACAATATTATTTTTTCCTTCTATTTTTTATACTAATAATATACCCCAAAACTACAATAACCCTATATTATAGCAATCTTTTCATAAATATTACTTTACACTTTTACCACAGTAAAGATGTAATTCATCAATAACTATCATTATATAAATATATATTTATCGCTTATTGGTTAAAAAAAGTGAAAGAAAAAAAATTAACCTATATTTTTCCTATCGTTATAGAAATTTGTATATTAATTTTTTTATTAAATTATAGGCTGAACAAAAATATCTAAATTTATGATAGTTAATTATCATTTTTCACATTGATATCGGTTAAAATTGAAAGTATAAACCTGATATCAAGTACCGGTTATTAGAGTATATATCTGATTATCTATTATTCTTTGTTTCTTATCCTTGTAGAAGAACTCAAATTGACGACTCTAAAGGACAAGTACACCGATACGGAATCTATTAGTGAGGACGTGTTCTCGTTCTCTGGAATTTCTGATTCATCTTCCTCCGGCATTTTAACGGTGATTAATGTAGTACACAAGTCAGAACCAATGGTAATACACGGCAACGGAAATTCAAAGGTAATAAAATTAGATATATTCTTCGAAAACGATATTTGTACATAATGACATTTTTTTAAAGATTTCTACTGAATGTTTTATCATCACCTTTAAATATGAAATATTTATTTTTAAAAAAATTAGATTCAATTAAATTACCTCTCAAATTACGTACCTTTAGCCTGGTCTGTGGTGGATGGGTGTCTTTCTTGCAAAGAAAATACTTTTTCTCTGAGATCTAAGCAGGTTAAAATATTTTTAAAATAAAATTCAAAATTATTTGTTTAGTAAACTGAGAATATAATGTATTTATAAAACCCACATTTTTAAACCTTTATATCTACTTGCCAGGATTAATAATATTTATAAATAACTTAAAAACATGCAACAGTCATAAAATTTATTTAATTTGAGTTCAGTTTCCAAAAAATCTTATCTTATAGATTTCGTTTAAAGTAAGAGTTTACTGGGAAAAAAAATCTAGATTATAATTGTTGTAATTATTAGCAAAGATTTTATTATTTATTCACTTTGGTTTATTTTGTCCTCTTGTTTTTCCTTAAAATTGTTTCTAAATTTTTTTTTGGTTGAAAAGGTAGAGCGATTTTCATTTAGAATAAGAAAAAATAAAAAAAATTGTTGATTAAACGCATTAAAAGGTATCGTCACTATCGGATATTAGAAAATATTTGTCGATAAGTATATAATAACCCTAGCCACATAAATAAAATTTGCTTAATAAACCTTGAGAGATTTTGTGGGGCATACACCAAGCCCTAATCTAATTGTCACTAGCGGATACACATAGAAAATAGTTGCCCCTACCACAAAGATAATATTTGCTTGTTAAACCTTGAGGTTTTGTAGGGTCATACGCATAGCTTAATCCAATGCTTTTTTTTAAAATGTTAGTATTAAGTTATTGTCTTAAGATTTTCTTGATCGATTTTATTTCCAATAGCCTCCTATTTTATGCTCACTTATATTTCTGCAATACATAATAGTTTTTTTTAAACAAATACTTTGGGAGAACCCATATAAATATATATAAATCGTCCATGAGTTAATATATATAATTAATTTACACATTTACAATAGTGATTTATTCATGACAAAGGAATTGAAAATTTATTCTTTATTGATTCGAATTAATAATGATTGACATAATATTGATATTCGATGCGCATAAATTGATTTTCATTATCATTATCATATAAATCTACGACAATATACAATTTTTTTTTAATACACTAATAAAAATATAAAATTTTAATTTCGAACTCGGTTTACTTCCCTAAGATAATATGGCCACCTTTGATAACGCAAAAATTTCAAAAATACACTCCATTTAATTCTACCAAAACATAATTTTAAATTTTATGTTGAAATTCCATATCAAATCAACTGAAGATTTAACTCGATCCCCTTCGATTTTTTTTTATGAAACATAAATAATTTAATCCAGAAGATCATTAAAGGGCGAGCATCCCAAATATCCTAGAGTCCAATGATTTATGCTCAAGCAACAACAGAAGACGCGGTGGTATCAGCCGAATACATTGGTCTTCCCGTTGCTTGGGATTTCACATGCATCGATTTTTCGCTACTATCTAACAGAAATACCTCAACAATTATTTCAGAAATCTTTAAGATAAAAAAATATTCAGACATCTAATTTTTACTTATCACCAATACTTTTGGTGTTTTTGGTGAGAAATTTCTTAAATTTATTGCATTGAAAAAGCCAAATAAGTATGAAACCTATTTCAAACAAGCCATTACGATGGCTCTTCATCAAAGTATTTGCATTTCTGACGCAAATAAAGAATAATTGCGCTAAAAAGAATCGGTAGTAGAATAAGAATATGTAAGTCTGGTTTCGTTTGCTTTAGAATAAATAATAACGATATCTCCAAATAATAATAAAAATGCGATTAAATTTATTCTTTTATTAGTGTTTAAATAAAACGCAAATATATATATATCAAGTCGTTAAAAAAGTAATTTTTATTAACAAGTAAAATTATCGCGTGCTTAGAAAGTCAAAAACTTCAAATATATATATATCTAGTAAATCAATTTAAGGTAAATCAATTGATGTTTTGAGGCTTCGTATGTAGAAATAAAATAATATATTATTTAATGAATGTTTTTGTATATGTAAATAGTCATAGTTTAAAGCTTCAACTAACTTTGTATATTATGTATTAAATTATATTATGCAACATGCACCTCCTCAAAAAAAAACAAAAAAAAATATAAACTAAAATTTATAATATAGGGAATAGGAGCTCGCTTGGCATGCGGGAGGTAATTTAGATTTACTTATAAGAAGAAAATAATAACAATAATGCAAAATGGGCTATAACAAACTTTGACCTTAAAAGACAAATTGGTTAATCAAGTGGGAAAACATAGGGTAATAATGAGGGGACGGATTATGTATTATATTGATTTGAAAATATATGTATAATGGGGAAATGGCACCATAATTGTACATGATAGTTTTTTATGTAATTACCCTTAACAAAAGGTATAGATTACACTATCTATAGGTACAATTAACACTATCGATGGCCAATCATCACTAAATATATTTGGAATAAAAATGAATATAAAGAATTGGTTAATTAAATGGGACAACATAGGGTAATAATGAGGGGATGGGTTAGGTATTATATTGATTTGAAAATATATGTATAATGGGGAAATGATACTGTTATTGTGTAATTAACAGCTGATAATAGGGAAAGACTGGGAAGGGGTTAACATATCATATATGTATAATGGAGAAATGGTACTTTTATTGTATATAAACAGCGGATAATAGGGGAAAGACTGGGAAGGGGTTAACATATCATATATGTATAATGGGGAAATGGTACTGTTATTGTATATAAACAGCGGATAATAGGGGAAAGAATGTGAAGGGGGTTAACATATCATATATGTATTTACAATTTATTGTAATGTTTTTATATTAAAACTATAAGTGACAGTCACAAATTTCTGATTTGATCAATGTGCGCTAGCACCACCTTATTATCTATTTTTATTTCCCAAATAACATTACTGATTCTCCCAATAACAATCCCTACACGCCATTCTTGACTGACGCCTACTTTGACAAAAACAAAGTTGCCAAATGTTAATTCTCTGAACTTTATTCTTTTAATTTTAGGTCGTATATCACAGTCATGGTCCTTCAAAAAACTCCATTTCCATCTTAGTTCCCTGCCGAATAATCTAAAAGCAGGTGAAGTTTTGGTTGCCGAATGTGTGGTATTGCGATAATTTAATAACACCTCTTCCAATAACCTATCATCCCAACCACCTAATTTATAAATCATATCCTTAGCTGAGAATACCGCTCTTTCAGCCATACCTTTTGAAGACTGATGGTATGCAGGAGTAAATATATGTGTTATACCTTTTTTAATAGAAAATTCTTAAAATCATACGACCTAAAAGCTGGTCCATTATCAGAAACCAACTCTACCGGGTAACCAAATCTAGAAAATATATTATTTAATACCATAATCGTGGTATTCGTAGTAATATTTTTAACCTTGATAATCTCAAGCCATCGAGAGTACCCATCAATTATTACTAATCCATAATAATTCTTAATGGGTCCAAGAAAATCAATAAAAATACGATACCAGGGTCTGCTCGGATCTACCCAATGATTATTTCTAACCCTTGGTAATTTTGGAGCATTTACCATACACATATTACACCTAAAAACCATTTCCTTGATGTCTCTTTTAACCCCGGGCCACCAAAAATGTCTTTCCATAATATCAATTCATTCAAAATAAATTGTTTAACTTTGATAAGTTCTAAATCTACCACAGTCTCTCTTCTTATCATATCTAAATTATTCAAAATTCTCTGGTCATTTAAATCATTATCAATATTAAAAAAACAAATAACATCTTCCTTTATTAACCTAGATAACCCATCAGCAATAAATTGATCTTTACCCCTCCTATAATTAATGTCGAATAAAACCCGGATAAACAAAAAGCCCATTTCTGTAGCCTTGGCGACATATTGTAAAGTTTAACCGGATCTGTTCCAAACAAAAAAAATTTTAAAATTTCTCCCTACTACATATTCCCTCCATTTCTTAACAGCCACAACAACCGACAATCCTTCTTTCTCAATAATCGAATATCTTTTCTTAGCACCCGTCCATGCTTTTGACATAAACTCAATCGGCCTTTCAAGACCATCCTCTTCAACATGAAATAAAACAGCACCCATACCTTTATTAGAAGCATCAGTAGAAATAAATAAATTTTCACTTCTGTCATAATGTGCAAGAATTGGTGCATTGCACAATCTTTCTCTAATCTCATCAAAACTAGTTTTTTTATTAATTCCCCAATAAATTTTTTTTACCCTTTTTAAGCATATAATTTAGATGCCAATTTAGAAAAACCTTCTATGAACCTTGAATAATAATTCATCAGACCCAACCACGAATGCAATTCCTCCTTACTCTTAGGTTCAGTTATGGTACTTATCGGATCAATCTTTTCTTTAATTGGCTGTATACCTTTGTAACTTATCAAATAACCTAAATACTTAATACTCTCTTTGCAAAATTCACTTTTTTTTATATTTCCAATCAAACCAAAATCCATCATTCTTTGAAATACCTTTTTCAATTTATTAAAATGATCTTCCTTATCCTTACTAAAAATTAATAAATCATCTAAATAATACATAACCCCGTTAATGTCAGCAAAAATTTCATCCATGGTCTTTTGGAAATAAGCAGTCGACACTGTAAGTCCAAAAGGTAATCTATTAAATTGAAAAAGACCTTTATGGGTTGAAACGGTTAAAAATTTGGAAGTTTCTTTAGAAATAGGTATTTGCAAATAAGCCGAGGAAAAGTCTATTTTTGAAAATAATCTGCCTTTTCCGACCTTAGCAATAATGTCACTTATCCTTGGCAGCGGATATTCAAACCTTTCTAACTGTAGATTAACAGTGACCCTAAAGTCAGCACAAACTCTCAAAGCATTATCCTTCTTTTTAACCAAAACTAATGGTGTCGCCCATTGGGAAAATATAACAGGGGTTATTATGCCCTGTTGACACCATTGTTCTAGAATGTTACCTAACTCTTCTTCTAATTCAAACGGTACTCTCCTGACCTTCAAAAATCTTGGTTTAAAATCATCTTTTAACAAAATATTTATTTTTAAATGTTTTACTTTGCCTATTTTATTATTAAAAACACAATCAAACCCTTTAACTAAATTATTAATATCATAATTAAAATCATAACAATTTTTTTTAATAACTGAATAACCAAATTCCCTCTATCAAATCTGTCATTATTTTTACAAGGATTGTTAAAAGTTACAAAATTTACCCTATCTCCTAACTCTTTAGTATTAAAATCAAAATTGAATCAAATCAAATTCTTTGATCCAATCTAGACCACATAAAGGTGGTCCCTCCCCTTCCAAAACATAAAAATCTAAATATTTATTCGTATTTAGAAATTTGACCTTACAATTAATAACTTTACCAATGACTGTGATAGGCGACCCTTCATACGAGAATAATTTCTTCGAACAACTTTTCAACTCCACATCTTCATCCTTCGCAAGCTTTCAAACTCTTTCATGGGCAAGGATGACACCGGAGAACCAGTATCTATCATTAAAGAAAAATCATAATTATTAATTTGAAGGTCAATCATAATATCATTAATAAAATTAATCTTGGCCTTAAATTATAAGGTGTTTGTATCATATCCGTCTTTTTGAAATTGTTGTAATTGATGTTGTTGTTGCTGTTGTTGTTGTTGCTGCTGTTGTTGTTGTAGGTCCTACCATTATGCTTGTTTTCATTCCATGTCGTATAGCATTGTGCACCATATCTGTCATCTTTTCTCCATGTATCTTTTTCAATGAAGGACTTTTTATTATTAATCTCCAATGATTGACATTTGACAACAATCTCCTCAATGATAATCAAGTCTGTCATGTTTTCTTCTATCAATCTTGTTTTTAATCTCTCATTGTGACAATTAATAATGAATTGAACCGCTATCAATTCTGAATTAAGGCCAGATCCGCACGCCTTCAGCCTATCCAGATATTCTCTGGATGACTCTAATCTATCTAGTTTAGCACTAAAAACTTCCATTATACGCGTAATTTTGTTCTTTTTAACTTTTTTTTGTATTATATCCTTCATTTGCTCATATGATAAATTATCAATCGAATCCATTATACTCACCGCCAAATCTTTATTTATTGTCTCGAAAAGTTTATATTTCTTAGTGGGTTCATCAGTTATGTTTTCGGCAATAAATTTTAGGTCAAGGGTTTTGAGTAAGACTTTTATGTTATTATTTCCATCCTCCACCATGACACAAATAAAGAATAATTGTACTAAAAAGAATCGGTAGTAGAATAAGAATATGTAAGTCTGGTTTCGTTTGCTTTAGAATAAATAATAACGATATCTCCAAATAATAATAAAAATGCTATTAAATTTATTCTTTTATTAGTGTTTAAATAAAACGCAAATATATATATATCAAGTCGTTAAAAAAGTAATTTTTATTAACAAGTAAAATTATCGCGTGCTTAGAAAGTCAAAAACTTCAAATATATATATATCTAGTAAATCAATTTAAGGTAAATCAATTGATGGTTTGAGGCTTCGTATGTAGAAATAAAATAATATATTATTTAATGAATCTTTTTGTATATGTAAATAGTCATAGTTTAAAGCTTCATATTATGATATTAAATTATATTATGCAACACATTCATGGTTTCATATAGCAATGCAAGCAAGCCGATCCCTTATTGTTTTTTTTAAAAAAAAATTTTTATTCAGTTTGTTTTTTAAATTTTATATATATATGCAGTATATTTTTATAACCGCTAATTCTTTTTTATATGACCTTTGTTTTAAATTCATTTATTAATAAATAAACATGAGAAAAAATATATAAAATTTTAAAATCCAACTCGGTTTACAAAATACACTATATTTAAATTTAAATATCTCACATAATATTAGAGTAAATATTATTGAAAGTCAGTCTATTACCAAAAACCGAAATAGAAAACTGATATTTTTTCCTTTAATTTTTTTTTATAGGTAGATATTATCTCCTTATATATTTGTTAAAAATTATTGACTGGGAAAAAGTATTGTTTTTAAGGTTTTCGCGCCTTAAATATTGGTCGTTTAGCTAAAATTATACATAAATAAAATTTATATTTAAAATATTTATTAATTTTCTCAAAATAAAAAGAAAAATTAAAATTAAAATTGAGACATGTAAAAAAATGGATGGGGACATTGGAGATCTTTGGGTCGGGCATTTAAAATAAAATTCGGACCGAAAAATTTTGAAATAAAATAAATATATTTTAACATTTTTGCAAGAAATATAGCCAATATTTTTTATTTGTTGTAGAATGATTATAAACTCGATTTTGATCAGGTCTGACATATTTTTTTATAAAAATTTGAGATCGGGCTTGAAAAATTTAGGTCCTATGCAAATCATTATTAGACATTGCTAGCTCCGTGAAGTTGACCGAACGATTGGAAGCACTAATGAATCATATGTCATTTTTTAGTGCTTCGGTAGTGCTTGTTAGTGCTTCAATCCGTATAGTAGCCGAATTTAAGGAAAAAAAGTTATAAGCAAAAATAAAAATTTGTGCCAACTTCACGCTTAAAAGTCGATTGGAAGCACTAACGATGAAACTTATATCATTCTTTAGTGCTTCGTTAGTAGAGGTTAGTGCTTCAATCCATTTTGTAGCCGAATTTATGAATAAAAAGTTATTCACGAAAAAAACAAAAATAAACAAATAATGGCGACGTGCCAAAACAAAAACTATAGGAGTACTAAACATCCGGTTTTCGCCATTATTTAGTGCTTAATTAGTGTATTTAAATTCCGTTATTAATTTACTTAACCGCCTTATAAAAAAAAGTTATAAGCTAAATAAAAACTATGACGTCACGATTTAGGCGTGAAGTTGGCCGAACTTTTGGAAGCACTAACGATGAAACTTATATCATTCTTTAGTGCTTCGTTAGTAGAGGTTAGTGCTTCAATCAGTTCCTTAGCCGAATTTAAGAATAAAAAGTTATTCACGAATAAAACAAAAATAAACAAATAATGGCGACGTGCCAAAACAAATACTATAGGAGTACTAAACATCCGGTTTTCGCCATTATTTAGTGCTTAATTAGTGTATTTAAATTCCGTTATTAATTTTGTTAACCGTCATATGAAAAAATTGTAAAATGCTAAAGAAATTTTTAGAGGTCAAATTTCGGCTAGAAAATTATGAAAGCACTAACGATGAAACTTATATCATTTTTTAGTGCTTCGTTAGTAGAGGTTAGTGCTTTAATCAGTTTTGTAGCCGAATTTAAGAATAAAAAGTTATTAGCAAAAAAAATAAAAATAAACAAATAATGGCGACAAAACAAAAACTATAGGAGTACTATACATCCGGTTTTCGCCATTATTTAGTGCTTAATTAGTGTATTTAAATTCCGTTATTAATTTTGTTAACCGTCATATGAAAAAATTGTAATACGCTAAAGAAATTTTTAGAGGTCAAATTTCGGCTAGAAAATTATGAAAGCACTAACGATGAAACTTATATCATTCTTTAGTGCTTCGTTAGTAGAGGTTAGTGCTTTAATCAGTTTTGTAGCCGAATTTAGGAATAAAAAGTTATTCACGAAAAAAACAAAAATAAACAAATAATGGCGACGTGCCAAAACAAAAACTATAGGAGTACTATACATCCGGTTTTCGCCATTATTTAGTGCTTAATTAGTGTATTTAAATTCCGTTATTAATTTTTTTAACCGTCATATGAAAAAATTGTAAAACGCTAAAGAAATTTTTAGAGGTCAAATTTCGGCTAGAAAATTATGAAAGCACTAACGATGAAACTTATATATTTAGATCTCATTATTATCAATATAATTATGCAGGAATTCTGATAGTTACCCTGATTCAATATAGCATATCAATAATTCAAATTTTCTGACACCTCTTTAGAATCTTAAGAAAAGAATATATCAAATTGATTATGTATGCGATATTTTTTTTAATAATTGTATAATTATTAAATAATAATAAATCAGCATTATTTTTTAATATTATTAATTTTTCAAATAATTTATCGTTCATTCTTTGACGATTTGGTCTATTAACCATATTAGCAAAGCTAAATAATCGTTCAATGGAGGCAGAGGAGGGTAATATTGTGTTATATTTAATAAATATTTCTTTTATATATTTATAACTATTTAACATATTTATTCTGCGCTTGTCATCTTTCATATAATTTAGGACCTCTAATTCAATATCATTTATTGAATTATTAGTATAATTTAAAAGGTTTACAGCAAGCTCATAATGCCATAATAATTACTAATAAATTTGTTATTTTCTACAATTTATTTTAAATATTTTTTATAAATTTATATTATAGATAAGAAATAAAGGATTTTGACTATTTAAAGTTTTTTTAAAAAGTATCTTGTATCTTAGATACTTTTTTTAAAAAGATACAAGTATCTTGTATCTTATTAAAAATTTTCTAAAGTATCTTGTATCTTAAATACAAAATTTTATAAATTATCTGTATCTGAATACAATTTTCTGAAATTTTGATCAACCATCTGATATGCATTTGTCCAGCGTCTACATGACAGGATTTTCACTGGATGCAAACCCCCTTCAAAAACCTTTGCCTACCCCCCTAAAAAATTCCCGCCTACTTCGGCGGCGGTGTCACTTTATTATATTTCCACCATTATAATTATATTAATACTCTTTTCAGAGAATTTATAAGGATAACTTCAATTAATCTATCTCTACTACCAACTATCGATATTTTGTGAATATAAATAATTTATTTTTTAGATAATAAATTCAATTAAAACCTCCATTATTTACAATGTATAGATAGATATGAATAATTGTATTCAAACTCTTCTCTAGAAATTATCAAAACAACTAAAGAAGTTATTAATAAAAATGCAAGTCCAACTCCACTTAGTGGTCGAAATATAATCCTCAAGCGTTATATCTTTTTATTGGAAAACTGTTACTCGATAATATAAATAGATTGTAGAATAAGAGTGTTATATTTTTATTCGAATATTATAACTACAATATTGATGGAAGAATAAAGAAGGAAAAAATTTTAAAAAATGTATGATATAATTTTCAACGAATAAAACAGCAATTAGCGAAAATAAGCATATAATCAATAAAACATTCTATATAGCAAATATAAACAAATACGAATTTAATAGGAATATAGTTTAAAAAACCTTTATGGCATAGTTATAAATAATATTTAATTTTTTAATACATATAATGCAATATAATTTTATTTGAATTGTATAGGATAATTTTCAATTCACAATTTCTGTTGTCACAAATGCCATAATTTATTTAGGGGTCGTGTAAAATAATTTGATTTGATAAGCTCCTCCCAAGATAAAAACATTCTTCAATCCTAAAATCATATATATTATTCATTTGATATTTTAAAATATACCTTATTCTATAGGATTAGGAAACTTCAGCAAATACCATATAATATATAAGATCGGAGAAAATATCATATATTTTCTAATTTAATAATTCCAGTACTATATTGAACTTTTACGACAAATTTAATTCTTTCTCTAGCATAATATGGATTTAATTTAAATATATTTTTGCATAGGAAGTGTCAAGGGCTTAGTTGTAAAAGCTATGTAACGAAATGTTGAACAATATTAATGGTCAAACTTTATTTTTATTTGTATTATGATAACTAATTATAACAGTACTACCGTCAAGAAAGACGGGCGTATTTAATTTTTACCTACAATATTTCACCTTTTTATTTATAATTTAAAGCCAAATTAAGTTATTATTGTTAGATGAGAGTTTTTAATACCTATCTAATTTACCCCATTAACTAATCACATTCACTCCCTACCCCGTGAAGGTGGGAGTTGGAATTTAAGGGAGCAAAGAGGGAAAAATAAGATTGACTAAAAAAAGGAAGAAATAAAAAAATAGTTTGTAATATAATATACAATTTCACTTTATATATTTTTTAAAAAATAATTTTTATTACACTTTTGATTTTGAATATAGATTTCGTATTTCAATTTTTTTAGAAAATTCACTAAATAAAGTAGCATTTTCACAAATATTCTTAAATATAATTTAAATGGCATATTTTATTTACAATTTTATACTAAAATAATTAACCACACATGTGATTAATTTATCTAATCTATTATAAATTTTATAATTTTTTTTACTGCATTAAAATAATTTTAAAAAAATTTGACAATCTAGAAAGAAAAATAATTACACCAAATCTTAATATAGCTCCTATTCTCATTGCTTGTGAGAATCATAGTTCTTTGATTTTTAATTCATTACTAGTTGATAGCCCGTCAAGAATGACGGGAATTAATGTTCTTAAATATTGGATATTAAAATTGTACCTTATATTATATTAAAATTTATAAAATATTCTTAATTTCTGATTTTAATATTGGGAAAAATATTATTACCCGCCTTTCTCGAAGGGCATAATAATAACTAATAACACCAGAGCTCCCGTTAGCGCTGTTCGCTCCCCACCGCGTGAAGGTGGGAGATGGGTTTTATGGGAGCAAAGAGATGAGCAATGAATGAATAAAAGAAGGTAGAAATATAGGAAAAAGGGACAAAAATGTGAAAAAAAATTTATAATAATTTACAACCATATACTATAAGCGCGGAATTAACGCCGCGTGCCCGTATCGGTTCTAAATCGCTAAACGATAAATCGCCAAAAAAGGGATGTTCCCAATTTTGTTACCAGTAAAATCCCAAAAATGGCTATTAATGTTTTATTTAAAAAATGAAGATCCAAACCGTAGCAAAAAACATAAATAAATTACTTAAGTATAGGAAAATTAAGTATTTGAACTAAATTTGTAGTGTCTGTTTAATAATATAATTTATAAGATATATATTTGTATTATGTATTTAATATAACGATGTTTTATTGCCATTTAAAATATTTAAATTTCTAAAATTCTATTTTTAATTATATACTAAAATTTATTGCCATTTAAAATATTTAAATTTCTAAAATTCTATTTTTAATTATATACTAAAATTTATTATAATTTCACATATAGATATGTAATATATTCGTATTAATCTAATATAATTATTGAAGAAATTTTTTATTGCCATTTAAAATACTTATTAAATTTGTAAAACGTTTTCTTAATAATATAATTTGTAATTAATTTATGTTGAAATAACTGGTAACAACTACCATAAAAGTAATGAGAAAATTCTCATTCTCCATCCTCTGCTAAAAGCTAATCTATATATATTTTTACTCAAAAAATAGCATTTAGTCTTAATAGCTTTAAATATATTTTAACTTAAAGCATAGAATTACATTTAATGGATTAGACCTGGCCCAAAGAGAAAAGAAGGTTATCATAATATTTAACACAGAATATTTATAGGGAACTCTGGTAAAAGTCTATTAAAATATATTTTTACTCAAAAAATAGCATTTAGTCTTAATAGGCTGGCTGAGCTTTGGAACTTGGACGTTTGGGAATTTTTTTTTATTAACTATGGGTCAGACATTGGCATAAAACAAATTTTCTAAGGCCTGGGCTAGTCTGATCAAAAAAATCAAGGCCCACGAAAATCTGATTTTGATTGTATTTTTAAATTCATTAAGATTTTTTATATATTTTATTCCAGTTCTCAACTACCAAAATTTTTATATCGTTGGTTGGGCTTGGGGGTTTTTTCCAAAATTATTATGGCCTTGGACCTTGCTTGGGAATTTTTTGTATTAAATATATTTTAGCTTAAAGCAAAGCATTACATTTAATGGATCGGACCTGGCCTGAAGAGAGAAGGGGGTTATATAAGGAATAAAAATTGGATATTATTTTGAAATAACTGGTAACAACGACCATAAAAGTAATGAAAAAATTCTTCCCCATCCTCTTAAAAAAGACTATTCTTAAAATATTTAAAAAAAACAATTATTACCTGAAATAACTGTTAACAACTACCATTGATTTAAATGTTTCCTTAAAATAGTTAAAATATATTAAATAAAAATTAAACTTGTGGTTGAAAATGGTTTGCTATTTTTAATATTCATAAAATGGTCGTTATAAATTAATTTAAAATGGAATAATTAAAAATATTTTACCTTAGCCAATAAAAAATAAAGAAAATAAATTTAAACCAATAGTATGAGAGCTTAATAATCCAATGAAAAAATAAATATTGATTAATTTTAGTTAATTTTAAAAAATCAAATATAAATAAAGATTTTTATAACAAAACATAAAGCTTAAAGGGGCTGAACGGTAAGAACGTTTGTCTTTGAAATAAAGGCGCGAGTTCGAATCCCGGAGTAAGAAAAAAAAATTTAACATTACCGAGATAATAAAAGCCCTCGATTTATTTAACATTAAGAAGATAGGAAAGTTGATAGAAAAAATAAAAATTAACGTTATGAAGATATGAAAGTTGATACAAAAAAAAAATTAACGTTATAAAGATAGGAAAACGTTCATTTCTTGAATATGGCTATTATATATATAGATTCTTTAAGTTAATTTAAAAACTTTTGTGTTTAAAATTATTATTATATAATTATTTCATTCATTTAATGACCATCAAGCCAATCGGCATTTAATAAAGAAATGTTTTAAATAATTTTCCGTAATTTTTATATATTTAGGATGGTAGGGATTGCAAATAACGAGGATAAATAAATGGTGGGGAATCAGGGATAGCAATATCTCTAAAAATGATTAGGAAAAAAAATACAAGGTTTACCCCGAGAAATAATTAAGTTGGAGAAATATTTTAAATTTTAATATGTAGCTTAATAATAGTTCTTTAATATGACATACAAAGTAAAAATCAAAATCCCCGCAAATTCTTATATTTTATCAAATAAATATGATATAAATTGAGAACTGCTTATTGATATTGGGCAAGCTTTGATCACATATTCCTTTTATTTTCGATTTTTTTTTTAATTAACATTTTTAATTTATAATAATCGACAATTACAAAAATATTTTTAATATACAAACACGAAATTAATAATAACAAGGTTTAAAAAAAAATCATAATCATTACATCTAATCCTTTCCCAAAGGATGATCGGAATTTTTATTTTCATCGTCACTTTGCCCTAGCATCAGCTCTTCCATTCTTTGGACTTCCGATGATGTCCTTGAATGCGCCTGATGCCCTATCCCACTTGTCGAGGCTTTATGAACTTTTTCCGACAATGGAATCCTGAATGAGTTATCCACCGATTCTTTTGGCAATCCCGCGAGGGCAACGTCGGCTCTCCTAGATCTTGTTCTTGGCAAAGATCCATAATTTTCCCGACAGTTGAATATTTTATGCCCCAAACGCCAACACAAGAAGCACTTTGGAAGAGTACGTTTTGGCTGCCTCAATACCGCATATCGCTCCAAATGATTTCGTTCGGTGCTAAAAACGGGGCACTTTAGTTCCTGAGTCGGGGCACATAAGGTACATTTCGACTATATATGCCTCGATGTAGGTAAATCAGTCTAATCTAGGTAACCCACTAGCAGACTCCTGGTTAGAAATGTGGATCTCTCATCAAGATATTCCAAACATACCTATTGTTCAACCGAGTATCAATAGTCGAAATGTAGTTTATGTGCCCCAACTCAGGAACTACAGTACCCCGTTTTTCGCACCGGACGAAATCATTTGGAGTGATATGCGGTATTGAGGCAGCCAGAACGTACTCTTCCAAAGTGCTTCATGTGTGGGCGTTTGGGGCATAAAATATTCAACTGTCGGGAAAATTATGGATCTTTGCCTAGAACAAGATCTAGGAGAGCCGACGTTGCCCTCGCGGGATTGCCAAAAGAATCGGTGGATAACTCATTCAGGATTCCATTGTCGGAAAAAGTTCATAAAGCCTCGACAAGTGGGATAGGGCATCAGGCGCATTCAAGGACATCATCGGAAGTCCAAAGAATGGAAGAGCTGATGCTAGGGCAAAGTGACGATGAAAATAAAAATTCCGATCATCCTTTGGGAAAGGATTAGATGTAATGATTATGATTTTTTTTTAAACCTTGTTATTATTAATTTCGTGTTTGTATATTAAAATTATTTTTGTAATTGTCGATTATTATAAATTAAAAATGTTAATTAAAAAAAAAATTATTTTTTAAAAAATATATAAAGTGAAATTGTATATTATATTACAAACTATTTTAACATAGTTTGTAATTTATATACTACCTATTTTTTTTGGTATTGTTCAGAGGTATTAAATATGAAAGTATCAGCATCTCTTCTTTTAAATTATAAAAATGCTATAAATATCTTTGTCTCTTTTTTTTATTTCTTCCTTTTTTTTAGTCAATCTTATTTTTCCCTCTTTGCTCCCTTAAATTCCAACTCCCACCTTCACGGGGTGGGGAGTGAATGCGATTAGTTAATGGGGTAAATAAGATAGGTATTAAAAACTCTCATCTAACAATAATAACTTAATTTGGCTTTAAATTATAAATAAAAAGGTGAAAAATTGTAGGCAAAAATTAAATGCGCCCGTCTTTCTTGACGGTAGTACTGTTATAATTAGTTATCATAATACAAATAAAAATAAAGTTTGACCATTAATATTGTTCAACATTTCGTTACATAGCTTTTACAACTAAGCCCTTGACACTTCCTATGCAAAAATATATTTAAATTAAATCCATATTATGCTAGAGAAAGAATTAAATTTGTCGTAAAAGTTCAATATAGTACTGGAATTATTAAATTAGAAAATATATGATATTTTCTCCGATCTTATATATTATATGGTATTTGCTGAAGTTTCCTAATCCTATAGAATAAGGTATATTTTAAAATATCAAATGAATAATATATATGATTTTAGGATTGAAGAATGTTTTTATCTTGGGAGGAGCTTATCAAATCAAATTATTTTACACGACCCCTAAATAAATTATGGCATTTGTGACAACAGAAATTGTGAATTGAAAATTATCCTATACAATTCAAATAAAATTATATTGCATTATATGTATTAAAAAATTAAATATTATTTATAACTATGCCATAAAGGTTTTTTAAACTATATTCCTATTAAATTCGTATTTGTTTATATTTGTTATATAGAATGTTTTATTGATTATAAGCTTATTTTCGCTAATTGCTGTTTTATTCGTTGAAAATTATATCATACATTTTTTATAATTTTTTCCTTCTTTATTCTTCCATCAATATTGTAGTTATAATATTCGAATAAAAATATAACACTCTTATTCTACAATCTATTTATATTATCGAGTAACAGTTTTCCAATAAAAAGATATAACGCTTGAGGATTATATTTTCGACCACTAAGTGGAGTTGGACTTGCATATTTATTAATAACTTCTTTAGTTGTTTTGATAATTTCTAGAGAAGAGTTTAAATACAATTATTCATATCTATCTATAGAAACGTAATCAATTTGATATATTCTTTTCTTAAGATTCTAAAGAGGTGTCAGAAAATTTGAATTATTGATATGCTAAATTGAATCAGGGTAACTATCAGAATTCCTGCATAATTATATTGATAATAATGAGATCTAAATATATAAGTTTCATCGTTATTCATAATTTTCTAGCCGAAATTTGAACTCTAAAAATTTCTTTAGCGTGTTACAATTTTTTCATATGACGGTTAACAAAATTAATAACGGAATTTAAATACACTAATTAAGCACTAAATAATGGCGAAAACCGGATGTATAGTACTCCTATAGTTTTTGTTTTGGCACGTCGCCATTATTTGTTTATTTTTGTTTTTTTCGTGAATAACTTTTTATTCTTAAATTCGGCTACAAAACTGATTAAAGCACTTACCTCTACTAACGAAGCACTAAAGAATGATATAAGTTTCATCGTTAGTGCTTTCATAATTTTCTAGCCGAAATTTGACCTCTAAAAATTTCTTTAGCGTGTTACAATTTTTTATATGACGGTTAACAAAATAAATTACTGAATTTAAATATATTAATTAAGCACTAAATAATGGCGAAAACATGTATAGTACTCCTATAGTTTTTGTTTTGGCACGCCGCCATTATTTTTATTTTTTTTGCTAATAACTTTTTATTCTTAAATTCGGCTACAAAACTGATTAAAGCACTAACCTCTACTAACGAAGCACTAAAAAATGATATAAGTTTCATCGTTAGTGCTTTCATAATTTTCTAGCCGAAATTTGACCTCTAAAAATTTCTTTAGCATTTTACAATTTTTTCATATGACGGTTAACAAAATTAATAACGGAATTTAAATACACTAATTAAGCACTAAATAATGGCGAAAACCGGATGTTTAGTACTCCTATGGTTTTTGTTTTGGCACGTCGCCATTATTTGTTTATTTTTGTTTTTTTCGTGAATAACTTTTTATTCTTAAATTCGGCTAAGGAACTGATTGAAGCACTAACCTCTACTAACGAAGCACTAAAGAATGATATAAGTTTCATCGTTAGTGCTTCCAAAAGTTCGGCCAACTTCACGCCTAAATCGTGACGTCATAGTTTTTATTTAGATATAACTTTTTTTTATAAGGCGGTTAAGTAAATTAATAACGGAATTTAAATACACTAATAAATAATGGCGAAAACCGGATGTTTAGTACTCCTATAGTTTTTGTTTTGGCACGTCGCCATTATTTGTTTATTTTTTTCGTGAATAACTTTTTATTCATAAATTCGGCTACAAAATGGATTGAAACACTAACCTCTACTAACGAAGCACTAAAGAATGATATAAGTTTCATCGTTAGTGCTTCCAATCGACATTTAAGCGTGAAGTTGGCACAAATTTTTATTTTTGCCTGCAACATTTTTTCCTTAAATTCGGCTACTATACGGATTGAAGCACTAAAAAATGACATATGATTCATCGTTAGTGCTTCCAATCGTTCGGCCAACTTCAAGGAGCTGACATTGCTTCGTATATAACACATAAATTTAATTATTTTATTTTAGGAAAAAAACATTATTCAAAAAATATTTATACCTTAAAGTAGCCTAATCATTTATATTAAATGAATATCAATTAGGGAAATGATATTATAATAAACATATTAATTATGATATCATATATTAAATAATCTAATGAATTTGAATAAAATTTGACTTTCATTTTTTCTTCCATGGGAAAAGCGTGTTTTATTTTCCCGGAATTCTTTTAGCTGTTAAAAATCATTTTCGAAATTGGTTTCCATTCTTAAATATTCAAAGTTGCTGACAAATATATAATAATCCCCGGGATATTAATTCTCGCATAATTATATAAATCTATAGGTGTTAATGTCTAGCCGCTAACATCTTAGTAATCTCCCTAAACTATAACAAGGATTTTGCCATCTACATTTGCGAAAAAATGCTATTCTGGTTTGATCCAAAAATCAAATTCACATGTATTGTGTTTTAAACAATCTAATATAACCACGTAACCTACATGCTTGATGATATCGCTTTCACGTTAATAAATAAATGGGTGAGCGTGATCTTGAATAAGCTTAGTTAGATTTTGAACACCCTTTTCTTCATCCAATTATTTAGCTGTTCGATGCCATAAATTTATGGTTGAAGATTCATTTTCCATTTTATCTAATGGTTCTTGATTTATGATTTCGGCTAGATTTTTTTTATAATCTTCTATATTTATTTTAAAAACTTCTTTAAACTCTCTCCTAACTTCCAAAAATTAATTTACATGATATTTTCTTTCTAATAGGTGTTATTCTTTGGTTAACTACCTTTCAAAATTTATTACATAAGAAAATAGAAAACATTTCTTTATTTGCACAAAAAATATAATAATGTATAATAATCTTCTTTTGATCTATATTTATATAATAAAATTAGAATGGTAATCTTTGTATTTTAAGTTAAATAAAATAAAATAACATAAAGGTTATAACAAAATAAGAGTAAGAAAATAAGTTAAACCTTTAATCAAAAAGATTATAATAAGTTATTTTAATCCTATAACATTCTTCCTCTTCTATGAAGCTATCCCTGTAATTTAATGTGAGCTACAATTAAAAGCTTTTCGTATAATTTGTCATTCTTGTTGCATAAGTCATATCCTTTTCGTTGGCTTGTTTAATCGTTTTTATGTTTGTAGGTTTGTCCAAATCGTTTTTGATCTTACTCAAATTCTATAGATATTTGCAAAAAATGTTTAAATTTTAAGCTAACTATTTTCACAAATTTGAAAAAATTACCGCTTATTTTTTAAGGAACGACCAATTTTTTAGCTGATGACTCTTGGACCAGTGTTGCAAGACTTTTGTATATAAAACAGTTAAATGTCCATTTATAAAAAAATTTGCAGTTTTCTTTTGACCATTTCCGGTTTTCTATTTTTTGTTATAATCAGCTGATTTTCACTATATTAAATTGTATGAAAATTAAATAATGGTTTTAATTAAATTATTTTATCGAGTTATTTATAACTAAATAGAGTGTATTTTAAATTTTTTGGTTTTTAAAAGGTGGCCATATTTTAGGAAGTAAATCTAGTTGGAAATTGAAATGTTTATTAGTTAGTCATATATATTTATCATCTTACAAATTAAAAAAAAACTTAGGGGATTAGGTTGGATCTTCAGTTGATTTTATATGCAATTCAACATATATTATTGGTAACATGCACAATACTAAAGTAATATATTGTTTTTACTAAGTTTTTCAAAATATTCTTACCTTTTCGTATTTTAAAAGTAATAATGTTAATTTAAAAAAAAAATCAGATCCAATTTGTCGGTTAAATTAGACGCTTTCTATTTTGTAAAATGTTTTATAAATATTACGTTGCATTTATAGTAAGCTCGATTCACTCATGCAATGCTCAATTAATCGCCAGCGAAATCAATGCGATAATACTTTTTGAATTATACATATGAACAGCTGTCGCGATTTCATCATTTCGCTCAGCATTTATAAATTATGACCCATTATTGGCTTCATTATATAAATCACATAGGGAAAAATTTCGCCTCGCTTGAGCGAATCTTGCATATCATAAACGAGACCTTACTTTTATTTAAAAAATAACACTATATAGCTACCCGAATATCCTACATTATTCTTGCATTTGCACGTCGACAAGTCAACACCGTTCTTGAGAGAATTTTTAGCAAAAATCAGAGGATTAGAATATCCCAAGAACAAAATAGTGCTCGATATCTATTCTAAAGTATGAATTTTTTTTCCAAATGTTTTGTTATAAATATATTAGGGTAAATGTTTTTTAAACTTTAAATCATTTTTTGAGTGCATTTTTTTTAAATTTAAAAAAAATCTGATTTTACCAAAGTATATTCCAGGATGTTTAGAAACCCTACCTGTCATTTTTTAGAAAGTTTTGGCTATGTACTTTTGAAGCTAATATAATTATTAATCTTTTTATATTAAATGGCAGAGTGAATAGTAAAATCGTCTGAGTTTTCATTAAGTATTATAAACAATCTGTAATAACATTTTTGGTGAAAACAGATTTTTGAGTTTTAAAAACGTGCTCAAAAAATGAATTAAAATTTTAAAAAATAAACATATAGAGAAATTATTTTAGTTAGTGGGATATTAGAATACTATAATGTGTGAAGAAAAGGCAGAAGGAAGGATTTAGAGAAAAAATAATTCTAATTAAATGAATGTAATGAAAAAGACACCTAAAAAATTTTAAGGTAGAATTGCACGACGACGAAATATCGAAATTTTTGACCGAAAATTCGAATAGATACCTATCTTCGGCCTGGAATAAATTTGAATACCAAAGTTATGGAACAGATCAAAATTCCGAAGATCCAACTTCAAATTCCATGGTTTACAAAGAGAGGGACGATATTTTGTAAATATTTTTTTATATTTTGGCATTTACGCCGACTACCTTTATGATGGTGGCCCGCTGCATCAAATATCATAATTTAAAAATAATTCAAAACAAACTTATTCTGGGACTAAATGATCATCGTTTTCAATATCATCTTTAATCAATTATTTTTCGCATATAAAATAATAGATGACTTTATTTGTAAAAACACTGAGTCTTTTGTGATAGTAGTTTTTAATATTAAGGAACCAAAATTTCCACGCGTAAGAAGTGTTTATTGGCAATGTTTTATAGGATTAATAATGATAAAAAAATGTACATGTTTTTTTGGTGAATTATAACATACATTTCATTTTCTTGTTAAAAAAATCAGATGTTTTTATAACATATAATATTTATTTAAAATATTTGCCATCGAAAAATGGCTATTTTTTTTAGCTTTGACAGGGTCAAAAATGACAGGTAGCAATACACAGGTTTACTTATATTCTATGTTTTGCAAAAGTTTACATCAAGACCTGCAGAGGTACTATTTGTATGCCCGGCCAGGCCCGGCCCGGATTTTTTAAAATATATTTTATTTATTTTTGATTTTTATAGCTAATAATGGCTATTTCAAATATTTGGTTTTAAAATATACGGCCCGGATATTTTTTTAAAAACAGGCCCGGCCCGGCTCGGGTATATTTTAAAAAATTAAAATATGGCCCAGACCGGGCCTCTGATATATATTATTTACAGCCTGGCCCGCCGGAGTTTGTAAAAATTGTTAAATTGTTTTACGGGCCAACTGCTGTTTATATTTTTTTTGTCTGCCTGGTTTTGCAAAAAGAAAGACCGGCCTGTGTTTCAAGGAATTGATTTTGAATAGATCTGACATGCTAGTTTCTGATTTTAATTTTTAAAAAATGAAATAAACTAAATCAATTAGAAATTAAAAAATATAGGTTCCAGTTCCTATTCAAATAAAAGTTGTATAGGTGTGTCCTTGGTTCGACTTATTACAACAGCCTAAAGGGTAAATGAAAAAAAAACGAGAAATAACAATGCCACCAAACACTACCAAAATATGTGTCTTAGTTCAAAAACTGTTTGGCCTAAGCTAAACAGAAATAAGTATCAAAAATAAGTTGAACCAGGACACGGTCTAAAAGGCGACTAGCTTCCTGGAAATGTTTGAATTTTTTTAAAGACATTTTCATTTTTCTAAAGTTTTTAAAATATCTATTTTATAAATATCTAAATTATTATTTGCATCATTATAATTCATATTTTTCACAATATGGTTTCTAATAATTTTAACTTAAAACAAATATAAAAAAAATTAGATATCGATTTTATCGTGACACCCACAAGCCGCAGTACTTTTTTACAATCGATTCGGAATGCCATTTGGATAACCCTAAAACTCTTATTCTTCTTATAGAACAAAATAAGTAAGGCTCTCTTTTTTGCTACTATTTTCCTTTTTGTGTGATTTTTATTTTATGATTATAGAGTTTTTTGTCGTAATATTATTCTATCAAGTTGTAAATAAAATCCTATATTTTTTATTTTTAAAGAACCATACTAGCCCCAATGTTAGCCAGACCCGGGAAAATGTGGACCAATTTTTGGGGAGCTCTTAGCCCGTCAGAGTTCTATGCCCGTTCTGACAATTACATCGATATTGTTACTTACAAACAATTGTAAGATATAAAACTTATTATCTTTCAATAAAGAAAGAAAGAAATGGCTAATTTATATATTTTAATCATTAAAAGTGCATTAAAATATAATTTCTACATATTTTTTTTAAAAAAAATATACTTAGGGTTTCTAGATCCATAAGGCCATATTATTTTTATATCCACACAGTTTTGTCTCGGAATCCGCCTCATTCCAACAATTTTTAAATTATTCCAGGCTATCTCAGAACTAAAAAAAATTAATTAATTATTCCCTCTAACTTGTTTTAAGATTAACGTTATTTAAAATAATTATATTACCTAATATGTATAAATACGCTGTCATCCATTTTTTTATCTGGATATCAGCCAGATATTTTAAAATCTATTTATATTACTTCCAGTTTTTTTTTAAAAAAATACGATTGAAGAATATCGAATTTTTATTCCTATTTTTTTTATGAAACTTAAAATGAAATGAATTTATACCGGAAAGAGCTCGAACATGATTTTAAAAATTGGACAGACTCCGCTAGCAAAAATATCTAATAAAAATAATTTGGAAGGGCTTGGCCACTAAGGTCCCATCTCCGATCCAATATTCTAGTTTCTATTAACTTGTATAACTTTTTTTTATAAATAAAAATAGATCAAATAGATGATACGTAATTAATTAATTATAAATTATTTTAAAATAATTTAGATTTTTTTAAATATATATAAAAATAAATTCATATAAAATCCTTAATTATCCCGTTTCCCCTATATTTATATAATCGCATATTACATTTTAGTTATTTAAAGAGATTTAGCTTTATTTAATTTTTTTTAGTTCAATTTTTTTTTAGGGTATAGATATAATTATATTTATTCTACTATAAGTAATAATAATAATATATATATGGTAAAATCAAGTCTTTTATGTATAATAATATAGCCGCAAAATATAATAAAGTTTGTAAATTTCAATAATTAAATATATCATATAAAAAACGTAGTTTTACATCAAATTATATAAAAATTAATTTGAATATAATAAATAAAGACAATATCGATAATTGATAATATTATAAATGAAGACATTTAACGATAATTGGTATTATGTGATAGTACTACAATTATAAAGTAGATTTAAATAATTTTATTTTCCGAATATATCCATACTTAGAGGCATTTTCAATGTTCCTTTCATCTCTTCGTGCTACCTGATTCAAAGGCACAAAATTATGGCTTGGATCAAAAATATCAAAATTTCTGCCTTAGCTCAACAGAACAAAAATGAAAAACTAATTGGTGATGACAATAATGCAATTTCATTCGAAGATGAGGAAATGGGTTTATATTCGATGTATAGATGGCAGAAACACGACACCGATATGGCCTTCTGTCACAACCTTAGAACTATGGTTTACTTTTTATTGACTTTTTATATTTTAAGCATAAGCTGAATTCCTCTCGGAAGGGTTAAATTAATATAAAAATCTAAACTAAAACTCTTAACGAACTTATTAATGAAAAATTCGACACACGGTTTATCTAATACAACACTTAATTAATTATTTAATTGAAACATCCAACACACGGCTTATCTAAAACAACGCTAAATTAAATATTTAATTGAAACTAACGACACACGGCTAAATTAATCAATTGAAACGTTAGCTTTTTATTAAATCCGAAACTATCTTTGGCCACCACTTATACTGAATTGTAATTGTGTATTCACTAATCCATGAATGGATCTATTATAGGAGGTCTTGCTTACCTTGGATTTGAGTCCTTTCCTCGCATACTTTGTCTTTTCGTATAGTTTGTTAATCCTCGCCTTTTCGTTGACCACCACCCTCATAGAATGCCTCGTTTAGCTTAGTAATACTTCGTGTTTGACTCACATCGAACGTCTCATCTAACTCATAAATTTCTCCCCTGGTCAGTCATTTGACCTCCGGGCCTTGGCCTTATCTATCAGGACATATTATGGCTGGCTGCCCCTCCTTCCTGCAGTAATAACATATTAATCGTGCATTCCTTTCCCTTATCCCACTCTAATGATTTCTATTCTTTATAAAACATTGTCTTGCATTATGTATCTCAATTTTCTCCAAGTATATATTGGCGTAATATTTTCCTAATTCCTCTTATATATTACTTGCCTAGATAATTGCTCGATACCCTTCTAATACTATTTGATTCTTAGCAAGTTAAAATAAGTGCCGCAATGTAATGCACCATTTCTGTTGTATAATAAATATATTTATCTCGCTTTTTTGTTGATACCATTTAGCCTCTGATTTTAAAATCGTTAGGTTATGTAAATTTTTAATTTATTATTCCTTTAGGGCGATTTTATGTACATCACTAATCTTCAAATGTATGGGCATCTAATCGATTTCGAATTTTACGAAACATCACATTTCAATAACGATCTTTACCAGATATTCGATAATCCTAAAGTATTTTATTTGTTTTTTTAAATGATTTTTTATCATTTATTTTATGACATTTAATTTAAATTTTATTTTCCACGCGACACTTTGCAGGACTGGGAAGATGTTTACATTCATCCGGACTGGAAAAAGCAAATAGATCCGGAAGTCAAATTGGAAGAAGTTTTTTTTTAAATTTATATATATTTTCAATTAAATCAAAAAATTTCAATTATGTAAATTACCAATCTCTTACGTTAGTTATCCTTGCATGGTATATCATCTTACACTGAGATAAATTAATCCTGGAGGTCCCGCCGTAATTGGTCTCAACCACAGAACCATAACAGTGCCACTTATGATTGTAGGAACGGAGCCGCTGCTCACGAGCATGTTGTCATTGGGAAAAGAGTTCGACTGGTTGGTACTAAAGCCAAACTCAAACGGGTGATGGGACTTTGTGGGTTAAACAGAGGGAGAGTTATCACGTTAAGATGATTGAGTAGATATGAAATTGATAGTATGATGGTTATAGATAATAAAAAAATATGATAGCTACTAACCTTTTTCTAAAGGGTGGAATGTTTATGGAAAGATGCCATGACGATAGAAGAGACGGAGATATATAGAGAAACAAAATGCAAGAGATTGGAAGGATGTCAATTTGGGGCTTTTTTAAAATTAAATCGCACATTTATATTATATTTACATACTTATATATATAAAAATAATATCTACCTTAAAAATATATAAAAATTATGCACATAATTATATAAACATCTTGCTATAAACGGTTAAAATATATGACCAACTACTTTTTAGTTACGTTCCCAGAAGAGAACCAGAGTTGTATTTGATCATATCTATAATATAGCTAAAAATAAATAAGAAAATTTTATAGTTAAACATATTTAAGGTGCACTTATACTTTTTATTTGTATAAAATAAAAAATTTTGCTCAATTTAAATCATGTAAAAACATGTTATTTTCACCTTAGGAAATTATATGTATATTAGAGATCTGGGCCTATTTTTTTTTTAAAAAAATCTGGTTCGGGCTGGGTCGGGCCTAATATTTTTTTTAAAATTCGGGCAGGGTCTGATCGGGCCTTAGAAATTTTTTTAAATATATCTAAATTTATCAAGTTTATTTTGAATTTTTTATGTAAAATAAAAAACATTTCATTTTATTTAACGAAACCAGACGCCAAATATCATATATCTTTTATTTTGAGTAAAAATTAATTTTAGATTTAGATAAATTCGGGCCGGGCCGGTAAATTTTTTTAAAAAAAATTTCGGTTTCTGGCCGGGTCGGCAAAACTTTTTAAAAAGAAAAAAACACTATTTTTAACCCGACCTACTCAGATTTTTCTAAAATTTTTTACATGATCTTTTGTTTATTATAACTAAGAAAAAAATATAATTTTAATCCCCAACTCCAAACGGTGGCTGACATATAAGCCTCTAAATGTCTAAAAAATAAGGAATTTTTTATGTTTATCCAAATGGAATGGATTGTAATCTAATGTTTAAAAAAAATAGAACGAAATAAGTATATTATATAAATTAGCAATAACCCCCTCCCCATTCAACTATCTAATCTTTTATACTTAAATATAAAAAAATAATCAAAGATTTAAAAGATGCTTATCTATCAATTAATGTTTATCAAATATTTATTACGAATTTTTACATTTGACTAATGATTAAAATGCCAATAGCTCACAGCCCTGTGCTCTGCCCAAGTTGTAATTTTGCATATTTATTAATTATTTCTATAGCTATATAAAAAAATTTGAAAGAAATAAAAATGTCGATTTAATTCTATATTTTTTTCCGGTTTTTATATTAAAAATTTTTAAACAATATTTAATACTGTATAACTTTAAAGCTACCTTACGGCTATATAAAGAAATATAACAACGCTTCTAGCTCAATTACATCCAAATCTAAAATTAAAGAGAGTGCATTTTGCCCCAAAATTTTCTATTTTTTGACCTTTAGATGCTAATATCTCAGCCAATGCTTTGATTTGGAGGCTAAAATTTAATTTTTTTGAAGTTATAATATATGCGTAATAAATTTAGAAAAATCTAAGGGGGTCAGGATAAAACTCATGTTGATTTAAAATGAAATTATATCCTTTGTCACTTTTATAACGTAATGAGTATTTTTTATTATTATATAGGATACTATATGTAATAAAAAGTATGTTCTTTTTTTTAAAGAACCGGTTTGAAGATAAATTAGGATTAATTAAGAGGCTACACGATTGTATAAACTTAGTTAATTGATCCTCCAGTCGTTCCACCAGCTTCAAAATTTTGCACTTTTCTTATTTTGCGTATATCTCACTGACATTTGATCCCGCCCATGTCTGGTATGAGATCAATTAAGGCTAAATATTGGCCTAAGTTTCAGAATTTGATCATCAAATTGTTCTGTTGACTTCATTTTAAGTTCGCCATATTTATTTATTCATTTTATTTCCTTAAATATTTCAATAAATTTATATTTATTTAGCCGTGTCCTGACGTGTATTGGTTTCCTATTTTCACGGATAGATTTTGCGATGAGTTAATTGAAGAAATGGAAAATTTGGGTGATTGGTCCGGGGGTCGACACGAAGTATTCATTCATTTTTATTATTTTGTTTATTCTTAATATTAATAAATATAATAGTATATTTAAAATAAGGTTTTATATAAAAGGATGTAAGAAACTTAAACAAATCTCATTTCGAAAATAGTTGGAGAATAAAAACAAAAAATAAACCTTATTTTAAATCTCATTTTTGAATAATCCTGCAAAGGATCAAAGGCTTGCTGGTGGTTATGAAAATGTTCCTACTGACGATATTCACATGAGGCAAATTGGACTTGAGAGGCATTGGCTTCATTTCCTTAAAATGTATATTACACCAATTCAAATCAAAGCTTACCCGGGGTATCATCACGATGTAATTTTAATTTTATTGTTTACTTTTAATTTTTTTGTTTTTTTTGAATGTTTACTTCCGTTTATCATTATTTATTTTTTATATCTTTCATTTTCCAAATTAAACTTATTCACCTAAAATGGCCATTTCCTGTTTTCTCTCTTATTACCATCGCTAATATCGTTTACTTACCGTTAGTTTATTAGCGGAACAACGTTTATGACCCTTATAACGTTTATCTTTTCCTACGAAATACCCAACATCCATTCTCGACTATGATATTTGATATACCATTAAATAAAATACTATATAAATATATCTTAATTCGTATTCAAGCCACCGGAAGCAGTCATGAATTTCGTAGTTAGATACAAGCCAACGGCTCAATCCTATTTGAGACCTCATCACGATTCCTCCACTTTCACCATAAATGCCGCCCTAAATCGTTATAAAATTGATTACGACGTAAATTATTATATGTAAAATATCAAAAATTAATTATGAGGGATTAAATAATATTCCTCTATTTTAATATTTCTATACCCCCCCCCCCTTCCCTCCGTAAAAATTGGAAATAACACTATTCTGTTTTATATATTTATATGTGTTTTTTTTATGGATTTTAAAAATCAATTTTGTTAACCTCGAGACTAGCCAAAAAAAGGACCAAATTTTTAAAAGCCTGGTCTCCTTTTTTTGGCGCACCCGTGCAAGTTCAATATATTAATCAAAAGAAAGAAATTTATGTTTTGCAATTTATAATATAATTTTTATTTAAAGGGGGGTGGAGTCCGTTTCCTACGCTACAATTGCAGCATAATCGATACTAGGAAGGGTTGGAGTTTTATCCACCCTGGCCGTTTAACGCATTACCACGAAGGTCTGCTCATTACAAACGGAACTAGATATTTAATGGTTTCATTCGTTGATCCTTAGCTTAATAAAAATCTTATACATTTTTCTTCTTATAGCCTATTTATAATGCCGAATTATTGCGAATTTATTTGTAAATTTTTTAATTTTTTTTAAAATATTCAAATCGACGAAATTTATTACTTAAAGTTTCTTATTTAAATAATAAATAAAATTTTAATTTAATTAGGAAAAATATTTGTGATGTAATTTTTAATTTTTCTTCTCTTATATCCTTCCTTCTCAAACTTTTTTAAAATACCCTTTTTTTAAACTATCAAAAAATTTTAACAACGCATTTTTCGCAAAGCAGTCAAAGATCTCTCATTCTTATACATTATAGATTATCTGATTGACGATTCATAATCTCCTTCCATTTGTTTGCAGAAAAAATAATCATACTTTATATTTGGGCATTTTTTTTTACTGCTTTATTTGACCATTATATAACCGCCCTAAAATATACATCTTAGGACTGTTACATGAAGGTCGAATATGACTAATGAAAAGCACTAAAACAGCTTTTCGACATAGGGTTTTAAAGAAACATTAGAATATGTGTAATAATATTATAATAAAACACCTACAGACTTTGCACGATTTAATTTCAGGATCTTAGAATTCATTTTTCGAATCTCATTTTATGTAAGAAGATTAAAATTGGTGACAGTCTGTTATGTCAAAATAATTGCCTTATCCCTATCTTAGCTATTTTAATATTTATTTTCGAAATTAGCTTCATTTTTTTTTCAAAATCGAATTTATTATATTTATTTTTTTTACTTATCGCTTATTAAACAAATTATCATAGAAATATATATTTTTCAAACTTATATTAAATGCATTCATTAATTCCTTGCATTTTTTTACGCGCTCAAATGATATTATACCCCCCCCCCTCCCCTCCCTTTTTAAAAAAATTTAAGATATCGCTGTTTTTTATTTCATCATAATTTAAATATTATATTGTGTCAAATCGTGTTAAAGAAACTAATTTTATACATTTTTAAAAAATATTATTAAAATACTTTGCTATATTACTATAAGGTACACTCAAGTCCTCCAACTGACCTATTTTTTTAGGCCATATCTGGTCGGCTCGATTTTTTAAAGCTTCGGGATGACTCGGAAAGGTCATCTAAACTCATAACTGAAAATCACAAAAATATTTTCATTTTTTAATTATAAATTCGCATATTTTTTTAAAATTATATTTACTGTTAATTATTTATTTTTTATACATTTTCTTGAAAGAGTTATTCGTATAAACGCATGGTAAGAAAATAAAAGTTTCTTTGTGGGTTCTTTGTCAATTATTATTTTTTTTTAAATATTATTTTATCAAAAAAATATAGTGATTTTTCTATAGACTATTTCTATATGAATTATTCGTGATTATAGGAGTTTTATAAATGAGGCACACTTTAATTTTTGTGATTGTGGATTTTATTCAAAATTTTATAATTATTTCCAAATTTATTATTAAATTTAGAATTGACGGCAAAATTCTACCTTGATCCATACGCTTTAACTTTTTTGAATTATCTGTTAACATTGTATTTTAACTTTTGCGACTTTTTTAATGAGAAAGGGCGAGAGTTATGCGGTAAGCTTATAGAAAAGTATTCGATTAGAGTGTAATTTCATTTCAAATCTAATTTTTCAGGCTGACCTATTTAATTTTGATAAAATCTTGCACATTTAGAAATAGAAAGCATCAAATCTATTAGCTTCATAGTTCTAAGTTCCTAAATCAATTGTCAAAAATGACCTTTTTCGAAATATGATTTATTTAAAGATATAAATTAGAAATTAAAATGTTATTTTGTAGCTTTACTTAAGATATTTTAGTAAATATTAATTTTTTTTTAAAAAATGATGTAGTTTTTATTTACCTTATTAATTTTGAACTTGAAAGCTTCAGGTGTTTCGCTTTCCGAATTTTTTTGAATTTAATATTTATTCACTTTACATTATATTTATTTTTTGAAAAAATTTAAAATTAAAAGTCATAGGCTTTTCTAATTATATTTTTTTAAAGATTTTCCCATTTTAAAAGAACAAGAGCAACATTAATACCATAAAATAAACTTGTTTAGCCGCGATTTTATAATCAACTTTTACTTGTAAATAAGATTTTAAAAAAAAAATTTTAAATTACAAATCTAAACCTGCGAATTATCTCAATCACAAATCGGTTAATTTTATTAAAAAGGTTTTATTGAAATGATGATGTTAGCAAGCTATTACCAATGGAAAACATTTGACATCGAAAAAAGTCAACGAGTAGAAGCCAAAAATGGTTGGTTCTCAATAATTGAAAGGAAATATATAATATTTTAAGGGAAGTTATTCTTACAACTATTAGATTTCAAAAATTTGTTGGCTTAAGACGCAAATATTATGTGTTGGCAGGAGCTAGCGGAATACAAAGTGTATTTTATGCACTTGTAGTATATACGAGAACTTTTTATGTTATGAATGTGAAAAAAATAATGAGGATATATTAACTCATGGGATATTATGTAGGCAAAATTAGGTGCAATACCCATCTGTTATTTTTTTGATTACAGGGAGTATAGTGTTTAAAAGAACACAGAAAAATTATTTCTAAAAAATGATATCGCCCTTATTACATTTAAACAGTGGGCTTCGGTGCAGAACATTTAAGACTATATTTCAACTTAACGAAATTTCAATGAAATGGTTATTCTGATAATTATATGTGAGCAAGAAAATCGGGCCTGCAAAGTGAGTTCGGCAGGGATTTTAAATTGACTACCCGGCCCGAATACCAGGGCCGGGAGTCGTTTAACAAATTTCTCCCGCATAATATATTTTGCGGCCTTAACACATGGGCCTTAGAGAAGAGTTTAAATTTATATACCATTTTATTTCTCTAATTTATTTCCTTTAAGTTTTGTTAAGTTATATACTAATTTTTTATTAATAAAGTTCTAAGAAGACCGATGCAGAAATTGACTAATTCCGAAGCCACAGTTTTGTAGAAAGTGGAGCATATAGGACGGTATTCAAAGTCAAGCTTAAGAATTCCACGCAAGACTATACCTTGATGTTTATCAATAGATGATATTTCAATGGCGCTGAGATTTGTATTTATTTATTATATAAATTTTTCCCATTTTGGATAGTAAATCATGTATTTGTTTATATAGGATATGGCTTCTATTAAGTGGATTCGAACAGAACTAAATGTTCTTCAAACTGTCAAGAACCATCCATTCTTGGTTGAACTTTTCGCATTATCAAACTCCATGCAAATATTTTATTATTCTTATCACCGATATAATGAGATATGAAAATCTAAAAATTTTAGCTAGAAGCATAGTAAATTGTGAAAAAAAGAGATCTATATAAATATTGATTGCCACATGTTAGTCACTTCTTTAACGCTGCTTTTAAATGCTTGCAATGTTATAAAAGATAATTTCATTTATCTTTTAATGATAAGAGCGTTTTTAAAAAGCTTTCTTAAAAAAGTGATCCTGAACTAACTTTCAAGATAAACACAGTTAAAATCTCTATTATATTATTAATCGATTCTATTAAAAGTATGCGAATGTTTTGAAATCTTTGTAATTCCTTTAGAAGAGTTTGAAATTGGAACCATACCCTTTAGTTTAATGAAAGAAATATTGCTTATCATTTCGAGAATCTTTCTTATACCCCACAAATTAGCTACGAATTTTCTCGCCGAATGTAATTAAATATTATTGGATCTAGTATGTCACAAGACATTAAAATAAAATTAGGAACCAATTTGTGTAAAAATAACTTTGAATCATATAATGCGGCGAATTTAGTTGAAGGACAAGCTAATACTCATATTATATCTACAGTAATTACTTATATTACAAGGGCTTAGCAAAAGGCGACAAAGTTATCACATTATGTTGGACAATCCCTTATATGGCACCAGAGATTATTATGTCTCATAAATACTATGATAAGCATTTTATGTTATATCCCCTGTCTCGTAATATGGATTATTCATTTTTTAATGCAATCACGATTTCCGCAGCATAAAATATGACGTGATCTTCCAAGACTTCTACATCTTTTTCAAGAGATCTAAGATAACCTTCAGAAATGAAATCCATCACTAATATATACTCAAGAAATAATATAATAAATATTTTAACTATATAATAAATAAATACAAATCTCAGCGCCATTGAAATATCATCTATATCAAGGTATAGTCTTGCGTGGAATTCTTTAGCTTGACTTTGAATACCGTCCTATATGCTCCACTTCCTACAAACCTGTGGCTTCTGAATTAGGTCAATTTCTGCATCAGTGTTCTTAGAACTTTATTAATAAAAAATTCGTATATGAATTATCAAAACTTAAAGAAAATAAATTAGAGAAAATGGTATATAAATTTAAACTATTCTCTAAGTCCCATGAGTCAATGCTGCACTATGCGGGAGAAATTTGTTAGAGACGAATCGGGAAAAGAAAGTATAGGCAGTTTAATATTTTTCTTTAACCTCAAGTACAAAAATTATTTAAGCTATATATGAAATATTATCTTATGAAAGAACGGATAAAAATTATGTAATTGTCAAATATTCGCGGGAAAAAGTATTTGTTACCTTTACCAATTGTTAAGTCATTTCTGAATGGTTTTGACGATAAGGGCATTTTGGATTCCTCTAAGACCATGTTCACTATATTTTGAATATATTTTTTTCAAAATTATCATTTTTTTAAGCACAAATATCTCTAAATTCCAACTTATCCTCTAAGCAGAAATGTTTACATCATTTAACTTCTTCTCTTAATTTATTTTTCTTACTCTTTTTAGCACACCTAATTTATTAATTTGACATTATGCCTTATAAGAAATTATTTGTTATTCGATTTATATATACTTATATATAAATACTAATATATTTTTGAAAATTCGAATCAGATACGAATAATAATAGATTCAAATTATTCATATTAAACGATATTATTCAAAAATATTCAAAACCATTTTTTCCATAAAATTTTTGTTGAGAATATTAGTATTATTCTAAAATTTTCCTAAATATTCAAAATATCCATATGGAACTTTATAATTTTATTTCCTATATTTTTATAGTAATCATTTTATTTTTAATCTAAATACATTTTTGCACTTTAGAAAAATATTTTGAATAATTTAATTTTCAAAAATTCAACTAATCGAATGATGGTTAATTTATTTATTCCCAACTTGTTTTTATCGTTTTATTTCGCAACCTTAAAAACTACCCTATGAGCATCGATAGTAACAATATTTTTCATCTCCCTTTTGTTGTTAGCATGTTTAGTACCCCATAGGAATCGCTTTAAATTCCTACATGTTTTAATAAAATACAAATCATGAGCATTTCTATAATATTTATTTTACCCTCTTTTGAAGCCGTTACGAATTTCTCGTCGTCCACGAGGCAACCACAAATCAAGTTAGGATTATTTCAATAAATGTCTGGAATGATCGCATACATCACGAGTGTCATTATTAACAGATATTTCTCCCACTTTCTTGTCAGTGGATTTTTAACAAATTTATTAAAGAATTTTTATTTTCCCGTTTTGTTTTACTAATAAAATACAAATTAAACATGTCTATAATATTTATAATACCTTCGTTTAGAGGGTTAATAATATTCTCTTTATCTTTATAACATACACCAAATAAATTGTTCATCAAAATATTTTTCACTTTCAACAAATTAATTTTATATAAATGATATATGACGATATGCTTATGATGAGAAGATATTGATTATTGAAAGATAAGATGATTGTTAAATTAAAACTTAATATTGCTATAGAAAAAATTGTTTGTTGAAAAACCTCTTATGAGAATTACAATTATAAACCAGAATTTGAAATTTTAACAGCAATTCCAGTAAAAAAATAAAATATAGACATATGTTTAAGGTAGCTACTAAAATAGCTATGCCACATTTAAGAAATAGATATAATGCTTAATTTTTTTTCACAACAGCTAGTAAAGCGCGCTACATTTTTAAAGTAGCGTTAACAAACATTGTAAAATAACAACTTGGAAAGACCGGAATCTTTTATACATAAAAAAATAAGGGCTTTATTCATTACATAATATCCTTTCGTTGGAAATTAATATTTAAGAAAAATTAATATTTATAAATTATGAAAAACATCTGGGGTCCTTTTTAGCCTTTCGCGGTGCGTGTTATAGTTTTCTATTTTTAAATTTTATTAATTTTTTTTTAAGAATTTAGTTTACGAATTTTGTATTTATGTTATTAAACGTACATGTCCAAGTTACATAACTAAAATTAGTAACTAATTTTTCATGGCCTAAATTTCGGTTCGAATTCATATTTTTTTCGTATGATATTTTAAATGAACCTATATGAGTTTATCAATGAAGCATGATTTATTATGGATCCGAAAATGGCGAGTCATATGACAAAATAGAGTAGATGCTTCCTATGTGCTCGCAAATTATAATTTAACAGGTTAGAATTAAATATTTTCATAAATATAAACATTTTTAGATAAATCTAAGAGTAAATATTCTCGCATCTATCAATGTTACTCAAGTATTAAAGAGTTGTTACCTTTTTAGATCTATAAATAATAGAAGGTAGCCCAACATAATTCAACTGTCTAGGAATTGAGTCAGTATCAACTTTATTAACTGATATAACAAATGGGAATAATATCCCTACCCCTTCAAACTAATCTAACATTCATTTAGAACCAAAAAGGGTATAGAAAAAAAAATTAGATATCCTAATAGATTTGGAGAGAAAGAAATTGAAAAATCAGAAGATGATGACATTTTAATTTTTGTTAAAATCTTTAAAACTTTGCTATTCACATTCAGTAATTTGCAAAATTAAATGTTGATTTACAAATTAATAGAATTTCCAGATGTTTTAATAGAATTCTTAATTTAATTGATATATTTAATATTCATTCATAAATATAAAAATTTCTATTTGAAAAATGTATATTGTAAAATAAAATTTATTATACTTTCTCCACCTTCCCACATCACTTAAAACTGTCATATAATTTACAAAAAACTAATCCACCTTTCGCAAATTCTCACGTTTTCCCACGTTTTGGTTGAAATTCTGGGAAATAGGCTAAAACAACTCCGATATGAAGATTGAATTTCGCAATTAAAGCATTGCCTGCAACTTGATTAATTTAAAATCATTGAATCGAGGATGAAATATGTTTGACACAAAATGAATATTCTGACAACAAAACTCTTTGCGTTTTTTCACTAGCTGTATTTCTGATCACTTTCGCTAAGGAAATTCGAATTTGTTTTCATTGATAATACAATAATGAAAAATAAATTCGCTAATTATGATATACTCGATTTATCTCTTTCTAATAGGCTTAATTAAATATAACCAAGAATTTTAATGGGAATTTTGAATTTCGTTTCGGGAATATTCCTTGGGATATGCACGAAATCCGGGAACGTTTCCGGCTTCTACATTAGTATTAGTTACTAAATTATTTGAAGTTAAACAAAAATAAAAATACTTAAATTAAAGAATAAAATGATATACTGATTTTGTAAAGTATAATAAAGTAACAACTAAAATAAAAAAGAGAGCCAAATAGGCCCCCACAAAAATAATTCTCCCGTCTTTTGAAAATTTTGACCTTGCATCCTTGGTCATCAACTTTCATATATTTTGTAACATTTCATAATAGACAATATAATATTTTAAGAAAATTTTTTGTAATTTTTCGATTTTTACAAAAAATTATAATTTAATAATCGTATGATTTATGTTTAGGTCATTCTCTAAGATTAATAAACAAAGCAAGGTTCATGTTATATTATCAACCTTGAATTATATAATTATTATTTAATAAAAAAACATATCCATACTCAAAGAAAAAATAGTTATTTCATCTGATATCATTTATAAAAAAAATACCTCAAGCCCCACCCTGACATTTGGAGACATGAAATCGAATTCATATGATAACAATTTGAATAAATCTTTGGAAGAAGTTGACGTTGAAATTTTACAATTGATTAGGGAAGTAAAAGACACGCAAAAAAGTGAAATTGAGCTTATTGCTTCAGAAAATTTTGCATCGAAGGCTGTGTTAGAAGCATTGAGTTGCTGTGCTCATGGCAAATATTCTGAGGGTTATCCTCATAGTAGGTTACATATTATAAATATTTCGTTAAAATAATTTATTGAAAACTAAATTTATTACAATATAATGTTGAAAATTATAATAAAATATTAGGCAAACTATTATATATTTAATTAATTATAACATATTTTAAAATAGAGATTATGGCGGCGATGAAGTTATTGATAAAATTGAACTATTATGCCAAAAGAGGGCTTTGGAACTTTATGAACTTGACCCCAATAAATGGGGAGTTAATGTGAAAGTTTATTCTGGATCTCCCGCCAATTTTGCAGTTTACACAGGTAACTTTTATATATATTTTAAGTAGTTATATATGCTATATTTGTTATTAGAAGTTAATGAATTCACTAAATTTAATCTCTTATCTACCATAAACGATAAAAACAATAGTATTGTCGTTATATTTCTAAAGAAAAATTATTCCCCAGAATATTAAAAATTTAGTTAGACATAAAAAAAATTTTAAAACTATTGAAATGCTTACATTTCTATTATCTCAGTTTTTTACTCATTAATTTATTGTATTAAATTTGTTGAAATTAAAATCTTCCTTTTTTTTGCCTTTAACTCTTTTCCCCTTTTTATATTATTTATACTTTTTATTTTGAAAAAATCAAGCTTTGGTAGGCCCTCACGGGAGAATAATGGGCTTGGACCTAATTGATGGGGGTCATTTGACTCATGGATTTATGACAGAAAAGAAAAGGGTTTCCGCTAGTTCCTTATTTTTTGAATCTATGCCTTACAAAGTTATATTTCTCATACTATTCTGAATATTTTTTTAAAAAAAATCATCCTTCTTTTGCCATAAGGGTCAATTTTATTTTATCCCACAAGGGGAGCAAAAGAATTAAGCACCAAATTTAAATTTATTTGGGTAAAATTTTAAATAAAATAGAAATCATGATCACAATAAATGTACACTAATAAAATAAATGTTATATCATAGAGGTCTGCAATGGGCTGGGCTTAACCAAAAAGTCAGCCCATCATTCGGCAACTCTTCCATTTTTCTAAAAATAAAAAATTGTACTACCTATTATAATACTTTGGGAGCTGTGATTAATTATGTGAAGTTGGCCATTTTCTCCATTTTACCCCATACCCAGGGTAAATTGGCATGGCAAAGCATCGGGGTAAAGGGATTAAAATAAATTGAACACAACTGTATTGTTTAATTTAACAAAATATTGCAATTTTGACAGCTATTCATCACTTCTAGTATAAACTAATTTATACAATACCGGAATGTAAAAATTTGTATCAAAAATACATTTTGAATGTACCCATTTTAATTATTCTCCTTATTTGTAACTATTCATAAAGTTTTATTCCAAATAACACACTTTATTTATTAATGTTCATTTTGCACAAAGTATCTTTTTATATGGTGTAATGTAAACGATAATTTTTAAAAATTATCTTTTTACAACTGAAAACAGATGAAACATTCTAACCGTTTTACCCATAGCAACTTTAACCCAAGATGTACGTGACTTCTAGATACACTTTAAACTTCAAATAAATTTTATTTTATAGCTATGGCCTCAAGGAACATCTATGCAAACTTTTATATTCTGAGCCTTCATATATTTTTTTAAAGAAAAAAAAACTAGAGGAGGATTTTTATAATTTTTCGGTAGAAAACAGATTTTTGGCAAAATATCTCAGGAAAGTTCAAAAGATGAACATAGGTAAGAAATTAGATAAAAATACCACACTAATTTAGAGTCTTTATGCTCAAGGGTTAAGAAGTTATTCGCATTAACTTTGCTACCCCGTCGATCGTTTTACCCCGGTCACCCCTACTTTTTAAAATTATTTAGATATTAAATTGGTAAAAAGATACAGATACTTTTACCTTTTCAGTCTAATGTTATTTATAATTTCAAATATTTACTATATTGTTAGATCGATCCCATTACAGGCTTAATTAACTACGATGATTTGGAAAGAAGCGCCAAACTGTTTAAGCCTAAGTTAATAATAGCTGGTAAGAAATTTATTATTTAAACGCCCTATCTTGTTTGTTTTTCGATTCGTCGAAAAAAAACTAGTCATACGCTTTTTCTCCATAAATGAGATAAGATTTATCATAATCAGTTCCTATATTTATATTTTATATTGTGAAAAAAAATAATGACATTAATGGGAAAATTGAGAAAGAACAGTACTACGAATAGTGAGAGACATTTTCGAGAGAGGCAAGAGACATAATATTTTATAATTTCTGATAATTAATCATTAAGCTCGTTTTTTTTTAAAGATTAATATTAAGAAATAAAATTTTTGTTTATAATTTACGTATCTCGCATAGGCATAACCTGCTATTCCCGTCATCTGGATTACCCTAGATTTCGTGCCATTTGTGATAGCCAAGACGCCATCCTAATGGCTGATATGAGTCATGTGTCCGGCCTAGTTGCAGGAGGTCAAGTACCAATTTCCCCGTTCATTTTTTCTGACATAGTAACTACGACCACCCATAAATCATTGAGGGGCCCTAGGGGGGCATTAGTATTTTATAGGAAAGGTATGTTAAATAACATATAATTCAAAAATAACTAAACTATTTATATTGTTTTTTAAAAAAAAGCTTCTCAATCTATTTAGAATGTTCTAAAAGCGCTAATTAAAGCCTCAAATATCATTTAAACTGTAAACAGAAATATTTTATTATAGGTGAATTTCTAAATTATAGTTTCAATTTAAAAAGTATTTACGAAAAATTATTTTTTAAAAGGTATTAAAAACATTAAAGCCAACGGTGAAAAAGAACTTTACGATTACGAAAAGTTGATCAACGAAGCAGTATTTCCTGGGCTTCAAAGCGGATCTCACAACAATGTTATTGCTAGTACGTGCATATAAATTTAAATTTGAATAACATTCACAGTAATTTATCTCATTTATTTCTTCTCGCATTTTAACTTCCTTTTCCAGTTCACTTATTCTTCTAAACTAATATATCTTTTAAAGTACTAAATGCGAAGATTAAAAATGGAATGTTCCTTTTTTAATATTTCCTTGCTCGATTCCTGATTTGAATTTAAATATACTTCTTAAATTAATATAATCTGTTTTTTTAAGGTAATTAAACCCAGGGTTGTGTATTTGATGGGTCAAATACGATTTAATTAATTTACCGATATTTGGGCAAATATGGTCAAATATTGTCAAATTCAAATAAACATTTATTAGAACAATATAACCCTTTTTGTATTCTATAATATTAATTTTATAATAATTTTATATTCATTGTCATTCAACAAATAATGTTTCGCTGTGGAAGAGTATTGTTTATTCATATTTAATATTATCATTTTCTTTAATATTTTTTAATCAATTTTCCTGTTGTCGAGATTTTCAATCGATTTCTGTTTTAGTAAAATTACTAACCCAAATCGACCAATTTCTCTCTGAATAAGAAGTGGAAATAGGAATTTCTAGTAAAATGTCACTTCTTAAAGGATATAGTGAACAAAGCCAATTCCACTAACTTGAGAATCCAATTGTTTCTAATGGACTGCTTTCCACATCAATTGCTATTAAATATGCCGCTTTTACTTGGTTTACTCACTTCCTTAAGGTATTACCAATCAAATTTGTATTTTGTTTACTTTTCATTTGGATAGGGACTACCAAATTTATTTATAATATATATTTGAAAAATCATGATTTTTGGAAAGCTTCTGTGGCCTAGTGAGCAAGAGCGTCGCTTATCAATCCGATGGTTATGGGTTCGAATCCCATCAATGATCATGTTTTTTTTCTTAATCTAGCTTGGTGATTTCGTCCTTGGGGGGGGGGGGGGATGATATATAGGAGGCCGGCACGTGATTCCGTTATAATATATGTTAAAGCATAAGTTGACTTGGTAGTGACCATCATTAACCCTTTTACTTTTGAAATTTATGATATCACTTGAATTATTTTGAACATCACCACTTTGTGAAACGCCTATTTTTTGTATTATATCGCATACTTCAGTAAATCTACTATTAGTAAAATGATCCCCTTGATATTGGGGACCCAATAAATAAGCAGCATTGTGATCATGTATTTATATCGTTTTTACTTTTCCAAATATTTTTTAAAAAAATTTCCGGTCAATTGACCGACTTGTCAACACTGATTAAACCTTCTCGTAGGTAAAAAAAATAATAATAATTTTGGTTTTATATATGATACATTATCAAAGATAAAATATAATTAAGTTTAGAATTTAAAAAATAAGAGAAAAAAAAAGTGTTGATACAAAAATTAATATATTTTTATTTCAAACAAATTTTAATGTTTTTATTTAATTGCAAACTTTATAATCTTCTTTCTTTTTTTTTGAAAATAAGGTGTTGCTGTTGCATTGAAAATGGCACACAATGAGGAATTTAAGCGATACGCTAAGCAAATTATTGTCAATTCTAGGGCGCTTTGCAAAGAACTACAGGACCTTGGATACCATATTGTCACAGGTTTAATATTACTTGCATGTGTTTGCATAAGATTGAATTGTGAAACTTATTTCTTACTTATTCTTTTTATGTGTCCCTTTTTATTATGACTGCTCTTTGGCAATCTTTCTCATATAACTTATTTCTATCTACTTCAATATTTATATATTAGTGCTATAAAACAAAAAAATAAGTTTTGTTGATTTTTAAAAACTTAAATTTATATGCCAAAATATATAGACCCCTTTACTGGATACCAACTCGAATTAATTGAATTGTTGGACAAATTAATTTTTAAAGTACAAGATATAAATAAAAAACTTCAACATTAATCATCAATAATTGATCATAATTTATTACATTTTGCAATTAAAAATACAGAGCGTCACTAGGGGGCGCGCAGGGGCTCGAGCCCCCTGAAAAATTTGAAGAGCCCTTCAAAATTATGAATTTTTTTAAAATACCAAATACAATTTTGAAATTGTTAGCTAAGAAAAGGTAATTTCGAAAATATTAGCCATAAAAAGGTAATTTTGTAAATAATTTAAAAAAAAAATTTTGAGCCCCTTGAGATTGTAAAGGCTAGTGACACCCCTGTAAAAATAGATAGAAGATCTTTGAATTTATAAAAAAAACCTTATAATTTATTTTAACATAACAATAAAAGGCTAAAATAAACATCGCTTGTGGTTTTATGCAGCTAGTGGGTTTTGTGAAATCCGTATTATAGAAACCCATGTGTGCCTATGGCATCCGTAAATTAAATATTCTCCTTCTTATTTTAAATTATATCCGATTCAATTAAGAACATCAAAATCATTTGATATAATTTCCTATCAACCAGATCAGAAAATTATCTCCTATACAGATGGTATGGTTCTATTCTAATCATAAAATCAGAAGAAACTATTAATAATATAAACACTTAAGCTTCTATAGTTCAGGGTAGGACTAAATATAAAGTATAAACTGTAAAACTATCATCATGCCGTCACTAAACGAACACATAAACAACTTTACAGGAGACCAAAAAGTAATAAAAATTACAAACTGCTTTTAGGTCGAAATTTAGATAATAAATTAAATAACAATATAAACTATATCAAAACAAAATATATTTTTTAAAAACAAATAAGAATATATTAAAAATTATATGAAAAAAATAAACAATTTTATAAACTGATTTTTATAAAAAAATATATATTATTTATAACATAACTAATGTATAAAGGTGGAACTGATAATCATATTTTATTGGTAAATTTGACACCCATTCATCTTACGGGCAGTAAGGCGATAAAAATACTCGAGAAAATAGGAATCGCTTGCAGTAAATACACTGTTCCCGGCGATAAAAGCCTTCTTAGCCCGTCTGGCATTAGGTTAGGAACTCCGGCAGTTACTTCGAGAGATATGAGAGATGCGGATATGAAAACTGTAGCTCGTTTTATACATTCAGGTATGTTATATAAATATTTTGAATACAATTGGGTTAAGAAATTGAATTAGAATATGACTTAATTAAGGGACTTTCCCATCTATTTCAATTCGAGGAGCCACTTCCTCCACCCTCCCCCCTTCCCTTCTATACAAATTTTTTTTTTAAATATATGACATTTCCAGATACCAGCATAGATCAAAATCTTAGACCCCACCCATATTTAAAATTTTGTGCTATTTTTCCCCTGTCTGGTGCTTTTTTTTTTAAAGCTTAGTACAGGATTTTTATTTCTGATCCTTTTATGTTAAATAATTTTGGCTATATTTTGCATATTGTTTTAAAGAGAAATTAAAAAATATGTTCAGTAAATGAATATTAAACCCCATTATAAAATTTTCCCATTGATTAATTGATATATTTTTTTGATTCTTAGACACCACCCTTTATTATCTTTTTAAATTTTTAAGCTTAGCCTAGATTTTTATAATATTAATTTTAGACTGACTTTCCGGCCTGCAGATCTCTAATATAATATTGTTCTATTTGCATTTTACAAAATTTATTTAAATAGCTCTCGTAATTATAAAAAAAAATGGAGAATCATTGTTAATTAATTATTTAGAGTGTTTATTATTTATTTTTTGCAATATTCTCTAATTGCCTAATAACATCCAATTAAGAATGCTATACTCGTTTGCTTTGGAAAAATATTTCCATTCCAAGCTTTTACTTAATTTAAAAATATTGCCCATGTGCAGGCTTTTGAACCCGCTAAAATTTTACACTGGGTTCGGTTCAAGGCAAATAAATAAGAGGTAGTCTCGGTTCGCGTTTGGAAGCTCTACCTGAACCCAAGTTTAGAAGGTTCACGTTTATATTAAAAAAAATATTAACAATATGTAAAGTATAAACATTTTACAAATCTAGTCAGGGGATTCATTCATTAAATGCATTAAAAAGTGTACACATATTGAAGTCAGATGTAGTCAGTGTCATTGGTTGTATTAGACGCCATTGAAAGGTATTTCAAAGGCATTTAGACGAAATGCCTTCTCAATTAGCGTATGCTACAGCCAATGCAGCTGACTTCAACGATGAATCGTCAGTCTAAATAAGTATTAATGTCTTTGCTTTACACAGAACCTACTTTTTGTTTATACCTTAGCAGTTAATACATGTGGGTACATGTCTATACCGAGAAAAAAATTTTAGCGCGAAGAGCATTATCGAAAATATAATATTGATTACCGCAGAAAAATATTCGAATACATTTGGCATATATATATTATAGCAAAAATATTATGGCTAATGTATCAGAGCGAATGCATTATTGCAGAAATATTAGAGCGAATGCACTATCGCGAATGCATAAGCGCGAATGTATTAACGCGAATTCATTATCGCAAATGAATTATCTCAGTTGCAATATTAGATGCAGTTTGGTGAAAATTTATCAGCTTTTATACAGACAGAGTGGAATTTGAAAATGGACCTAGGCTTGGGTCTAAAAACAATTTTTTTCGAAAATTGGGTTCGGGCTTTTTATATATTTTTGACTCAAAATATGTAATAAAGATTCAAAAAAATATTTTCTCTGGGATTAGGGTATAAAGTAATTCTATTTTATTATATGTTTAAATATGCGATTAATTATTTTTCCATTAAAGTTGGGACAGTGCAAGCTCAGGCCTAAAATAAAAATTTGGCTGGGCTCGGCCCTAAAAATAAATAAAAATTTTGGGTCAGTCTAAGGCCGAAATTAATTAAATTTACAAAATGTAGAACAAGTCTTATCTAAAACATTGAGCCAAACCTATAATTGGTCCTCTAAAATAATTTTTATTTACCTTTGACAAAACGTGCTTTAATTAGTGAAGGATTTAAAGTTTAATTTTGTTAATTCACTATTTTGACATTATGGGTATAAAACAACTATTAAAGCACAGTTTAATAATTCAAAAATTGTAATTTAGATAGACCAATTTTTGATAATAAATTTTTATAAAATTCTTTTATCACTTAACACAAAAAAAAAGCTAAAGCTCCAACAGGACATGAAACAATATTCAACAATATAGGTAAGTTGTCTATTTGAATGGCTTCACATCTCAGAGCTTAATTAGTGTAATTTCTGATGATGAAATTGCTACTATTGCTTAGGAATAGGGAAAAACAATAAAATAATAATTTCCTTAATTGATCTTTGTTAAGCTCTTGGTTTCTATCGAGTCTTTTTGCCATCTATATGACTAAAGACAAATTCTATAAAAATTAATGTAGATCGAAATAAATAAAAATTCAGCTAAAGTTGAATGAATTGAACAAGCATAGTATATTATTAAAAATTACTTAGCTACTACTTATATGAAGTGCGGCGAAGCCCTTTGCACAGGTAAATATCAGCTTATAAATAAATGAATTTAGCGAGATATATAGTCTTAGAAGATTTATTTATAAAATATACTAGGATCGCGTTCTCTGCTCCTGGTGTTGTTAAACGGCTTGATTTTAGCTGATTTATAAGCTCTAACTCAATATTTTAGCCAAAAAAATATCCAATGCCTCGAGATTTCGCTAATAGATGTCCAAACCTTTGTGTCATCTGAGAAGATCTTCAGGCTTACGTAATATTTTTCTGAATAAAACATTTGAATAGTCGTTTTTAAAAATTTGTTAATAATATTAATTTCTCAATTAAAAAACAAAAGCGGGCATTTTCTATGAAAATTAATGTTTGAAAATAACTTGGATTAAAATGACTGCGATTGATATATGATTGCTACTAATATTATTTTCTCGCTTCAAAAACAGTGGCGGTCATTTTTAAATAATTTATGCTTTGGAATTAAAATGACTGCGATTAATGTCAAGTAATTTGAGCAAGAAATCCTCCCTCCTTTTATTGGGCTCTATTTTTAAAATATAATTCATATAATAAAAAAAATGAATCCTTAATATCAAAGTGAAATAAATATGATAAAGTTGTTATGGCGATAAATTTTGGTAAAGGGGAAGTAAATAAATAGGCGAGACTAGGGCTAGTCAGCGAAAGGGGCTTGTCAGTTCAAAGGATTTTATTTTAAAACAAGAAATGTTTAGAAATGCAAATTTAATAATGTAATAGCAATCTATAATATGTATATTTGTGGCAAAAATTATTTTATTCGCCTCAGCTATTTCAATTCTTTTCTGATAAATATGTTTTTAGGTAATAAATTAAAAGACTTAAACTACAATATTAAGTGGCATAAAAATATGAAAAGTTTAAAAATAACAAAATTGACATGATGTGAAATTTAAAACCCTTCCCATTTCAAAAAGTTTCCTAATTATCATGTTTAGAAATATTTTTTGAGGGTATTAATTATATTATTATCTAGGAGTTAGCAGTATTAGGGCTTGTGGGATCAATTAAATAATGCTTAAAAATATTAGATATTATTATATATATTAATATAAGAAAAATATTCATTGGCTACTATTATTGATCCTAAATCAACTCTATATATTTGCGATAGAATGAGGAAAAGATGAATAAAAATTTCACACATTTTTTAAAATTCAAAAAATGTCATATTGTTTTATTTTTTTATGAATTATTTATATGCATAGTATATTATATTAATAATGTTCATGAAAATAATGGGAAAATAATAATAATTATTCTATAGGAGTCTTAATAAAACAATTGAATCTACAAGCCCCGGGTTTGGGGCTTGTTGGAGCAAAATTTTGCTTTTACTAGAATCTATTTTGTGAAAAATATATAAAATATTAAAAATATTTATTAATGTATAACTTTAGATAGGTGTTTGGGCTATCTCATGACATTTTATAAATTCAAATAAAACAATTATTTTCAGATGATGATTTTCACAAAGGTTGCCCCGTCTCATGAGATCAAAAATTTATTAGACAATTTATCAGGTGGCTAAACGCCTCGTTTTAAATATTACTCTAAAATGTGTCATTCGTTTTTTATGAAATTTCTATTTTATTATGTATTTTATTATTCTCGAAATATTTTATTATTAAGTCGGTTTTTAGATAATTAAGATTAAAAAAAATTAGCCGAACTTTTTCTATTTAATCACAAATTATAACACAAAATATTTCAGTCATCAAACAAATCTCATTATTAAATGCCCTTTATTAACAATATAAAAAACCATACGGTTCACTCAAAATGCAGGTTTCATATACCGAAAAAATAGCAAGTAATAGGCTACTACCTTTTGAATATTACAAACTTGAAAGGAAAATTGGTGAAATATAAAACTTCACTTCGCAAGAAATAATCAAATTGACGTTGATTATTTAGTGTTGTTATACAAGAAGCAAAAGAAATATCATAAGTAGCTTTGTGTTCTTCGTTATAATTTATAATTAAGAAAATAAATTTAAGGAGAGAGTACAGCTATAGACCAACATAATGGAAACCTGTCTAGCTAATTTTGAATGATTAAGAATAAATGAAGGGCTTAAATTTTTTGTCAAACATTAGTATTTTTAATTTTCTAAAAAACTACACATTATCTAGTTATTAAAAAAATTTGAAAATCCTTTAATAAAATATGTAATTAATAGAAGTGACGTGTTTATAGAAATATAAAGTTTTTAAAACACCACGTTTGTTTATTCATAATAAATATACAAATTAAATTTTAATTAAAATGAATTATAGTAAACTCTCGGCTTAATGTAAATACAAATACACAAAATAATTATTAAAACGTCAATTAGGCAGGGTATATAGTTTTTTGAAAAAGGTTCAAACTTGCTAAATGAGTTAGAATATAGCAGTAGAGAGCTTGAAGAATTTCTTTAGAGGAAAAGGGATACGGTAAGAAAATATTAAGGGCCCGGCACTCCCAAAAGGTAAAAAAAATATCTTTTTTGAAATATTTAAATATTAAAAATATATTAATTAATAATTATAAAAGCAGCAAAGGAATTTAATATTTGTCAAAATAAATAAAATTATAAAATTATAAAATTAAATCATTATTAATAAATTAATTCACTGTATTAATTTTGCTTTAATGTATATTCGCAATATTATTTTCGCTGTAATTCGTTCCCTCTAATACAATGGCGATAATAGCTACAATGCATTCGCGATTATACATTCGTTGTACATTCGTGTATTGTTTTCCCTGTAGTGCATTCGCGGTAATGCATTCGCTAAATCTTTTCACGGTAATCAACATTCGAGACTTTTCGCATAAAAATTTCGCGGTATATACGTGATGCGATAAAAATTATCCTTCAAAGATTGATAATAATTTAAAAGTATATATAAAAATTAACTATCCTACATTTAAATTTATCCTAATTTTGGTAGATTTCGAAAATTCAAATTAACATTATAGGTAATCTTAAATTTAAATATTGAAGAATACAAAGATTGCATCTAAAACAGGTCATTTTTAATTTACTTTTATATTTTACTTTAATAAACTTGGAAATGAAAAACAAATCACAAATGGCAATCGAGTTGGTCAGTAGTTACATTTTGCAAAAGTTAGTATTAAGCTAAGCTAGTAGCTTAACGCATGTATTTTGAAGCATTTAGATACATTTTTTTTAGTATTTTACAATGATAAACGCTCAGAATTTTTTCCCATAATTTCTCCGGATTAAAAAAACACTCAAAAGCTAATAATTTTTAACATTGACTTTTGTTAAAGTCTAAGACGATTTTTTGAGCCTTTCATATATTTTTCTGAACTTTGTTTAATTTGAGCGTTTCAATTTTATACTTAAAATTAATATTTTTTCTGAGCAATTGAGTTTTATATCTGAACATTCAGTATTATTTTCTGAACGTCATTTAAGGTTTTTTTATGCGCATTTCAGTTTAATTCTGAGCGTGCAAAGCAATAAAACGACAAATATTTCTTATTTTTAATACTATCTTAGCCCTGACACTAGGCATAGGTATACAGAAATATTTGCTAAACAAAAATCCTAACCCTGAAAATTTGGTAAATCTTAAGGATTTCTCAGCCTTCGTTGATAATGAACCCAAAAATGAAGAAATCAGTCATGACAGCAAAATCATGGTTCTCAAAAAGGGAATAGAAAACTTAGGCCACGAAGTTAAGACTTTCGCCAGTGGATTCCCTTTACCCGGATTCGAAAATTTTTAAAGGTTTTTATATTTAGATATTTCCAATATCTTCATTAGAAAATTATTTTAAAATAATGACATTTTTTATAATTAACATTTTTTTTCTAAATTAATACATTCATATTTTTATCACAGTCATTTTTTTTCAAAATCATTACAGCCATTTAATTTTCATTTGTTACAAATGATTTGACTTTGAAAAATTATTATATAAATAATTAAATTTTATCACGTATGTTTTTTAACTTGCCAATATAGTTTATATATATTTTTAAAGATAATAATAAATCTATAAAGTTCTTCTCTAAAATTATTAAATCGAATTGAGCTAAAAAATATTAGTTAATAATTCTTTAACAGATTTCATATTTATCACATTTGTAAAAAGATGCTTTTCATAAAAAAACCTTCAGAGATGCCCATTTTAAAGTCCAGCCCAATTTTTTTAAATTTTGACCCAATCAAATGTATACCCAACTTCATTGTTTTAACTTTTAAGATACTTATTTTTATTTGTAGCTTGTAAGCAAATTTTTTATTTTATAATATATATTTTATTTATTTTTTTTAAACTTTTAAATGTATTCATTAATTCTTTGTATTTATTTCTACACGCTCATATATACCTGTTTAAAAAAAATTTGAATATCGTTGTTTGTTTTCATAAATATAAATATTGAGTTTAAAATTTGATGCTAGGTGCAGATTAAGCCCAGAGTTGGGCAGGTCCACCGGAAAAAGAATCTATATACAGATATAGATCCTTTATAAAAAGATGGATCTTAGATACATATACTAGTATCTTATTCAAAATATCAAAAAGATACAAGATAAAAAATACTTGTATCTTTAAATGAAAGTATCTTAGATGCAAGATACTTTTATAAAATTAATATTTAATGGTTAGTTAATTATAATAACAGGCCTTTTAATATTACTTTTAACCCATTCTTGCACATGCAACTAGTATATTTTTATTAATTTGCAATTTAAAATAGATTATATCAGCTCATTATTTTATAAGTTAATCAATTTTTCATTAAAATTTGCGGCAGTGTATTTAACATTGTCACAAAACTGAATAACCTTGTAAATGGAGCTGGTGAAGGTATTGCAGTGTTATATTTTAAAAAACATTTCTTAATAGAAGGATAATAATTAACGTATTTCAACAGTCTTTAATATAATTTAAGACCTCCAGCTCAATGTTATCTATATTGTTGAACTCAGCAATATTTGTTTCATCAAAGGAAGAATAATTATGATCTTCTTTATTAGATGTTAAATCAATTGGTGTTATAGTTTAAGCTTGATTATACACTATTAGTATTACATTTAGGGCTTCTTTTAATATATTTATAAATTATTTTTTTTATCACCGAATCAATCCATAAGTTTTTAAAATATGTATGTGATAATGATGTCAAAAAAGCTTCATTATATTAATCATCAAAGGAAAAACTTTCCCAAAACATTTGACCAAACCATCATTTTTTATCTATTCAAAAAATTTTAAATATGGCGAAAGGAAAATAAGGAAATTATTACAAGATTCCGTGAAGAAAATAAGGTTATATTCTGTGATGTGTAAATATTTTAAACATAAATATTAAAAAAACTATATCTGTATCTTTTGTCAATAAATTAAAAAGATACAAGATTTCTTTCAGAATAAAAGTTCTGAGATACAAATACTAGTATCTTATTAAAAATGTCAAAAAGATACTGAGTACAGGATTTTGTATCTTATATACAAATATTGGCGGTACTGCTCAACTCTGATTAGGCTTATTCAAAAACAAATTCGAATCGAATAGTACAAGCGAATCGAATAATTTACTATTGGTATTCATACGAATAATAAAATCTACTATTTGTATTGTATTCGAATTATTCTAATAATCTGAATTATTTGAATAATTGGAATAAATTTTTGTAATAAAATAAATCATACTAAAATATATTGACAAATTTTTTTATTGCAAATTTAATTTAAAACATAAAATATTATTATAATAATCTGATAAGAAATATGTAATCAATAATCTGATGATTAAAAATATGTAATAAAGTTACAAACAAAATTAAAATGTTAATTTATAATTATAAGCCATTTAAGGGAAAAGAGTTTTTTCTTATATTTTTTTCCTAATATGACAATCGATTTTTTTGACAATAAATTAGTTCCAACTGAGAAAAGCCTTTCACACGCAGTTGATGTTCTTTGTATAGTTAGGTAGTCCCTTGCCGTTTTCAAGATTATGGAGATTCGATATGCATTTGCCTTCCAACACATTAATGACTACGTATCACTCTTTGCTCTTGGCTCAATCGACAAAAATCTATTTCACATAATTGAATATTATTTTGTTTAAAAACAATGTCTAGTCTGTTTTGTTGAATTTCATCCATATTTGTATTGTCAGCTTATAAAATAAAATCATATTTATTTAAATGGAAGTAAATTAAATACCTGTATAGCTAGTATAAATCTCTTTAAATTTGTCCGTTAACTTGGATATATCAATATCATAATCAGCAGATATTGATTTATTCTACTTCAAGCCTGGCATCCAATATTGTGGTTATTATTGAATCATCAGCAGTTAAATTATAATAGCCCAACAATTTATCACTTTGATTTAAAACCATTGTTATATGATTCATGGAAATCAGGTTTTCCATTTTTTAGGTGTTCAAGAATTAGAATAAAATAAGGTAGAGCCAAATTATAAGTAGAATAATTCACCCCACATAAGGCAATAGGATTATCTGTATCTAGAGAGTATTGGGGGTATCTAAAATATAATTTATTTAAGCAAATAGATTTATTTAGAATTTTTAAAATAATTTTATAAATATTCCCCTGATCTTTAATGTATATATCATAAGTTTAATGTAAAAAATATTTTGTATATGCTCGTTTTAAATGAGATGTTTCCGTAAACAGATACATTTTTAAATGATATATCTGTATATGTATCTAGATCCATTTAGAAAGTATCTTTTAACAACTCTCATATTTTTATTTAAATTCATAATTCTTAACTGCCATTTTTTAATATCTAGAATTTTTATTTTTTATTTATTTTTACACTGCCAAATTTTTTAGATTTTTTGTAAATATTTATAAATATGTTGATATGCCATCTTAAGGATCATTGCTTGAATCTTTATTAAGTGAATTTGAATTTAAAATGAATTTGTTAAATCTAACCGATTATAATAATTTTATAACCCAATTTCGATATTTTTTTTTCGATACTAATTTGCATGACGAAAAAATAAATAAAATCGGCCCATAAATCCTAGCGAATTAGGCAATATTTAAATCTCTAGGTGCTATGTGGAGAGGTCAATTATATAAGTTACTGGAGCTCTAAGCTTGAGTTCTATGATAATTATGACTAAAGACGCTTCATGAGTTATGTACACTCATGAAATAATATATTATGGTATTGCAAAGTTAAATCCCAGAAGAACAATGTGGTATGCAACGTACCACTATGTCTAAATAAGAATAGAAACTGTGTTTAAAGTTTCCATACGTGTCAATGATATGAATTTGAAACCACAGAGAAAGCATCTATTTTAAATTTAAATTTTGTTTTTAGGTTTTATATTATACCATACATAAATAATGCTGTGTTGCATCAGGTCCTACCAACGCTCCTATAAAACTCCTTTTTTTTAAATTGAGTAATGAATTTTAAAACCTCGTATAAAAACGAAGATCAAGGATTTATGCGAGCGTGTTTTTTTAAACATCTTCGTATAAAACTTTTATTTTTTATTTATGCGTTTCACAAAACATAGTCAAAATTATTTAAAAATAATAAAATTTTAAAATCTAAACCTACTCATAAATAAACATAAAATAATCAAAGTTTTATAATCGGGAGCCGGGTATAGAAGTAATGGCCAAATCAATTTCGTTAAAATAATCTGGATCTGAAAATGTGACTCTTACGCTTGGGTGAAATTTTAATTCAATTTCATGAACAGTGTTATTAAAAACTACTTTCAAAAATAGCGTATTATAAAATGGCTATTTTCAACAAAAAAAAGGAAGTGCTATATAAGCTACTAATTTCAAATTTACTTTCGCTACTTCAATCAATGTTTGATAAAAAAATAAATAATTATCTCAAGGCATTAAAAAAAAATATCAATTAGATACAATATATTTTTTTTTACATTTAAAACTATCCTGATATAAATATTTTTAAAAAAGATTATACTGTATAATTAATTTGTTTAAATATAATATTTCTCAAATTTTGGAAAAAGAAAAAAGCTTATACTTAACAATATTATCCGTGACAAGATCATCTTCTATTATAATATCTTTAAATCACCTTTCTTATTTGTCTCATCCATTTTATTTTCAGATTTTTAATTGTTTTCGATCAGATATACTATTAGATATTTATAATACTAAGAATTGATTATTTAAAATATATATGTCGTATTGGGATATGGAATCCTTGGGAATTCTGAATTTCTTAATTTTAAATCATCTATTAAAAGCGCTTTGAAAATCTGAAAAATATGATATAACAAATAATGTATTATTTGTGTATTTTTTTAAACTTTATTTAAAGTTTATATAAAACTAATATGAATTCAGACTTTTCAACAAAAAAAAATAGAGCTCTATCAATTAAATCAGAGATCTGCAGAGGTACCATTTGCATGGCCCGGCTATATATTTTTTTTAAATTATTTATCGGCCCGGCCTGGCCTGGGTTTTATATTTTCAGGCTCGGCCTGGATTTTTTTAAAATATATTTTATTTATTTTTAATGTTTAATAGCGATTTAAAATATGATTTTAAAATATACGGTAGGCCAAAGTAGAGGTCTGCATTGGGCGGGGTTTCGGCCCGCCCACCCACGCCCAAATATTTTTAAGAACGGGCGGACGGGCGGGTAAAAAAATTTAAAATCATTAAAGTAAATATTAATTAAAAATGGTTCTTATGAACTTTTGGATATTAAATATTAAAATGTCCTTTTTTGTTATCATAAAACTTTTTTTGTATATATAAAACTACTTTGGTGGGAAACAACAAGAAAAAGATTTGCCAAAGCTATCAAGATTAATATTGGCGATTCCTGCAACTAGTGCATCTTCTGCACGAGAATTTAGCATTGTTGGAATTTAGAACAAAGAAGAATGTGTTTAATCCAGAAAAAGTTGATTCATTATTATTTTTGTATTATAATTACATATAATATCTATTTTATATTGATATTTTTTTCATAAGTATTTTATTTGATCAAATAAATTATCCTTAATTTAAATTGAATATTTTTTTATGCTTAATATAGTAATTTCCATAATTATAAAACTACTTGTAGAGGTGTAATGCTGAAATATTTTTATTAGATGCTTAAAAAATTGAAAAAATGGCCATAATTGAATTTTATAATAGCGGTTTAAAATTTCTTTATAAATAATGACAGGGCGGGTAAAAAATTTTAGACTAATGGGCGGGCGGGCGCGTATTGATGGCGAAGACTCTATCTCGTTGGACAAGCTTGCAATTTCTTTCTACCTGTTGGGCAAGGAGTTTCAGAAATAATTATTATTTGACTAGAAATTTGAAAATGGTAAATAA